CAGAGCTCTAAGCCCTAGAGGGAACCACAACTCAGCCAGCGCAGAGAGGCAGAGCTAAAGGGAGGAATAGGGCGACAGCAGTATCTGAATTTGCATATTAATATTACAGCATGCAAACATAGAGGATATAGGCAACTTCCTTATACCACCAATGGGACTTCCAGATGCCTGCTGTTTTCCTGCGGGATTCAGTGACGTGCATGCAAATTCAAGTTGCACAATTTCAAATATCGGGAGGTCCTTTGCAACAAACCTTCTTCCCGAGAAGATCGGATTTTTTGTGATAAGGAAAGTGACAGGACAGTAAATGTACTGGGAAGCGTGGCTCAGTTTTACCTACTCTGACTGGCAGGGCTCTCCAAATTTTCAGACAGGGGACTTTCCCCACCCTAGACAAAGATGCTGGGAATTGAAGCTGGGATCTTCCGCCTACAGAGAAGATGCTCTAACACTGAGCTGCCCTCCCACAAAAATGCTCGTCTGTGTGCAGAAAATGCCCTCTAGCCTGGGAAACGCACACCCAGAGCCTCAAGTCAGAGTTGGCATCAGGAATCAACTTTGATGGGCACCTGCTGAGGCTCAGGATGGCCAGATCTGTCCACCTTGGTTGCTCTTGGCTTCTCATTTTTCCCGTTTTAGTTCTCAACATTCTCACATCAGGTTGTTGTTGTTGTTATTATTATTTCAGTCAGAGAAGATGAAACACTGAGGGCACCCTTGGCCAAGTCCTCTTACCCCCCCTCCCAAAAGCACGTATTGTTGGCCGCTGGGTACAATCCAGGCAAAGTGTTACCATTTGATCCTACTGATTATTTAAACTGTGCTCTCTCTCTCTCTCTCTCTCTCTCTCTCTCTCTCTCTGTGAACATTTCAACAGAAGGTGCCGTGACAGAGATGTGACCCTGGCTGGCTGCTTGCCTCATTCTGAATGAATTCATGACTATGCACAATGTTAGATTTACCTAGTTTAAGGGAAAGGCGGGGGGAGACCCTTGGACGTGCCGTTTCACCAGGACACATTTTAGAGGACAGGAGGCAGTGCCTGTATGCCTTTCTGTTATGTACTGAGTTGAATAGGATCCAAAATGCAGCAGTCTGATTGGTCCTAGAACAATAGGATCCAGAATGCACCAGTCTGATTGGTCTGCAGGAGCCACCCAATCCAACTCCAGGTGGAAGTGAATCCACAACCTGATTGGCCTACAGGAGAATCCCAGAAATCACGTGGGACCCATTATGTAAATAATGTATATAAAGCAGACATTTTGGAGGAACCTCCATTCCTCACTACTATGAGCTGAATAAAGAGCATGAAATCCACACTCGACTCCAAGTATTTTTCACTTTCGCAGCTGCTTCTTCTTCTCACCTGTCTTGTTTATATGGTGATTTGTGTTTGGAGTCCTCACTGAGGTGGTCAACTTGCCTCTGATCTGTGCCACATTGTAATGTGGGCTTCCTCCATACATTTTTTTATATAATTACATACATCAAGACCATAGCTGTCAACGTTTCCCTTTTTAAAAAAGGGAAATTCCCTTATTCCGAATAGGATTCCTCGCAAGAAAAGGGAAAAGTTGACAGCTATGATCAAGACTAGGCCAGAAACCTTCTTCCCAACATTTAATAGTCAAATGGTAGAGTTTGTACTAATTATTTTGTACAGAGCATTATTCAAGCGTATGAGCCTCCACAATATTCCAGGGTGGTACACAGCCAGATTTGCTGCCTCAAGTGAGATTGGAGCCTGAGATGAGGCCATCTCTGGGGAGGCGTGGATGGGGGTGGCGGGTATGCAATGATGAGGTTGCTGGCTTTCCTTCCCATCCCTACGCTCTTCCTGGCACCATGTGTGGCTGCTTACTTAATGGGGAATGCCAGTGGTTGTGAAATATACAGCAACGGAGGGTGTGTGTGTGTGCTTGTATGTTATTTGGTAATCTATGGAATTTGGCAAACAGGAGGGGCACTTTTAACCCGGGACTGAGTCACCCATCTCAGAAACTCCCAGTTTCTGTCTCAAACCCCTTAAAAATATGCTAACCCTCACCAGCAGGCCCCCCCCCCGCCCCGAATGCTCAGTGACGTTTCTGTCAGCAATGCTACAAGTATTGGGGATCCGCCACCAGCACGCAACTGAGCCCTGGGCCAGGGTGAGGCAGAACTGTACCATTGCCCCCCCCCCGGCCTCTTGCAGTTGGCAGCTCTGAACCACACTGGGAGCCACCCTCCAGAGCAGGCCGAGGCCCGCTCTGACAGGGTCCGCGCCGTTCTGTCAGGAATTAGAGGAATCTGCTCCATAAACACAGCTCACCACAACACTCAACGTTGCAAAATCACAGATGGTTCTCTCTCTTCTTCCCCAACATTCAGCCCCCTCAAACAAACTGCTTGGACCAGTTTCCCTCCCAAAGAACGCAGGCGAACTGAGTCACAGGGCCCCTTCCCCATAGCAGCCAGTGCTCAGCAGACTGGACCTTTAGAGAAGAAGGGATGAAGACCCCGTTTGGCAGAGAAAGGAAGAAGAAAGAAGACGAGGCAGGACATGGCTGAGAGCTGTTTGACAGTCTTCTTCGGGAGGTTGTGGACTCTCCCCTCCTTGGAGGATTTTAAGCAGAGGTTGGATAGCCGTCTGTCATGGATGCTTTTACAGTGGTACCTCGGGTTACAGACGCTTCAGGTTACAGACGCTTCAAGTTACAGACTCCGCTAACCCAGAAATAGTACCTCAGGTTAAGAACTTTGCTTCAGGATCATAGCTGTCAACGTTTTCCCCTTTTTAAGGGAAATTCCCTTATTCCAAATAGGATTCCTTGCAAGAAAAGGGAAAAGTTGACAGCTATATTCAGGATGAGAACAGAAATTGTGCGGTGGCGGCGCGGTGGCAGCAGGAGGCCCCATTAGCTAAAGTGGTACCTCAGGTTAAGAACGGACCTCCAGAACGAATTAAGTTCTTAACCCGAGGTACCACGGTAGTTTATATTCCTGCATTGCAGGGGGTTGGAATAAATGACCCATGGGATCCCTTCCAACTCTACAATTCCATGATTCTATGATTGGGAAAGGCAGGGAGAGAGGTAGTGCAGATGGCACAAATTACAGCGAAGTTGAAATTTCTCAAAAAATGTTTTCCTGATATTCCCCCCTCCCTTCTCATTGTTTCATGATGGCTGTCCTCCCAACCACCGCCACGTGCCTGGAACGATGCTAGTCTGGGGCATTGTCGAAGATGCTAATGGCTGCCACCTTGTCAACAAATTCGCTGCCGCCACTTGTGACAAACAGTGGGCATCCTTCCCCAACCTGCTGCCCTCTAGATTTTTGGGGGGCTGCAAGTTCTAACAGGCTGGTGGGCCTAAGAGCAGTTGTAGACAAAAGACCTGTAGGGTCTGCCAGGTTGTGGAAGGATGATTGGGGGGCGGAGGGAGAAAGAAGCTGTGCTATTGCCAGTGCTAAAGGTAAGCTCCCTGCTCATGATCTCTCTCTTTTCGCAGGAGAAACACCCCAACTCTGCTATTCACAAATGGGGTAGAGAATTCAAGAGATCACCTGAGCACAGTTCTAGGGAAGGAAACGGGAGAAGCACAAAGCTGTGTGTGGACCTTAGAGAAGGCTGACTAAGGAATATTCTTAGAGGTAAGCAGAGTTCCTGGCAGACCATTTTGAGAAGGTTAGAAACACAGGATGCTGCCATCTGCTGAGTCAGTTCATTGGCGCATCTAGTTCAAACATTGTCTATCCCAGGGTAGCCAGCAATGATGGACTCCAGATGTTGGATGTCAACTCCCACCCGTCCCAGCCAGCATCGCCAAAGTTCAGGGATGATAAGAGTTGTAGGCCAGAACATCTGGAGGGCATCATGCTGGCTACTCTTGATCTATTACTGAAAATTGAGGTCTCTCTCTCTCTGGTTTCTGGCCGGGCTCTTTCCCAGACCAACCTGGCGAAGCAAGGAACTGAATGTAGCACCTTCTGCATATGCTCTGCAATCCCTTGCCCAAACATTATGGACGTGGGGGTTGAAGCAGCAAGTCAAGTTTTCCCCACCACACATAACTCTGAGATTTTTATTTGTATTGAGAGAATATACTTTGACACCCCACACGATCAGGACGACTGTTTCTCATAATAAAAACAAAAGAATTGTTGTACTGTCACCTGGTAGCAATTTTTTTTAAGGCCCTATAAGTCAAATTCAATTAAATCTTGGATATTTTAAATAGAAAATAGGTATTTCCTGTTGGCATCCATCTGCCTTGAGAGACAATGAAGTCAAACCTCTGTGTTAGCAGCGACAAAGGGACCTCCCCGTGGCGCAAGCCTGTGCCATGAGTATCCTGGGCTGCCCAGAGACAAGACCCCCCTCTTGGCCTCACTGATGAGGTCTGAAGGAAAGCAGAGCAATACGTTTGGCACCAGCTTGGCTGCAGAAGTTGCTGGAAGGAGGCGCACAAGGCGCCATCCAACTGTCTTAGGGACTCCGCTCTGGATTTGTGTAGGATTTACTCCTTAGCCTTTTCTTCTCTCAGAGATATTCCACAAGGCAGCAGAGGTTTAGGAGCTACCTTCCCCAGCTGACAAGCCTCACCTGCCCCTCCCTTCCCTCTACAGCATGTGTAGAAACCGCCTTATTGACCATTGGACTAAATATTGGTCTCATCCACACAGTCCGCCAGAGACTGTCTTTGCATGCAAGTATTTCCAATATAATAAGTATTAAAATAAAACTGAAAAATTTTCAAGGTGATAAATGGATGTCTTCAAAGAGCCACTGGATGCAGTTGGACTCCCTTTGACCCCAGTCAGCACAACCAATGGTCAGGAAAGCCACAGGTTCTCCATCCCATCTAAAGATTCCTTTACAAAGATGGACGCCACGGAATCCCTAATTGCTGTCTGGAAGTCCCCAGCAATCTTAGTTGGTCACTGATCCTGCCCAGAAAGGGAGTTGTTCATTGCTTTGGAGCATAACTTCAAATGCATTTCACGCCAGGAAAGTTGCATCAGGTTTGCATATTTTTATTTACATACTTTTTATATAATTAACACGTTTCCCCAATGAACGCCAAGCTCTCCAGTGGCGGCTATGCCGTACTTCCATCATGTGCCCTCCACCCTGAGGGCAAGCAGCAGTTTTGAAAAATAAATCAGATTTTTAAAAGTGCAAGTGCACATTAATAATAACACGAACACAACGACAGAGTAAATTTCTCTCTAGCAGCGTATATACATTCCCACAGCACCAAATTTGCCTAGCCAGAATAGCCTGGAGCTCCTTAAACGTTAAAAGCCCTTCACTGTCATGATATGGTTTGCAAAAGCAATAGGTCCTCGGACTTGTAGTCTATGCAACCATGAGGACTGGAAGACTACATTAAGATTCTTGTAGAAGTCCATATAAAGTAAAGGTAAAAGGTAAGGGGCCCCTGGACAGTTAAGTCCAGTCAAAGGCGACTATGGGGTTGTGGTGCTCATCTTGCTTTCAGGCCGAGGGAGCCGGCATTTGTCCACAGACAGCTTTCCGGGTCATGTGGCCAGCAGGACTAAACCGCTTCTGGCACAATGGGACACCATGATGGAAACCAGAGCGCACAGATGCGCTGTTTACCTTCCCGCCGCAGCAGTACCTATTTATCTACTTGCACTGGCGTGCTTTCGAACTGTAAGTTTGTAGGAGCTGGGACAGAGCAACAAGAGCTCACCCTGTCGTCGCAGGGATTTGAACCGCCGACCTTCTGATCGGCAAGCCCAAGAGGCTCCGTGGTAGTTGCATGATGATGGTAGACCATGCCCTACCCAGCTCCTTTTCCTTTCCTTTCCAATTACCACATTGGACCAGAAACTAATTTTTAGTGTACAATTAGGTATTTTATAATGCTTAATATTCTAATGCAGGTGTGGGGATGTAGTTCAGATGTTGTTGAACTACAACTCTCATCAACCCCAGCAACCATGCTCAAAAGTTCAGTAACAGCTGGAGTGCCAAAGCTTCCCCACACCTGCTCTAAACTTTCCTTTCCACCTTAGGTTTGCAACAGTAGACTGCACTGCTCAGAGGACTGTATTTGGCCAATGGGCGGCCAATTACTGACTTGTACTTTATGGAAACTGTCAAAATTAGGCTACGGCAGGTGGTGGAGGTGGGTAATAACCGTAAAAAAGATATGCAGCCTATTCTTTACAAAACATTAATGGCAGCCAATGTTAAATTAATACAAATACCCTTTCAAATAAATAATCCCTTTAACACTAGATTAATTTTGGGGGGGGAACAGCTTTGAGCTATTTGGCCAAAATTTCTTCGACATGTTAATTTTAAAAGGCACACATCAAGGGTAAACCATCTGAGCAGAGCTTAAAACTAAACAGAGGAAGTTTGAATGGAAACAGTTCTAAAGCAGTCGAAATCATTGTGTTCTTCAACAAATTCTTTAACGAGTGTGAAAACTGTTGGAGGGGGGGAGTGTGGTTATATTGCCAAACTCCTCTCCTTCCAATCCACCACAATGGAAATTCAGCATAACTTGTTTCCAAATAAATCATCAAGCTTTGACTACACACACACACACACCCACCCCCCCACACACAGAGAGAGAGAATATCATATTCTCTTGCACAAGACTCATTGAAAGCAGCTGATCTGATTCAATTCCCCCCCTAAAAAAGATACAACTAGAGATGAAAGGGCCAAGTTGTTAAAACCTGGCAAAACTTTTATGTACACAATGAAAGTGGGGGAAATGACGTTTTCCAAATACAGTTTGTGAAGGGTAAGGCTTGGTTTGCCTCAAATAGAGACTGCCATCTGGTGACAGGAGGTGGTAGTGCCCAATGTCAGCTTACATTAACTCCATGGAATGAAAGTGTGAGTTTGTCAGTGGGAAAAATCCTTTAAGGGTGAAGGAATGATCTTGTAGAAAAGCTTGTTCCATAGCTTCCCATGTCTCTCCTGAAGGAAGAAACATTCCTGAGATACTTAAAACATTTCAGCCGAGCTATTCTCTTATTCAAGTAAAAATAGATGGATAAATCCTGGCATCAGAAGATTTCTTGCTGAAAAATACTCATGAGTTGCCAACTCACCCTGATGGAAAGTGGAGACAAAAGTTTTGACTACAACCACTATGATGCAGTGTGTAAAAATGCAGATTTATAGCTGCAAGGATAATGATGCAGTGCAACTGCAAGACAAATAACACATATCCATGCCTAGATTTAACTGAAAAATTCGGGGATGGGTGGGAAGAAAGAGATAGCAAACAGGAATGCACAGAAATGGAAGAACGGTTGATTTGGTGAGTGGAATTTCCATGGAGATCTGTTGCAAAGCTTGTAAAATTTAATTAATGATAATAATTCAATCCAGTTTTCCTAGTGAGCCAGACCTAGGTCCATTACCTTCTGTAAAAGATAAACATTATTTCATTTTGTATGAAAGGAGATAAAATGAATGCGGCATGAATGCTCTCTCTTATAATGAGGAAGAGTTGCTGCTATTCCATTTCCCCCCGCATTTGGGGAGGGAAGGCATGTGGGCTAGGTGAATTGTAGAATTGGAAGGGACCACAAGGGTCATCTAGTCCAACCCCCTGCAGTACAGGAATTTTTTGCCCAACGTGGGGCTCGAACCCACGATCCTCCAATTAAGAGTCTCATGTTCTACTGACTGAGAGAAGAGAGGTTTCTTCTGATGACTATTTCAAAAGGGAGTTGGAGAGAAAATCTGGGATATGATTTGAAGGCGGTAATTTGCTTTACAGGAACATATGCTCAACAACGTTTAGCTCAAAACAAGTGCTGCTGTTGAATGCAGATCTTGGGTGATGTGGGGAGAGTTTGGGATGATGGTACGACTTCAGAGCCTGTTACCATGCAGTTCCTCAATGCTTCAACAGGGGGCACTCCCACACCAAACGGGGCGATCTCCCAGCTACGGATTCAAACCCTCCAGTTTCCTTTTCTGTTTCGCCATCACAGCCTCTAGCTCTGATACTTTCCCAGAATCCTGGAAGAAAATAATGAAAATGAAGAATGGATATAACATTGTTCTGGCTTCAAGCACGCCCCAACTTTCCCCAGTCCCACCGTGGTGCATTTAATTTTCAGAAAATTGTAGCGTCATAGAAAATTAGTTTGTGGCTTTCCTGGACCCCAGGAGCCTTCCTTGGTGTTTGGTTTTGTGTTTTTGCTAAAGCCCGGTAGACTGCTTCCTGCTCAGGAATACAAGAAGTCTTGACTTGCATCACCACCCTCCCAACCCTTAGGAGAAGCTTCAGGGCTCCTTGTACCTCCAATAGGGCTCTCTGGACTGTGACCTGGCTGTAGACTCGAACTCCTTCCTCTGGGCTGACAGCTCTGAACTCATCCTTCTTCAGGGAGAAAAGCTGAGCTCCGTTTAGGACCCCCAGGGCACTTACTGTCCTGTGAGGATGAAGAAAGAGTGAGTTATGGGGGGTGGGTTATGGGAGGGAAAGGGAATTTCTGCTATTTACACTCATAAAACCTTAAACAGGAAACAAGCAGGAAACAAGTGTTGCCTGGATACACACCATACATTTAAAGCACATCCCTGCCCTTCAAGAATCCTGACAAGTGCTAAGGGTGCCAGCAATTGTAGTTCTGTGAGGGGTTAACAAAAGTTCCAGGATTACTGCATTTGTATGGTATGTACATACAACTAAGTCGCACCACTACAGGTCTTAAGCTGTGGGATGGAATATCCATGCAGATGAATAGCAGAATGTCTAAAACATCAATTAAAATATCCACGGTAGACAAACAGCAGCCCATCGGAGAGTATGGCATCTCATGGACCCCAGAAAACTGGTGCTGGGTTAATGAGGGAATAGGGAGTCACCACAGCCAATCAGAAACCTTAACCAGGAGCATAGAAAAAGGAACCACAGCTAACAACTGGGCAATGGCAAATCATTAAGAAGCTAAGAGCTATTGAGCTATTCAGGAAAGTGGAAGCTGCTTCAGATAGAGGCCACTAAAGAAGGTGCTCATAAAACAGGCCAACGAGGAAAACTGGGTAGGTTAAGTTGACACATGCAAGCCTCACGATTGGCGGATGTGCAACATGAATCTGAAGAAGGTAATTGCAGACAATACAGGAAAGGCAGGAAGCTGCTCTGGGAGATAGCAAGGAATACGTTTGGACTTTCATGGCCAACCTACATATCTTCTCAAAGGAAAACAGAGGCCAACTCACAATGGGCTGAATCCTTTGGCTTCCAGCCAGGTCCGAACTTGAGCAGGATCTGAATCGTATCCTAAAGGCAGGTTGGTGTCTGCAGCCCGCTGGATGTGAAGGTTCCTGCTATGGCTAGTTGTCCCATTGGCCAGTCTCAGGGCGAGCTCCTCGTTCACCGTGTTGAAGCGCTCTGCCGGGGCAGGAAGTGATGTCACACACGGCGCAATGTTTGGATGGGTAGGCAGACCAATTAACCCTACTTCCCACAATCAGATACAACGGACTCCAATCGCTATATGCGCAGTTCAGAAATTCTCCCACAGAACCCTGTGTCGTGTCATGCAACACAAGGACAGTTGTATAACAGCTTTCAGATAGCAAAAAGCCAGTCCACCACACCTCAAACTGCACATTTCAGTCTAAATCCTTCATCCATGCGACTCTATTCCACTTCTCACGTAAGTCGAGTGTTTTGCATCCTTGTACTGTGCTTCTGGGAGGGAAGGACAACTCTTTATACCTTTCAAGCTCGAAAAAACCTCTTGTGAAAAATGCTAAGTGACGCTGACAGCTTGTCTGACAGGAGCCAAAAGGAGACCCCTTTGTCATGGACAGGTTGGACGGAAAGGTATGGGGAGAGGAATCAGCTGGGAAACATACCAAGGGAAGAAAGCTCAGAGCCCGGGGAACGTTGGTGGGACAACCATGAGCAGTTTTGACATTCTTTTGGCTTCAAAGCAAGCAGAATCTGAGGCCCTGGCAGCTACCAATATTCCAGAGGCTCAGCTTCCCTTAGAGCCTGTTAGTCTCTGTTAGTCACAACCACCAATTAGTGTTCAGTTGTTTAAAATCATGTAATAGAAAGTGCTTTGCCCTGGAGCCAAGGTTTGGGCGTCCCTTAGGAAATGTGGCCTTTTTATTATGATTATTAATTCCTTTCTATACCACAAACTCATATAAATAGATATATATATGTAGTGTGAAGAATTTTAACTAAAACCAACTCTGGGCTGAGTAGTCATGTTCCCCATGTCATATAGCAACGAGGAAAGTTTCAAAAGCAGTTGGTCATGTGTTAAGAACATCAATTTCACTGGTAGCAGAAACTCATTGCATGACCCTCTTTAGATCCAAGCCATTAAGCGAATTTGTTGCAAATAACTCTTTTCCCTCCTTCATAAAGCGGGTTTTAATACATTTTTAGGGATCTAGAATGACAATGCATTCAAGTATAAGCTTTCCAAGTACAGTATAGGAGGCTTTCAATTTATCAAGTGGCACTGAGTGTTTCACCAAACATTCACGAAACCCACAATTTCTAATGGGGGTGTGAGCACCTCATAGACCTCTCCCCAGTTGTTTCCTCTATGCTTTCCCAACCTTAAATTTTTCGCATTTTAAAAAAAATGCCCTCGTCAGAATTTTAGTGCAAATTTCACTTAATATGCAGATTTTTAAAAACACATTTTATTGCCTATAATCCTTGCGACCTGCCGCATAAGCTATTGTGTCCCCTGCTCTGTGCTGAGGTTTCTCCTACACTGCTTGAACTAAAGTTCCAGTAAAATGGTGAAAAAATAGCTTATGCTTCCCAGAGCTCCCCAGTTCCACATACAAAGGCAGGCTTACCTCGCTCACTCAGGTCCATGTTAAGTGCCTCTGTGCTGGCCCAATTTCTGCCATTTGTGTACAGACTTTTGGTCTTGGGTGGTGGCTGAGGTGGACTTTTCTAAGTAGAGGCGGAGGGAAGAAGCAAATATTAACAGCTCGGCCTCCTGAAAAGCCCATCTCCTGGTGGGAGGTCAACTCACAAAGAACACGCTACGCTAATATTGCAAGTGCCAGTACATCTGCCTTCCCACTAGGGATGGAAGGATTTGACAATTTCAGGTCTCTCAGTTTCACATTTTTTCCCAGTCTTAAATTCAGTCCTCCTTATTTCTGCATCCATTTGTGAATTAAAAAACCCAAAACAATTCCCATTAAAATTCTTCATTTTAGTGTGAATTTCTCCTAATAAGCACATTTCGGTCTGCAGTACGCCTTTTTGCAAGCAATTTCTTCTAACAGTAAGCATTTTAGACATCAATTTCACCAATGTATCCATTCCTGTATACATTTTTGTCAACACTGTTTGGTTGGGGAACTGCATTGCAAAATTCAGATTAAGTGTGAATTTTCGCAGGACGGCTGTGTTTCAGTTCCCATATTGGTTTGGAAAGCGAACATTTGATAGGTTCACCTTCAACTGCAAACTGGATTGAATTTCTCCCCTGCTTCCCACTGCCTTCCAGACTGTCTGGGTTTTTAAGCATGTCTGAACAGTTTGGGTCCCATACATATTCTTATACCGTGTTGGTTTTAAAAAATGGCCATAAGCATTAAACTGCTTTCTTTGGGGCATTTCCAGCAAATCTACATTGGTGAGAATGGATTTTAAAAGTGTCCCTCTTCCAACCTTCCAGGGAAATCTTATTTATTTAAAAATATGTTTAAAAAAAATCTTCTGTACCCATTCCCTAAACCGGCCCATGTGAGTCTAACATTTCCCAGGCTTGTTCAAGATTCCATGGCCAGGATCATTTGGGCATAAGAGTTGTGCTGTTGGATCAGACCAAAGATCCATTTAGTCCAAAATCATCTTTCCAACAGCATGTAGACATTTTTTTTCTGGGAATCAGGAAAGCATGCAGGGCAGGAAGGCAACACCTATTCCCTGTTTCTGCCCAGCTTCTGCTATGCAGAGGTACAAATAGGACCTGTAATAAAACGATGCTATTTGAAGTGCTCCTGTTTACTGTTCCAGCCAGCCAGTCATGTTGGATACCGTATTTTTTGCTCTATAAGACTCACTTTTTCCCTCCTAAAAAGTAAGGGGAAATGTGTGTGCGTCTTATGGAGCGAATGCAGGCTGCCCAGCTATCCCAGAAGGCAGAACAGCAAGAGGGATTGCTGCTTTCACTGCGCAGCGATCCCTCTTGCTGTTCTGGCTTCTGAGATTCAGAATATTTTTTTTTCTTGCTTCCCTCCTCCAAAAACTAGGTGCATCTTGTGATCTGGTGCGTCTTATAGAGCGAAAAATACGGTATTTTTATTAGAAAAGTGGCACATAGCTCTACAACAAATAAAAGCAAGCAAGCAAACAGACAAGCTCTAATTAGTGCTCTAAGCCTCACCTTGGATATCGCTGGGCTGGTTCCGTTGACCTGAGGAGCGCTGTTGTGGTTTAGAACTGGGGCAAGAATATTATAAGGGACGTAGCCAACCTGACCGTAGTGGTTCTGAACTTTCCACCACTTCTTGCTGTCATCCAGGACCTAAAGGCAAAGAAAAAGGAGACGTGTTCCTAGCTAAGCAAAAACTTGGTTCTAGGTCTGGAATTGCCCAAGAAAGATGCTAGATTTTTTTTGGATGCCACAACTGCCGCTAGGATTTTGTTGGCCAAAAATTGGAAAGCACAAGAAGTGACAACAGTGGAGGAATGGCAGATGAAGATGATGGACTTTTGGGAGCTGGCCGACCTGACGGGAAGAGTCCGCGACCAGAAGGAGGAGGAGCACCAGGAGGAATGGATGAAATTTAAAGACTATTTAGCTAAATATGCTAAGATAACTTAAGTAGAAATACTTGCAAGTATCAGACTGGCTTTGGATTTAAATATGTGATGTTATAGAATAATATGTTTAAAGGTAATATGAAAGGAAAGAAAGACGTTAATTGACCAAGTAAATTTTATGAGAAATTAAGTTTTGGAAAACTGTTACAATGATATACATTGAAACTCAGCCAGGGGCATTGGAGGAAGTCACCTAACAATGTCAACAAAAGCGGAATTATTATAGTTAGGATTTATGTTTGTTTGTTTGTTTGTTTGTTTATGTCTGTTATAAATTTGGAAAACCAATAAAAAATTTTGGGGAAAAAACCAAAAACAAAAACTTGGTTCTCAAGTTCCCTGTCAGGGGAGGTCCCGATTCCATTTCACAAACAATTCTATAAATGTTACCTAACCCATAATGTTGTTGGTAGGCTCCCAACCCATTCACATTTCTGTTAAGCCATTTAGGGCTCATTCGTGGCCTACAAGTGTGGTGGGAGGCGAGATCCAAGACGTCTAATGTGCAAGCCTGCTTCATTGCCTAGGATATTCTGGCTTGGGACAGGTGACCAGGCAATAGGGTATTTCCAAATGCCCTGAGTCCCCAATGAAAGCAGCTTCCCTACCGCCGTGTCCAATCTGCAAATCACATTCCTTTCTATTCTGGCCAGATCAGGAGCGGGGTAGGGGTGGGGGGTGGGAATCTTCTGGCACTGCAAGTGTTCTGGGACGTCAACTCACCTGCAACATTTCTCCATGAAGTACTGAGAGTTCGTTGTTGTTTCTGGCTGTGAAGTTGTGGGTGGAGATCACAGACTTGCTCTCTGGGTGTTTAGGCCTGTCAGGAGGGAAGAAAGCACATGGGGTTATGGGCAGGAAGGTCCATGACTTGTGGGCTTTCTAGAATATCAGTGCAGGTTAGGGTGCTTAAACAGTAAAAAATGGCCATCCAGAAGGCTCTGTCTGCATCACTGTGCTTGTGGAATGCCCTCCTTTTAGAAGTGGGGCTGGCACAGATGCTATCATTTCAGTGCCAGGTCAAGACTTACTTTACACAGACATTTCAAGAGTTTTTAATTTGATGATCATGCAACCCCCTCTGTGTCACATTTTTTTTAAACTGTCTTTATTTGTTTGGGTGATGTGTTGTGCTGTTTATAGCTCATCATCGTCCAGCTTGTTTATTTTTAGGTTTTGTACTGCGCACTAGTTTCCATATAGATGATGGGCAGGTTGTACGTATTCCAAACGAACAACGAAACAGTTTAATTTCACTCTGTCCATTGCTGTTCCCAAAATAATCTTTCTCCTGGATCTGCATGCTTGTGGCATTTATGTAGTTCTGCGATCTTCATTTGGTTTAATCTAGAGCTGCAACGTTTAGTTAATTAATCAGATAGATAAATCCAATAAAAACAATTTGACTAATTAAAAAGGTGCTCTTGATACATGGGGCAGATGGGTGTGTGTGTGTGTGTGTGTGTGTGTGTGTGTGTGTGTATATATATATATATATATATATATATATATATATATTCTCATTTGACAGGGAAGACGAGGGGTGGAAAAAGGAACCTCTTTTAAGATGCTGCTGTGATATACGTGCTTGCAGTCTAAAAACAAAGGAAGTATGCATTTTGCTCAGAACTATTGTTTCATTTATTTGCAAACCCGTAGTCTTAACCAACTAGTGGTCCACATTGAGGTCCATTTACTTTACCACCATTAGCTGTTGGCAGAATTAATTCCCACCCCCTTCATTTGAGTATTACTTGATAATAATTTTCATAAGAAAAATAAGCGGAGGAAACCATAAATTAAGATCCCCTCGCAGGAAACAGGAACTGAACCATTCAAAGGGAAATTCATCAGTGATGCCTTGGCTGTGCTGAACAGGAAGCAATTAATTAGAGACACAAGTTGGAAGCTTTTAAAGGCACAGTAACCCTGAAAAGCCTCCACAGAACCTTTCCTGACCACAGCAGATAGGCTGGCACTGTGGTTACATTTGAAGTAATGGACTTTGCCTCAAATTCAGAGGCCAGAACAATAAAAGAGAGAGGATGAGGTATGTCAGTTCTGAAACCAATGGGGGATTTGTTGATTGGGGGACAAATCTATTTTAAAACCAATTAAGATATCAATTAAAGCTTTAGTTCAAGTTGTGGAACACTTTCTTCAAGGTTACTTTGGGGTTCAGTGACATAAGAGGAATGAACAAGAAACTATTAAACACAGCCTTTCTAACAAAGAGTGGTTACTGGTAAATGTTGTAAGTAAATATTGTACACTTCCTTCAATATCTCAGAAAGGCATGCAAATTTGGGCTTGGCAATATGAAAGTTCACTGAAATTTTTATCACTTGACTAATCTGCTAAATCAACTGAAAGTTATTTCAACCATTCAGCCCTAGCTTTTCATCACTTTTTATCTAGTTGAATGGGGGCAATGATGCAAATTCATGATGACAGGGGAAAAAAATGTAATATTGAAGGAAGGGCTAGATAATATGAGATATTGGCCCCTGCACCACCTGCCTCTTTCCTATAGTGAATGGAATTTCCTGCAAGACAAAAGAGTCTCTCGCCCCTCCATGTTGCGGTCCTCCTCCCAGTTAGATGAGGATCGCAACTGGAACCTGCTGGGATACAAAGCTTGCCAAGTGCTTCAGAACAGATGATAGGAGATGGAGAAGAAAAGGAATTAGAGCCCTTCATCCCCCCCCACCAATCCTACCTTAGCTGGCTGCCTAGCGTCCCCCTCTTGGCTCTCTTCTGGGCGCCATCTTTCTTTAACCGCTGTCCTCTTGTTTTCATCCTGTTATATTTCCCTTCTGCACCCATCACCAGAGCACCTGGCCTTGCCTTCTGTGATACCTACATTCCTTTACACCTCCCTGTTATAACCAGCCAGCTCCTATTAAGCTACTTTATCCCAGTAAACTCAAGAGCCCTTAATTCCTGGTCTGTTCCTTACATTATTCAGCCCTAACAAAACCCCATTTTGTTTCAAGCTAACCCAGGCAGCCTCGTTGTTCCCAAGCCCTGCTGCCCTGGCTCATTCCCGCAGACTTTCTAGAAAACCCAGTTCTCCCAGTTCTGTCCTCCCACATTGTACACACAGCCTGGAATGGACTTCCTTTGTGTTTATTTAGCTTCCTGCCAAGCCATGGCTATCCAGAGGCTGAAGAGATTGGCATGTTCTCTTGAGCCTGCTACTTGTGTGCTGTTCCACATCAAGAACTCCCTGTGCGCTGTGCCCAAATTACATAGACAGTGTGCTCCTGTCTATGGCGGCATTCGTGTTAACGTTAAGTGGAGACAAGTAATTCTACAGGAGGCCTATTTAGGAGGGCAATGTGCCTCAATGTCCTCCAAGCCCTCACTGAAGGGGACATCATGTTCAGCAATGTCTACCTGGGGATATAGCCAATAAGTCTACCTGGCTCTGCTCCCGACTGCTTACACACCCACACTCTCTGTGGTGCGCAGATGCATTCTGAGAAGGAACCGTGTGGGCCTTACTTCTGTAATGTGTGCAGAGAGCCAAACTGTGTAGGATCCAGCATATTAATTCTGTGCTCTTATTGCTTCCCTGCTTGAACTCCTCAGTGGAACAACTGGGAACCATGCAGCAGCCTAGGTCCAGCATGGTTGTCCTCCACTGTGGACTACAACTCCCATCATCCCTGACCACTGGCCATGCTGGCTGGGGTTGATGGGAGTTGGAGTCCAACAACAGCTGGAGGGCAAAAATGTTGGCTACTCCTCCAGCAGCCACTTAATGGGTGGAAAGGTAGCAACCCTATAATTACTCCCAGCATTATTAATCATCCTCCATATTTCCTAGAGTGAAACTTCGCAAGGGCTGGAAGGTGACATGGAGAGGAAATGTGGTGACACTGGGCTTAATCCGGGGTGTGTGCGTGTGTGTTTGACAGGAGCTCCTCTGTACATAGAACATGTTGTACGATCTGGTGTATGTGACTAGGACCTGTACATGCCATCTGTCCAGTGCTGAAAGGGGAGGGCACAGGCAAGCAGAAACGTATGCGTAGATGAACGCATGTGTCTTCAATCCAGCCACATGGCACTTAAAGAGTCTGGGTACATGTTACACTCACTGTATTAGGGGAATCCCAATGAATGAGAACTCTTCCTATGGCAACTTCTAAAGGGCTTGCCATCAACAGGCAAAGGGAGCTGGAAGGGACAGGAATTGCACGCACAGAGTGAAGGAGAAGCTGCCAGCTGTCCCTTTCGTAGAACCATAGAGTTAAAAGGGAGCACACGATGGTTATCTAGTCCAACCCCTTGAAATGCAGGATTCTTTTTGCCCAACACAGGGATCAAACCCACGACCCTGAGATTAAGAGCCTCAGGCTCTAATGACTGAGTTCTCTCTCTCTCTCTCTCTCTCTCTCTCTCTCTCTCTCTCTCTCTCTCGCTGCTATTTCCCCCTCCCAATTGGTAGGGGAAAGAAACAGAGAAAATCAGCTGCCAAGGAGTGGTAGTCAGACAGAGGCTACCAGTGCTTCCTCCTTTACCGCATGTGTCCAATTGTGGGATTCTATTATGTAGTGAACGTAACGTGAAGCCAAGGCTTTAGCCAAGAATTCCCGGCACTTTTGCAGAAGTACAATTCCCAGTCTTCTTTTTGGGAAGACATGGCTCAGGACTCAAAGTTGTTTACTCTTTTTAATGTAAGTGTTGGCTCCTTTTCTGAAGGGTTTTCCAGGAAGTGGAGACCTTGGATCTCAACACTTTATTGGAACCTTTTCGTGACTTCTCTATGCAAACAACATCACATCATAAATACTTGTGGAAAATCCACCCTAAGTAATAAAAAGGGGAGAGGTCACTAGCCTAGATTATTTCAGTGACCCGTTGGGACCTTAGCCTATCTTTGTCTTGCCTGAAATCCAGAATTTCTGGTTCAGCTAAAAAAGAGGCATCTGGTTTTAATTTATTTCAAGAACTATGAGGGAACCCACTCCCTCCCTGACACAGTATGCATCAGTGAACAGTCATTTCCTCATTTTGGGGCAGTATGTGCACACACACCCCAACACTTATGGGGCCAGAAGTGTTTTTCCACCCCCATTGTACATGTCTACTTTAATTCAAGATATTTGTTGTTGCTCCATCTCCCTTTGTTAAATTGGTTATATTTCAATCTTGTGGATCTCAAGTGAATCATTATGGGTATATCTATACTAAATATGTTTGAAGAAAGTTCAATAGTCATTCTATGACTGAGAGGTGGTTCCTGGGGTGAGGGAGCTAGAGACCACTCACAGTTCTCACCATCCTCATCAAAATGTAATTCTCATGATTATTGGTGTGTGTGTGTGTGTGTGTGTGTGTGTGTGTGTGTGTGTGTGCTATAGCTGGAATGCTATAGAACTGAATTACCCCAAATCCCAGGGTGGTCGTAAGGACAAATCTATCTATCTATCTATCTATCTATCTATCTATCTATCTATCTATCATCTATCTAACTGCTATACTACTGGTTAAAGATAAATTAATGAGTTTGCAGCTGAGGTGCCAGAACATTTTGTTTCAGTCTACCACTATCCTTGTTCCTGGCAAGTATTAGGACTCACTGGACAGTTAGGGAGCAGAGGATTAAACTAAGCATGGGAGTTGGTTTAATGACCAACAAGGCCTGTATGTTTTCTCAGAAACCTCTTTCTTGGCCACACTGGATCTGAATTTACTCTTCAGTGATTTATTAATCTCGTGTCAGTTTTTTTTTTAAGTACTTCTCCCATCAGTGAAGAAGACTAGGAACATTTCTTTTAAGCAGATAAAATTATTAAAGTCTTAATAAGCTGGATTCTTTGGCAGCTGCTAACATTTTGCATTCAGAATTCACTGATGTGACAGTGGCTAGGCAGGTTCTTAGCCACAATTGCAAACAGGTTCCGATTTGGGGAGGTAATTTTAAGTCCCCACTCAACGTTAAACGGCTGCTGATCACTGACCCGAAGCTCCCTTATCTCCCACTTACCCTAATAGCCACCTGCAATTTATACAGAACACCACCCTCACCTAGCAAAGCTCCCAGCCATTCCCACCACCACCAGCTTACTAGTCCTATCACTGACTTCCCTGCTCACCACCGGACCCAGCTTCACCCAATGCAGAGAGACAGCGAGAACAACAGAAAGAGAGAGAGAGAAACAGAAAAGAACAACATAGAATTTATCTAAATTTCCCGTGATCAAATGGCTCACAAATTTTCCCAGCTGGGAAGACCTTCAAGAACTCTCTGCCTGAAAGGCATATTACGCTGAGAAGGAGCCCTTCATCATGACAACGGCCAAGGCCATTCCAGTCCCAGCCCTTGCGCGCTCGCGCTTGCACGCTCTCTCTCTCCACACACACACACACTTCTTTCAAGTTCCCCCACCCTTAGGGTCCAGCAAAGGCTCTGGAGGTCTGTGAAGCTGTGATTTAATTGGTGCCTGGATGAGAGCCCAGCACGAAAGGGTTTTGTGCAGCATGGCTGGGAAAGGCCTGTGACACTGGAGAGCTTTTGTCACTCACAGGAGAGGCAACACAATGGCCGGTACTTTCAGTCCAGTATAAATTTAGCTTTCTATTCCCCTATGCTGCCCCCACCAGTGTTGCACAGGGGCCCATGCATCTGAGGTCACTTGCAGACAACCTGTTTATTGAACATTCATTCTGATTTATATGTTCGGAGGTTATAGGATGTTGCATCAAGCCATGGTTATATCCCATACTTTCCGGTACATTTCCCCATCATTTTCCTTATTACAAAAAGTCAGATTTAAGAGGAAAGTGGCTTTTTTGTGCAAGAGCACCAAACTTTAATTGTGCCGGTATGTTACAGACTCTCCCATCTGCAAAATAGCAATAGTCCATATTATCTGCTGGGATGCGGGTGGCGCTGTGGGTTAAACCACAGAGCCTAGGACTTGCCAATCAGAAGGTCGGCGGTTTGAATCCCCGTGACGGGGTGAGCTCCCGTTGCTCGGTCCCTGCTCCTGCCAACCTAGCAGTTCGAAAGCACGTCAAAGTGCAAGTAGATAAATAGGTACCGCTCCGGCAGGAAGGTAAACGGCGTTTCCGCGTGCTGCTCTGGTTCGCCAGAAGCGGCTTAGTCATGCTGGCCACATGACCCGGAAGCTGTAGGCCGGCTCCCTCGGCCAATAAAGCGAGATGAGCGCCGCAACCCCAGAGTTGGTCACGACTGGACCTAATGGTCAGGGGTCCCTATATTATCTGCTGCACACAGAAATAATATTCTTAAGGTTTTATGGGGGCCCTCCTCTATGTAGTAACATAAAATAATAATAATAATAATTCTTTCTTTTTAACTAGTTTTTTTATTAAGACTCTCATATATATATTAAAAAGGGAAAGCCAATATCCCTATTCAGAAAGCTGACATTTTGCGGCTCCAGACACAGTAAGACAGAAAACAGACAATGCTGATCAAATTCTGAAATTTTGGGAGAACTTTAACAAAACTTTGGCAATCCCATCCTATCCTTCAGGATAAGAACAGCCTGCTGGATCTGGCCAAAGACCCCTCTAGTCCAGCATCCTGTTCTCACAGTGGCCAACCAGGTGCCTATGGGAAGCCTGAAATACCTTCCCCCCTCTCCCATCTTTCCTCTCTCCTTGCCTCTCAGATCCAATTTCCAACCCTGCCTTCCAAGGTCCATCCATCCATCCATCCATCCATCCATCCATCCAAACATCTCAACACACCTTCCCAAATATAAAAATTGATTGGCCAGAGGCTTGAAAGGGACTTACCCATTGGCTGCAATTGTGGGAGCTGATTGCTGTAACAGAGGAGAGTGGGGAGGAGAAATGGATAAATGGTTAACTAGGAAGACTGCACAGTCACCTTAGCCCAACATCCAGCTCAAGGCAGTATCCTCCCCAAGTTATCACCTCTAACTGATTAGGCCTGAAGTCATACTGACTGTAGTCAGAGCCAACCTCCCTCCTGCAACCTGGTGCCCTCCAGGTGTTCTGGACTACAGTTCCCATCAGCCTCAGTCAGCACAGCCGTATGATGCTGGGGCTGATGGGATTTGCAGGCCAAAATGTCTGGAGGGCAGCAAGTTGGGAAAGGCCGATTCAAATCCACTCTGCCTCTGGCGTACCCAACCATAACGAGAGCTAGTGCGAAGTGGTGGCTAGAATGTTTGGCCAGCAAGACCTGCGTTCACATCCTCATGTAGCCCATCAAGCTCCCTGGGTGGTCCGGGGCAAGCCTAATTAATGTGTAATTAAGATGCACGGGAAGATACAAGATTGGACACTTCTAGAAGGAAACTAGACAAATTTATGATAGATAGTTTTATTACTGGCTGAATAGAGCCCCCATTTTCAGTGCCACTATGGTGATGAATATTAGGGAGAAGAGGGGAGGACAAACAATGTGGGATGGATCTTGCCTTAACAGCCTGCTTGAGGAGCTTCCCTGAAGTATCTAGTTGGCCACAGAAGGAAGCAAAAGGCTAGTTTATAATGACTTTTAGTCTCACTCAGCAGGTCTATTCTTATAGCAGAGAGAGAGAGAGAGATGGAACTGTAGGAAGTAGTTGTTTTTTAAAAATGGCCTGATTTATGCAGTGAGTAGCGGCTGTGGAATTAAACAGTCATAACGCTCTTCTAGAAAAGTTGGTTCCACCAGATTCTTATTTGTAGCAATTGCAAACAAGAAATGAGCTATTGGATCCACCCAGAATGTATTAGGATGCCCCCAAATACATCAGAATGGATCCTTCAAGCCACTTTCTACCCACAAGGAGAACTTGGTCTTTCTCCCAGGAGCATCAGATGCTTTTGCAGCTGTCCTCTTGCCCTCGGTGTGGGGTTTTTTTTTGCAAATGTTTATCCTGCCTGCTTTCCACCTCATCACTCACTTGGGCACGACGTTCTTCGTGTCGGTGTTGCATTTCCACTGGGTCTTCCCAAGGCTGGCCAGAAGCATCTAGGCGTGGCGTCTCCCAGCCACTCCGGAAAGTTGGGTTGTAGGGATCTGCGTAGCCCCGGGGGAAGTCCACTCTGGGGCGCACAGGGCAGAAAGGAGGTAGAAATGAATAGAAGAAAATAATACAATTGAGAATGAGTGAAATCATCAAATGAGGGGGGTTATTGGGTTGTTTTTGTTTTTATTGTGTATTTTGTGTTTTCATATTGTGGCTTTATCTTGTGAACCACCCTGAGACCTGCAGGTATAGGGTGGTATACAAATTTAATAAACAATAATAATCATGAAACCCTCAATCACATACTGAAACTTGCCCATTCATTTCTGATTAAAATTGCCAAAAACACTCGACTGATTGACCTCAAACCGATCAACACTGAATCACTAGCCAGTGTCACAAATGGATGGGTCTAATTTATCAGCAACATATCAAAGACCTTGGAATGCAAATCCCCAAGGTTTCCAGTGACCTCCGAGCCTGAAATGAACCGCTGGGCTCCAGTGACCAAGCTCCTCTGGTGCCATCAGCTCAGTTCAGCCAATGGCAGGCAAGAAAGGTCATGGGTGAGCTCCCGTTGCTCGGTCCCTGCTCCTGCCCACCTAGAAGTCCGAAAGCACATCAAGGTGCAAGTAGATAAATTGGTACCGCTCCAGAGGGAAGGCAAACGGTGTTTCCATGCACTGCTCTGGTTTGCCAGAAGCGGCTTAGTCATGCTGGCCACATGACCTGGAAGCTGTATTCTGGCTCCCTCGGCCAATAAAGCAAGATGAGCGCCGCAACCCCAGAGTCGGCCACGACTGGACCTAATGGTCAGGGGTCCCTTTACCTTTACCTTAAGCTACTGAAGGTAATGGGGCCCTTTATATATCCAGCTGTCCTTTGTCAACAACAAATTGTTGTTGGTGTTGACAAACAATTGGTGTTGAATATATGCTATATGGTAATTTATGGACCTAACAGGTATCTAAAGCCATTTGCACGTGTTGCCATGCAACCAGTCCATGCAGAATGTAGGCACCCTATATATAGAAATGAGCAAACCAGTGATATTTTAGGGAGCAGGCTAGCAGGCGGGGCCCATTACTTACATCATAGGAGCCTACACAACACAAAACACTGTTGCTGTATGTAGGTTTCGTTTTATTTGTTTTTTATCTTATATTTTGAAAATGTACATTTTCCCCCTTTAATTTTTTTGGGGGGCCCCAAGAAAGTGGGGCCCTAAGCTATAGCTTGTTTAGCTTATGTGTAAATCCAGCACTGGGGAAGAAATAACAAACCCCCCTTACCTTGGCCTGGTCCAGTTTTCACCCAGTGAATACCACAGTTCTGTCTCCTGGTCTCCTAAGCAGCCTCGCATCAGGGTCACTGCTTCCAGGGTCAGCATGGGGCTGCGCAGCTCAGAAGCAAACGCTGGTCCCCCCGAAGACTCCACAACCTGAAGTGGGATGCGAGAGTCAAAAATGCCAAGTTGTTGTTATTGTTCTATTTATTTATATCCCAGTCCGGGACTCAAGGGGGCCCAAGTTCTCCACAGGAGGTGCTTGACTCTAGAGCAGTGGTTCCCAACCTAATTTTGGCCATGCCCCACCTAAGCAACTCTAAAAATCCTGATGCCCCCACCCCACCCCCATGACACATAATTCTTATTATTCAAAAAGTGAACTATTCATGTGGAGGAAGTCTAAAAGGCCATTAACTGTTAATAACTCATTCTCGAATTGGCCCCCTTAAAAATCAAATTGTCCCCCTGTGGGGTGTGTGCCCCACATTTGGAACCACGGCTCTAGAGCCAATCTGCACACGCAGCAACATTGCACGATGAAGCTTTTCATGGATTGTACCACGCTGCTCTCCAAGGATGCGGGGAGGGGATTGCACTTTTAATGCTCTCCCGTGACAAAGGAGACTTCACATACAGATGCCTAGCATGCCAGGGATATATGTTCTAGGCCAGGCATAGGCAAACTCGGCCCTCCAGATGTTTTGGGACTACAACTCCCATCATCCCTAGCTAACAGGACCAGTGGTCATGGATGATGGGCATTGTAGTCTCAAAACATCTGGAGGGCCGAGTTTGCCTATGCCTGTTCTAGGCTCCCCTTTGATACACCAGTTTTCCACATGCAATGATTTTTTTTTAAAAAAATGGGTTTCAGTCCCATGTCTGCCATCCGCATGGTATAGTTCACCCTGTCATTCTGCTGCTTGGGCAAATCACCTTCCAGGGTTTAATCACCACTGGTTCAGCTGCCTGAGAGTTCATCTTCCCCTCCCCTCTGCCCCATCTGCTGCTTACCAGCTTCAAGGGGTTGAAGAGAAAATGTATGAGCTCCTCTGAGGTAGGGTTTGCAATGTTCGATTTCAGCCTTGCCTGAGTGGTGGGAACAAAAGCATATCCTAGTGGTTAGCATGAGCCAGGCAGGCGCCCTCTTGCTTTCTTGTGAGAAAAGCGCACCCAACCACACTCACCAGAAGACTGAAGGAATATTTCATCTTTGCCAGAGCATCTTCAAACTCCTCTTGGGGAGGAGGCCGGGATCGGATTGTCAGGAGTCCCTCTGCGGATGCAGCAGAGTAAGAAGATATTGACACCTGTACTGCACCTTGGGCTATTGTTCTACGATGACATTACATGCAACCTAAATTATGTATACTTCCTCTTGGAATTGCAGCGGAACAAAGCAAGAGGCATGAAACCGTGAACGAATGCCAAAACAGACTCAGGCATGTGTGTACATCCCACTTCCACCTCACTAGTCCAGAATCTGTTTTGGAGAGCAGAGCCCCTGGTCCCGATGGATTTAGAGGCTTCCTCAGCACAGGTGCCAAAGGCCTCCTGTAAATGCTCCACATAATGAAATTAATGTGCTACACATGTCAATACAAGATGCCCACATGTGGAGCTGCACACACGGTGTGCAGCAACCGTGTCAGCAAGCCTTTTGGATCCATGACCAAAGCTGCAGGATTTCTGCCTGCAGATGGGAATCCATTGAGGGTTCTGGAGAAAGGCCCCTTGCCCCAGGTTTTCTCTGAAAGAGCAACTCACGTCAAATGAGTGAAAAACACACACACAAAAAGACCTCTTGTATATGCAAAGCATGACAACTCTGCTATGGTGCTATGCCGAAACAGGAGACCTGGGGCCTGTTATGTTAGGGAAGCCTTTCAGAGCCCAGTGAACTTTCTGGATTCTGGTGGGTTTCCAGAATTGTCCAGAGGGCAGAACCAAAATGTTCAGCCAGACAGGAGCAGCATTCAGAAGAAGAAGAAGAGGAGGAGTTTGGATTTGATATCCCGCTTTATCACTACCCGAAGGAGTCTCCAAGCGGCTAACATTATCCTTTCCCTTCCTCCCCCACAACAAACACTCTGTGAGGTGAGTGGGGCTGAGAGACTTCAGAGAAGTGTGACTGGCCCAAGATCACCCAGCAGCTGCATGTGGAGGAGCGGAGACGTGAACCTAGTTCACCAGATTACGAGTCTACCGCTCTTAACCACTACACCACACTGGGTTCTCTAGTTTCCAGCCGCCTCAGTTATCGTGCCAGGAAAGAGAGGGAGAATGTAGTTTCCTGGAGCTCGGTTCGATCTATATTTCTCACCGCCTGGCCCCCGGCGACGGCCCTTTGCGGAGCGCTTGCGTTGATCCAGGACACGGAAAGCTTCAGCTGATTTCTGCAGCTTCCCTATGAAGGCTTCCACATCGTCAAAAACATGGTTCAGCAGCTCCTGTCAGATGGAGAGAGGAAGGGAGATAACAGTAGACAGCTCCAGCTGAACACTCTATATAGAGCCCTCTGTGTAAGAACCAATTGCACAGATCTGTACATGTCTACTCAGAAGTAAGTCCCACTGAGTTCAGTGGAGCTTACTGCTAGGTAAGCGGGTATAGCAGTGCAGCCTCAATTTCTAAAAAGAAAGAGAGAGAATTGTGGCATGCGAACTACATGTACTGGAATTCTCTGTTCTGTGCAAATTCATGAAGTATATTGTATTTAATTATGGGGTATCAGAGTTTTTAGCAGGTTAACCAGGCTGGGATAGCAGGCTTGTTGGTTTTTGAATGTCTGATGTAGATTTTTTCAATTTCGTTGTTCTGTATGGAACAATGACAATACTGTAAAGATTATCATATCGTATGAAGTGATGTTCCCTTGCCCTAACTACACTTTACTCCTGGAAAAGCAGCAAAGACCATCTACTCAATCTTGAACTCCTTGAAGGATTTCAAGGTATTTATATCAACGGCAGCATTCCATTGAGCTACAACAACATAAAACTACATGTGGTTTGCAAAACAACAACAATACTTTTAACAGAATGAAAACACACTTCCCTAAATATTTTTTTGGGGGGGGGTGAGGGAACGGTATTTAAAAAATATATATATAGGAAGAAAAAAAATAGTATTTAAGAGATCACCCCAAATATATTCAATAGGTTGTGTGTGTGTTTCTTAAAGTCCAGATATGCCAGTACATTCTGTACTTTTAACAGCTGTACAACAAGCAGGGGAAAAACCCACCACAGGTGTATCTCTCCCTATCATTGTTTTGTTACTTGTCCAAACCTGCACATACCTGTCAGGAAGCTGCCAAGGGCACTGACTATGCTTCAGAGACAAAAGGTGACGGGTCCTATTGGGTGCATGCAAATATAGGCAAATCCACAAATCCTACCTCATGGCAATCACTCCTGCCTCCCACAAATCATTCTAACCTCTTTTGCAGGCCACCTGGTTTTTCACACAGAACCTTTCCAGCTAAACTTACCACATTTTGCTCGGACTGAACAAAGGCCAGGTCAGATTCAGCTGCCGAGATATCTAGAAGCAGAAAGAGCCAGGAGGTTAGACACGCTCCACTCTCCTCTGCCCACCCTAATGTTCAGTGGTGTTCAACTCAGGCATAAAGGTGTGCATAGGTTTGCAGCCTTTGGCGAAGCGTCAGGGCTCCTGGCTTCTCACCATTCTCCTTTTGCTCTGGCACAATCACTGTTGTCCTGGAGGGCACCTGTTTAGGAGACTGAGGCAGGGTCTCTGGAGCCTTGTTGGTCTGGCTGCCAAGCCAATTCTGGGTAGCTCTGAAGACGAGAGATGAAAAGCAAGGGGTTTAGATAAAAAAGGAAGGGCTCTCACCTCGAGAAAGAATACTATACTAGACATCTCTAGCTCTCCTCTGGCTCAAGGGTGGGGAATCTTTTTCTGGTTAAGGGCTACAGTCCCTTGGGTGTGGGAGGGGCTGGAGCCAGTGGTGGGTGTGGCCAGAACCAAAGTGGGCGGGGCCATATCCCAAACTATGTCACTCACAAACAGGTGTACTGACACTCCAGCAGCTGCTTTTACTGGTGAAAGCAGCTTTGGTGAGGTTTCTGCTTTGTTTTAGCAGAGAAGTGGCGCATGTGGGTGCTTAACCCTTTTCCGTTGCTCTTTTGCTGCAACTCACTCCCACTTCAAGCCACTCCCCACACCTCCACTCCGCAGGATTCAAGAAGCATGGGAGGAAACTTGCAGGGGGGAAATCAGTGGGACTTGCGTTAGAAAAATAGCAAGTGGGTGAAAGGGTCAGATGTCTCCACCCAAACGTCTCTACTGAAAAACCACACAGGCCATTCCTTGTACAGCTGCTCTTCCCTCGAAAAAGCCATCAGCAGGATTGAAATACAGTGGTACCTCGGGTTAAGAACTTAATTCGTTCCAGAGGTCTGTTCTTAACCTGAAACTGTTCTTAACCTGAAGCACCACTTTAGCTAATGGGGCCTCTTGCTGCTGCCGCGCCGCTGTAACATGATTTCTGTTCTCATCCTGAAGCAAAGTTCTTAACCTGAGGTACTATTTCTGGGTTAGTGGAGTCTGTAACCTGAAGCGTCTGTAACCCGAGGTACCACTGTACATTGTGTGTGTGTGTGTGTGTGTGTGTGTGTGTGTGTGTGTGTGTACTTTGCAGCCTTCATAGTTTAGAACTCCCCTTTCCCTAAGACCTGTGGCTATACAGGCTTATGGGTCTGCATTCACCTGAGCGCCTCCTTCCGTTGAGCATTTCCGCCGGACTTGAAGTCCAACAGAGCTCCATTAATGTCCTGCTGGATCAATTCTGCCTGTAAAATAGAAGAGAAACCAAGTCAGAAAGCTCAGCAGTGAGAGAGAAAACTCTCTCCCTTCCCCAGCTCCAAAATATGCCTTGGGGCATCACATTAGCCTTCACAAACCTGGTGCCCTCCCAATGTTTTGGACTTCAACTCCCAGCCCCTGCCAGCAGAGGAGGGCACCAGGTTGGCAAAGACTGCTTTAGGTTACTTTTCCTGCAGCTGGAAGAGGGTTTCTCTATCAAGAGTGGCTTTTCAAACTTCCCTTATGGATCCACAGTGTCCAGTTTCCTTACCCCTACATGGTCACATTCAAAGAAGTGGACATCTGGTTTGAGCTGGTGGGGTTCCTGGCATACAAGCAGAAGCAGCGACTGGGATCGAGACTCAGGTCGAACGGCTTCACAACGAGCCACAGCTGCTAATCCGTAGTTCTCTAGCTCCTCCTGTAGCGGGAGACAAAGTCACCAAACAATCCAGACAACCCCTCTCCAAATAAGAGATATTGGATCACAGGGCTACAGCCAACAACCTCTTGGTCCCTATTCGCCACCCAACATCACAGTCTTGGGTTGCTCCTCTACCTTTGAGTCTATGTCGAAGAGCTTGACGGCGGACCCGTTGACCTGAAGTAACATCTCCTGAACCCAGATCTTCCCTTGGGCATCCATGACGGACAGTTTCCTGGTGGCATCCTCCACGGTTGCCAAGTCATCCTCGTCCCCGATGGAGAAGGTAACCAAGTGCTGGAAGATACAGAAGGGAGAGAAGCCTGTGCTTAAGTCACCGAGGTTACTTGTAGCTTTATTTCGCTAGTTTGAAAATGGTTCTGGGGACAATCAGAAAGGGTTCCTCAACAACAACAACAACTATTATTATTATTATTATTATTATTATTATTATTTACATTCCACCCCGTCTGGCTGGGTTTCCCCAGCCACTCTGGGTGGATCCCAACAGAATATTTAAAACATCAAACATTTAAAACTTTCCCAAACAGGGCTGCCTTCAGATGTCTTCTAAAAGTCAGATAGTTGTTTACTTCCTTGACATCTGATGGGAGGGCGTTCCACAGGGTGGGTGCCACCACCAACAAGGCCCTCTGCCTGCTTCCCTGTAACCTCACGTCTCACAGGGAGAGAACTGACAGAAGGCCTTTGGAGCTGGACCTCAGTGTCTGGGCTGAATGATGGGGGTGAAGGCGCTCCTTCAGGTATAGTGGGCCAAGGCCATTTAGGGCTTTAAAGGTCAACACCAACGCTTTGAATTGTGCTCGGAAACATACTGGGAGCCAATGTAGGTCTTTCAGGACCGGTGTTATATGGTCTCAGATATGGTAGACAAGTATTCATGGGCATCAGTATGACTACCAAAACCAACCCTGCCCTAGAACATCAAGGTGCCCAAAAGTGTGAGTGTGTGTGAATGAGTCTGAAAGTGAGTGAATGAATACATAAATAAATGAGAGAGAGATAGATAGAGAGGGAGGGAGGGAGGGAGGGAGGGAGGGAGGGAGGAAGGGAGAGGAAGAAAGGCCTTAACAGGGTCTCTCCGTCATGTGATGTTTGGTTGGTGGGCAGAGAAGAGAGTGGGCCTTTTGGAGAGGGCTCTCCCTAGAGAGGCTAACTTGGCACCAAGTATGTTGGTTATTTGATGGTAGACCAGCTCATACTCCAGCTGGGCTGTCCTCTCCCTCCACAGAGCCATCTGCTACTACCAGCTGCTCTGTGGGAAGCATCTCAGTGACATTTTATATGTTGTCAGTCATACTCAGTACACTTCTGAGTACCAGTTGCTGGAAGCTGCAGGAGAAGAGGCTGCTCTTGTGCTTGGCTGCTGCTGGAGGGTTTCCCACCGGCATCTCTTTGGCCACTTTGAGGACATGATGCTGGACTAGATAGGCCATTGGCCTGAACCAGGAGGGCTTCCCAGGAGGGCGGTTCCGTCACTTCAAAAAGTGAGGTTACAGGGAACCAGGCAGAGGGCCTTCTCGGTAGAGGCGCCCACCCTGTGGAACGCCCTCGCGTCAGATGCCAAGGAAATAAACAACTATCTGACTTTTAGAAGACATCTGAAGGCAGCCCTGTTTAGGGAAGTTTATTGTGTTTTTAATATTCTGTTGGGAGCCTCCCAGAGTGACTGGGGAAACCCAGCCAGATGGGTGGAGTATTACGGTAACAACAACAACAACAACAACAACTTTCTGATCATTGCTTTTCCCCCTAAAAAGATTGTATTTAATTTTACTTGTACACGCCCTTGGAATAATTTGTGTTATGAAAGGTTGTATGAAAATAATTGTGAGGAATGCATTTGTCCTGGCCTTCCAGTATTAAACATGAGCTTATTCACTCTGCTGATTTTTGCCCTGTGCCATGGCTCTCCTTGGCGCTTACTGCTTCAATGTGGATTGTATAACAGGGATGCTTTTTAAAAATTATTTTCTTGTTTGGTTCCCCATATAGTTCTACCAAAGGACAGTCCAAAAGAAACATGAACGCAAAAACTTTATACAGGCCTAGGCAACATTCCAAATGAACTAGAATACCCATCTTCCAACTCGTGAGTCAGGATCCCAAAACTAGCTTGTAGGCCAACCACAGAGTGAGTTACAGATTATTTAGATAATTTGTTTTGGAGGGAAGACTGTTGTCTTTTAAAGAGGAGACAGGCAGGCAGGCAGGCAAACAGAAGTGGAGGGAAAGGTGTAGACTTAAGGAGGACGTGTGTGGTAAAAAAAGAAGTCAGAGTCAAGTGACAAGTCAAAATAATTGAAGACAGTTGTTCTAGAATGTTCTTCAGAATCCACTGCAACACATAGGCTTCCCATGCAATGGGTTTCTTCAAAATAACTCTGGAGGCAACCAGGAACCCCTCATCTTTATAACCTCTTCCCTAATATCACTCAGTTTTTCCCACTCTAATTCACTAGCCACTGATGTCCCACAGCTCTTGCTCCCGCTTTTGCAAAGCCGAAACCCAAACTTACATTGACGGCATACTGTGAGACGTCTGCCATGATAATGCTGGAATACTTCTTCCTCTGCTCTGCAGAAAGAGACAAAACATTATTTAAGGAGGAGGAATTGTGTTGCAATGTTGACTTAAACCAGCAAATGAAACCTGAAACTTTAGTGTCGACTGTCAGCTGGGTCTGTTTAGCATCAAGTGGCAACTTTTATTTTAAAAAGGTGGCAGTGAGGGCGGGGATAGAGAAGGGAAGCACCGTCTTTGGGGGCCATGTCCTATTCAGAACAAATGGGCAGGGAGGATGGGATTACAGGATATGCACACATTCATTCAAAGCACAAAAAATCCCGGGAACTGCTGTTTGTTACCCTGTGAAAAGTGACCTACAGTAGCCAGGACAGTGCTTTAACTATGGTGTGTACCCAGCCACAATGCACATGAGGTCTGCCTTCTTTGTGACAGGGCTCCTGACAGTGGAGTGACAGTCGAAAATTCAGCAAATAAAACGTCATTTAATTTACATCCTAGGGAAAATTGCACATGCTTAACAGCTGCATGCCAGGGTCGTTTTCAAGACACAGAAACATCAGCTTAAAAAGGGAAATAAGCATAAATGTATATACAGTCATACCTTGGTTTTCAAACAGCTGAGTTCTCGAATGCTTTGGCTCCCAAAAGCTGCAAACCTGGAAGTGACTGTTCTGGTTTGCAAACTATTTTTGGAAGCAGAACGTCCCACGGTGCTTCCACGGCTTCCGATTGGCTGCAGGAGCTTCCTGCAGCCAATCAGAAGCTGTGCTTTGGTTTCTGAACATTTTGGAAGTCGAACAGACTTCCGGAACAGATTCCGTTTGATTTCTAAGGTACGACTGAATGTACACACATTATTCATATTACCATATCTCTCACTCATGCACACATGCAGTGAGTGAGGGTTTGCCTAGTTTAAAGAACAATGGGTTGTATCCAATGCTAATCTGACTCAGAGTAGACCCATGGAAGTTAACGGACATGACTAACTTAGGTTCATTAATTTCAATGGGTGTACTCTGACTAGGACTAGCACAGGTTAAAACTCTTAATAAGAACATCCAGGGATTTATCTCTCTAAGGAACACTTTTCAGTTCTTAAGAAATTATTACCTCTTCTAAAGAGGAGGGATGTAATTACTGCCTCTCCCTGCGGGAACCAGTTTAGCTTGTGAGAAATACAGACACACCCATCTCCTCCCTTCTTACTGCTTCTCTGCTGATTCCTGCTCTTTCCCCACCTCACGCGGCACAGAATCTTTGGTTTTTAAATCCCAGGAAAATGAAATGTTCAAGCTTCCTCAAGTCAAAGGGGAGAAACACAGAGAGGATGTAAACTGAAAGACTGATGGGTTTCCTGGTTTAGTTTGCAGCAGAGGAGCAGAAGTTCGTTGTGGTATCATACACAAGATCCCAACGTTGGAAGGAAAAAACTTTTAGTTTCATAGCACACAGCAGAACATGAGGGGGAACCACACCAGCCTTGAAAGCTCTGCAGAAACAGTTATGAGCAAGACAAATTTTGCAAAAGATCAGCCATATAATTTTTTTTGCAGCACTTTTCAAAGCTGTGCGAGTTCTTTATTATTAAAAAAAAGTGAGGTGCCTGCACTCAAGGAGATTATAAAGCAATAAACTGCATTTTGATGGTAGCGAAGTCAACCAAGGAAGAGAGGGGAGGGCGAGTCAAGGGATTAATTGTAAACAAATGTGGTTATTGAGGGTGAGAAGCAAAGAGTTAGGCCAAAGGCTTCCCAGGTAAGGTGTTGATGTGAGAAAGGGATCCCACGTGACATACTCAGGAAGGGAGTTCCAGGTGTAAAGATCACCAGCAGATCCGTTTATGAGAGCTGGTAATCCTTGAAAAAGTTGAGGATGCTACAGCTTCAGGACTGAGAAGGTCTTCAGATTTGAAACGTACCAGCACACTCATAAATAAACAAATCTTCCAGATACATTCCTATACTCCAAAACTCACCATAAATGGCTCTGGCACTGGGCTTGGAGCGGTCACTGCCGAGGCTGCAAGACAAAATGGACTAGTTATTCAACAACCGGAAGAAATCACCTCAGGTCCACATTTCCAGACTACTATACATCCTTCTCAAAGCTTGCTAGGCCCTCAGGCTCCCCTCCGCCCATGAATCCTGGATGCCAGTATCTTCTAGGGCTGGGGAACCTGTCCAAATCCTATCTATCAGTAATCTGTGCCACTAAATTTTACTTCAGCTCCCAAACAAGGCCATGGCGCTATATTGAAACAGCCCAGTTTCTGTTCAAAGAGGTTTTGCAGCCCTTAGTGCCCCAGCCCATGTCAACTCTAGTCCCACAGTCACCAACCCCTTTTGTCAACCCAGAAGTGAAAGAAAAAGAGAGGCAAGACTATGGCAAGACTTCCTTGCCATACCAGCAGGGCCTCTACATGATCCCCAATGGCTGTTTCCTAAGCAGTCCCTTGACAATGCTCAGTAAGCTCAAAAATCACAACGAAAGGGGCAAGAGAACGAGGGAGGTGTTCCTGGCGAGTTCCGGCAGCTCTTTTTCTAGAAAAATAGCAGGTGAAGCACAGGAAACACCCTTACCTTAAGATCTGGGAAGGGTGTGAGGCCTGGAGAGAATCCTGAGGTTAAGAAAGGGAGGTTTGGAGGGTTACATTTGCCCCCCGCCAGGCCTGGGGGTCTCCACCTTTTGTGGAGGGCAGTGGCTCTCCAAGGTTTCAGTTGCCGGGCCTTCTTCCCAGCACAACCTGGAGCTATGAAATGTCAGGGATCGCACCTAACACCTTTTCTTTGCAGGTCGGGCTCTCTCAACCCTCAGTACAAAAAGTGAGTGCATGCCCAGAACACCACAGAAGGTTCTGGAAAGCAAAGAACTTTGTGCTTAAGCTCCACATCCCAGATAAATCTGGGCACACCTTGAATTTCAGTGCCTCCCTAGGTAGTCTTGCTCCCAAATCTGTAGGTGCTGGATGGAGTTCTCTGACAGCCAATCTTACCTTCCTGAGTCACTCATGATGTCAGCGGCCTTGTCCAAAAGTCCTAATGCAACCTGGCAAGCATAAGAAGAGAACTTTGGTGGCAAAGGGGTGGAAGGAACAAGAAGCCCCGACAATAACGGACTGGCATTACAAGCTACAAGAATTTGCTGAAATGGCGCAGTTAACAAATACCCTGAGAAGCAATTCAAAACAAAAACTTATGGAAAAGTGGGATAGATATAAAACTTATGTTCAAAAATACAGTAAAGGTTCGCTATCTATGCTAGCATTTGATTGACGTTGGAGTGAGAATGAGTTGAGAAATAATACTAGGAGCACATATTGATATAGGAATGTATTAGATAAAATGTAAAGAAATATACAATAATAAGAGTACATTCATTTGTAAAAAAGGAATATACAACGGGATAGACAGGAAGTCTAGTGTGTTGGTATGTATATGATTTTTTTTGGGGGGGTTGTTTTTGTTTTTTCTCTTTGTTCTCTCTTTCGTTTCATTTTCTTTCTAGGTATATAAAATTTGTATATAAATTTTGTATACATGTTGGAAATTATATTATAGTAAGTCCTGTAATGTAATATGACAACGTTTACCAATGTAATATAAGAATGTTAACAAATAAATAAAATGCAAATTCAAAAAAGAAAAGAGAAAAAAGAGAAGGTTATCCGTTTCATGACAAGCCTGCATAGAGAAAGCAAGTAGCTTTTGTTGCTCTATGGGGTGGGGAGCCCCCAGGGCTGGATTTAGGTTTGACGAGGCCCTAAGCTACTGAAGGTAATGGGGCCCTTTATATGTCCAACTGTCCTTTGTCAACAATAAACTGTCGCTGTTTTTGAGCTGAATATATGCTATATGGTAATTTATGGACCTAACAGGTAACTAAAGCCATTTGCACGTGTTGCCATGCAACCAGTCCATGCAGAATGTAGGCACCCTATATATAGAAATGAGCAAACCAGTGATATTTTAGGGAGCAGGCTAGCAGGCGGGGCCCATTACTTACATCATAGGAACCAACACAACACAAAACACTGTTCCTGTATGTAGGTTTTATTTTATTTATTTTTTATCTTATATTTTGGAAATGTACATCCAGTTTTTTCCTTTAAATTTTATGGGGGGGCCGCAAGAGATTGGGGCCCTAAGTTATAGCTTGTTTAGCTTATATGTAAATCCGGGACTGGGAACCCCAGACCCAGGGGCCATATGTGGCCCTCCAGCACTCTTTATCTGGCCCTCGGAACTCTCCTCACACCGATCCTGCTTTGCACCTAGAGTGTTTTTGCCTGGCTGGGATGTGTCCCTAAAAACTCTGTGGCTTATCTGGGTGGAGGACGGAGAGGGAAGTGCTGTAGAAAAGTAATATTTGCCTTTACTCCTCTGCCCACTTTTGTCTCTGGCCCTGCCTACCTCTGGCATGTGGCCTTCAGCAGGTCGCCTATAAGGAAATACAGCCTTGGGGCTGAAAAAGGTTCCCTACCCCTGTGCTAAAAAGAACAACGGCAAATGTCTGTTCTCCCACTAGAAGAGTGGTTTCAGAATTCATTAAGCAGGCCCAGGCAATTGCCAATGGACACCCAGCGGACATTTGATTTCAGGGATTATTACCCCCGACCCCCAACACACACACACACACACACACACACACACACGTACTCTGAGCTCTGTACTCATTTCCCTTGTTCTTTGCAGTTAGAATCCACTTCGCCGAAGCGTCCTAAACAATATTATATGACTAGCAAATTCAAGCTGACAATGCTAGTTGAGAAGTGAATGCTTTGCATGTGGCTCAGGTACCTTGATGCTACATTTGCATGCCTTCACACCTGAGGTGGGTACTGTCAGGCTTTGGGCCTTAGTAAGAGGCAGGCTCAAAAAGGAACTTTTTTAAGGTCTTGGCTGTGATGAAGGAAGAAAATCCTGATGTTAGAGAAGGGAGGGATCATTATTCCCTTCTCTTCCCCGCCTTTACTGCCCTAATGGTTTAATTTCTTTACATATTTGCTTAATTTTAATCACCATTTCAATCCTGCTCTGATTCAGCTTTAAGGAGCAGGTTTTTGTGGGGAATATTTGGGGCAACCCCCCCCCAACAAACCATTATGTTTGGACATTAAAGCGCAGCCTGGAAAAAGTGGGGCTGGGTAAAAGGTAAACCCAGTTGTGCTGATGTACTGATCCATGGGCAGGCAAACTAAGGCCCGGGGGCCAAATCCGGCCCAATTGCCTTCTAAATCCGGCCCCCGAACGGTCTGGGAATCAGCGTGTTTTTACATGAGTAGAATGTGTGCTTTAATTTAAAATGCATCTCTGGGTTATTTGTGGGGCATCGGAATTCGTTCATTAATTTTCTTCCAGAATATAGTCCGGCCCCCCACAAAGTCTGAGGGACAGTGGACCGGCCCCCTGCTGAAAAAGTTTGTGACCCCTGTAATAATCTGATGTTGATTATTCATTTATCGTCACATGTATTCTTCCAGGATGCCTTTCTGTTTTATCCTCAAAACAACGCTGCGAGGCAGGTTTGGCTAAAAGAGATCGCGATTGGCAACCCAGTGGGCTTGGTGTTTGAACCGTGGTCTCCCAAGTCCGATTCTGACACTCTAACCACTTTGCCACAATGGTATTTTGTACCTCATTGTATTCTGATCTTATTATGCTGACTGGCATGATGTACCTACATGTGGGCAGTATAGGGTTGTTTTTTGTGTGTGACGAAATAAATAAAACCCCAGATCATTTACAGTACAAGGGTGTGCGATCATGCACACATGGTAAAGTAAGTAGGCCTCGCTCCTGCCCAAGAATGCTGCGGCATCTCTTGCCAACGGCCACACCTGTTTCGTTTCACCTGGCAAGGTGCTTTGTTTATTAAAGGTGGGATTTAACCTCCTGCTATGCTTGGAGCAGAGCAAACCTGCTCTCGTCTAACCACGCTTCTTTTTCAGAGAAGAAGCCGCACAAGGAGCAAGCGGCTTAATGGTTAAAGCAGAGGTCGTAGTGTTTAATAGGGCGGGTGGTGGCAAGAGAAACAGGATACTCTCTTCTCGATATTTGCTTAAATATCCCAGCTACAGATTTGCAAGCAATGCTCATTTATGCACAGGTCTATCGCCAGCCGTGGTTGATATGAAGAAACAATGGTCAATATTGACTCAGTTGGACTGTGTATTTGGGTTTAGGCCAGAAAGGAAAAAGGATTACTGCTTATATGTCACCGCTTTCCCCCCAAAACATTACCTGCCCACCCACATCCAAATTAGGTGGGTTTCAAGAAGGTGGTGTATCCCTTTTTAATTTTTGCAGGGTTTCTGCCCTTTTAGAACCCAAGAGGCAGAAATCTAAGATTTCCCTAGTGTTGCGCCTCCATTCACAAAGAAACTGCACCTGTTGATTTTCTGTCTGCCGTGCACAAGGTGAAAATTCTTTGCTCAGGGCCCCATGATTTCTGGGTCATTTTAGCCAACTGCTAGATGACGCTGCTGTATCTGATTACTATACCCAAAGCGTAACTCTGAATTCGGTAATCTGTTTTGAAAGCCGCTGCCTAATCCTGGATGTGTGAAATGAAGCGACAAAATATAGGCGCACCTCTAAGCATGCATAATGCGTTTTCGCCCTCACCTCTGAGAGAGGGTATGAATTGTAGGCAGGTGAGAGCTCCACAAGCTGTCTGTGGAGAAAGTATACACTATCTACATGTTAGCCCCACTTTTTCCTCTTCTTACACATTTCTTTCATTTCCAAAAACGTCTATACATCCTGCTTTTTGATGCAAAAGGGCACAAACAAGGCTGTTTGCAAGAAATAGCATATTCCCCCAAAATGGGGGCAGCCCCTGTTTCCTGGTTCTTCTCTCTGTTAAATGTCTCTCTCTCTCTCTTTTTTTTGCCTTTGGGGGATGCCTAATTAGTATGTTGCTAGTGCAAATTGCTCGACTTGTCATTTATCAGGCTCAGCCCCAGCTCCAGGGCTTTGGCAGTAAAAACATCACCTTTGGAGGCAAACAGTGTGGAGGGGGGAATGAGGCATTAGAGCATATTCCAGAGTGGGGCCCCACAGCAACTTGTTCTTTGAAATTAATGCAGCCAATTTAAGGCACTTTTAAAAAGTAGGAATAATGTCATGCGGCATTTGGTCCAAGTTTATCATAGGAATATAGGAAGCTGAATTAAAACAAACCAAACCATTGCTCCATCTAGCTCTGTACTGTCTATACTGAATAGCTGTGGCTTTCCAGGGTTTTTGACAGGCCTACCTAAAGATGCCAGAGATTGAACCTGCAACCTTCTGCATGCAAAGCAGATGTTCTACCACTTTTCTGTGGCTTTCCCCCTTCTTGTCTCTGCTAGAGATGCACATTAATACATGCGCTTGAACAATAAGCTTCCGCATAGGGAACAAAGCCCATTTTACAGTTTGTCACTGCTGAGGTCACAAACTCTCAGCAATGTATAAATTGTGCATTGTGCTGTTCTGGTGGTGGTGAGGATCAGGCAGTGATCCTTGAGGCAAGAGTAGGAGGCTTACAAAAATGGACATCTCATCTGATATATTGGAGGGTAGGCAGCCATAAAGAAACTAAGTCAAAGATGCAGCAACCATTCTGGGAAATATACCAATAAAGCCAAGGATTTAATAGAGAAAATTTGCCTAAAAGAAGCCAAGTAACACTGTCCTTGGACAAAAAAGGTAGGATATAACTGTAAAAATGAAATAAATGGATCAGATACCCAAATATTTTCAGGTTTAATCCTTGCCCATGTTTGCTGTCAAAGCCTTTAACAAAAGAGGGGCATATGTGTGCTGAAGCTCAATACTTACAATTATGACCCCCTAATGAGAACGCTTAGACTAGGGGTCACAAACTTTTTCAGCAGTCCACTGTCCCTCAGACCTTGTGGGGGCCCGGACTATATTCTGGAAAAATAATAATAATGAACGAATTCCTGTGCCCCACAAATAACCCAGAGATGGCTTTTAAATAAAAGCACACATTCTACTCATGTAAAAACACGCTGATTCCTGGACTATCCGCAGGCCGGATTTAGAAGGTGATTGGGCCGGATCCGGCCCCCGGGCCTTAGTTTGCTTACCCATGATTTAGACCAATGGACAAAAGTCAGTTATGATGACTAAGATTTCAGTGGGTCTACTCTGAATATGACTTAGCTGCAATCAAGAAATGTAGGACTAGCTTTTGATGCTTTGGCAAGGAAAGTCTTTCTGCGTATGTTTAGAGGTTCTCTCATTACTACATGAGATATCACCACAAAAAACCACACACTTGGTGTTTTTTTAAACAACATATCTCTTTTCTGTTCCACGCAAATCTGTAATCTTCCTATTCAGAACCAAAAAGCCTCAAAATAGCAGCTCCCTGGGCTAGAGCTTCCTGGATCTCACGGCAAGAAATTGTGTAAAAAGAGATTAAGCCAACACTGAGGAAAAAGAAGCAGAACAGGCACCCTCAAGGGGATTGTAGCGGCAGTGGGGAAATGTGACTGACACATGCAGAATACCGTTAAGAGAAAAAACTGGCATTTGCAGGCCTATCTCTGCTCAATCTTTCTTTAAAACTATAGGTATATGTGGAAGCTTTTTTGTGGGTGGGGAGGATCGATGACACAACCAACGCTCTGGGGGCCTGGCCCCTTGCAGGTATTCCAGGTCTGCCTGTGATGTTCAACTTTCAATAAAAAACAAAGTCTCTAACCTTTTTATTTGTGGAAATATAAGTGCCTGGTCAGTGTTCTAGTCAATTGCTAAGAAACACAATGAACACAACTTAAGTTCTGGATGCTTTGCAAGAGACCTCCCCCCCCTTACTTTCCAGCGCCATCTCACCAGAAAAACAATGCGATCTCTTTTTGGCAGCTGATAAGATCCACGTTAAACCCCTATCTGGGTTTCTTCTAAATAAAAGGGTTCCCACTTTAGGAACCACAGCACGGTCCCTGCTGCAAACCAAGTGCTTCTATTTGTCAAAAACTGAAAAATCTACCCTGCCAGAAGAAAGCCAACTTTCTTGCTCTAGTGAGCAAGGCCTCCCCCCCCCTTCTACACCAGAGAGTTGAGGACCAAGTTCCCTTGGTGCAACCAACTAACTAGGCTCCATCCCCACGAAGCCCAGGCTCCCTCCTTGTCCCTTCCCTCTCCCCCACACAAGCTCCCACCATACTTTTAGACTTACCTTCTACGCAGCAGTCCCTCTCTTTAGTTCTCAACCATCTCTGCTTTGGGCACCCAGCTGGTGGCATCTGACATGGCAAGTAGAAACTACCGATGTGGCTTGAGACTTACCAGTCCCTATGAGAGCGAGCCTGTCAGCTGAACCACACCCCTTGCATACCTGGGCAGGTAGCAGTCACTCACCAGGTGCCTTTTTTTTAAAAAAAAGCCTCAGGAACACACACATCAACCTGTATTTGAAACGAAACTTTTGCTAGGGGAAAAAAGTGGCAGGGCTTTTTCTGGAGGCAGCTGGTTGGAGGAAGAGGGAAATGAGGGCATGCTTTAAAATGTGCTTGCAGGCATTGTACGTGCCTGGTGAGAAGCTGTGGTCATTTTCCTTGCACGTGTCTATGCACTAAAACGCCTGTATATGTGCTCATTATACATGACAGATCTACAGAGTTTGTTGAACGCCCATCAATTCAGATGGTTCAAGGCTCTTATGTCGACATGCAGAGCCCTTAACAACTTGGGTCCAAGACAGCTTAAGGACCTTTTATCTTTGGTGGACCTGCAAAGGGGTTAAAAGAGTTTTGGGAAATAATCCATAATGAATTGAAAAAAATGTTTTAAAGTACTTTCCCAAAACAACCAGAGTCCTTTTCGTTGGGGATAATTCAGACAGATATTCCCAGGTGTCAAAAAAGATTATTTATGTATGCCACTAATGTGGACAGTGTTTTGTTAGCCCCAAAATGGAAAATGAGCGAGGTCCCAACTAAAGAAGAATGGCAACTTAAGCTGACGGAATGTATGCGCAGCTTGCAGACTTAACATACAGAATAAGAGCAAAAGAAGAACATACATTTAGAGAAGACTGGATAATGTTTATTGAGTATGTGGGGGGAAATTGTGTACACTTGAAAAGGTTGGCAGCATTAAGATAAATTCAACAGTGTAAATAAGTTTTGATGGATGTAATAATGGAATACTGAATGGTTTAGTTTTTGTAAAATATGCAGGGATTTACGATATGCAAAATGAGCCATGGAAAGAGAAAATCAGCTGGAGGAATACTGGTAATTGTCCCCTGCATTACAGATGCCTGCCTGGTCTCTACTAGAGGTACTGTATTGGGTATTTTGTGCCACTGGTCCCATTCTGTGCTTCCAGCAGAGACTGGTCAGGCACCCTAACTTTTGACTTTCAGGCATGTCTAAGACTTTCACAGCAACAGACCTATGCCATTGTTTAATTCCCCAACCCCAGCTAGCTACTTTCATTTGTTTTATTGTTATACACCACCCTGAAGTTTTGTTTTGTTAGGAGTATATATAAAAAATACTTTTGTAAATAAAATAAAATAAAAATTGAGGGGGAAAGGCATTTCAGTTTTGTCCGGTTTTAACATTGAAGGCAACACTGATTTGCGGGGGTGGCACAAAGTCAAGTTGGGCAGAGCAAAGGGGAAGGGGAACTTTCTGGGTTCTAAAGGAAGCGTTGGCTGTCCAATGCATTTTTGCAGAGAAGGGCAGAAGTTTAGGACCCTTTTCCAATGAGCATGGTCTATATAACATGTCTGGGGTAGCTATGTAATTTCGTTTCTTTTATTTAGGCTTAATGGAAGCTCTTATTTAGTATTTCTCTCTGGTAACCCATATGTTGCTGAACTCGCTCGTAACTTTTGAGGTAGGTAGGTTTCTGGTAGTTTTGGATAGTCCTCTTGTTGGCTCAAGCTGCTTTATAGGTGTTTCCCGAAACCTAGGCAATAAACTTCCATTTGCATTTATAGACGTTTTGGTCTGTTATAGCATGTGATGGTTCTTGCTTGTTCAAGGCGCCTGGAACAATTTGCTCTGCATGAACACATCATGTCTTAGCTGAGGTCAATTACCGTATTTTTTGCTCTATAAGACTCACCTTTTCCCTCCTAAAAAGTAAGGGGAAATGTGTGTGCGTCTTATGGAGCGAATGCAGGCCACGCAGCTATCCCAGAAGGCAGAACAGCAAGAGGGATTGCTGCTTTCACTGCGTAGCGATCCCTCTTGCTGTTCTGGCTTCTGAGATTCAGAATATTTTTTTCTTGTTTTCCTCCTCCAAAAACTAGGTGCGTCTTGTGGTCTGGTGCGTCTTATAGAGCGAAAAATACGGTAAATTGATCTCTGTGTTTGCATGAAGAGGCAAATAGCTGTATTGAATGGTTATCCAGCTAACCTGCTAGCCATGTAATCAAAAGGGTGTTAGGCTGTGTTGATTTCCAACACTGGCTGTACTTGTGTGCTTGTGTGTGTGTGATCCCTAAAAGGGTAGTGGCAGGACACTTGCTTTGCATGTAGAAGGTTCTAGTTTCAATCCCTGCTGCTTCCAGATAGGGCTGGGATAGACCCTGCCTAAAACTTGGGGCTGGATTAAGACCTTTAGCTGCCTAAGCACTTAAAAGTATTTGGTGCCCCTATCTATCTAATTCAAAATGCAAACACATGAGCCTTGGTGGACCAAGTGGCAGTTTACCAGTTACCAGATTCTCATTTCGTTGTTGTATTCCCAAGATTAATGTATATCATTAATATATACAATTGTACCTTGGAAGTCGAACGTCTTGTGAACAGAACGTTTTGGCTCCTGAACGCCACAAACCCGGAAGTGAGTGTTCCGGTTTGCAAACGTTCTTTGGAACCCGAATGTCTGACACAACATCTGTGGCTTCCGATTGGCTGCAGGAGCTTCGTGTAGCCAATTGGAAGCCGCGCCTTGGTTTCCGAATGTTTTGGAAGTCAAATGGACTTCCAAAACAGATTTCGTTCGACTTACGAGGTAACACATTATTATTATGATTTTCATTTATACTTGGAGCCTTTTTTTTCAGCTGCACCATATGGTCCATGGTAAATCCAGCAATGGAAAATGTCTATGGTGCCCCTCTTCCCTTGATGCCCTAAGCAGGTGCTTCTTTTGCTTAATGGTTAATCCAGCCCTGCTAAAACTCCAGAGAGCACCCGCCAGTCAGTTGTCGATAACGCTGAGCTAGATGGCCTCACTCAGTATACAGCAACCTCCTATGTACAGCAACTTCCTCTTGTGTGCTTCAGAAATGACCCATCAGAACAGACCAATGAAGTGCCAAGGTCAGAGGGTACACGAGGCAGCCACTGGCAGAAGCTACACGGGTTCGAGTTCAGCCAGTGGGAGACCCCTGGGAGCCTCCTTTAACCCCCCCCCCTTGAATTTAACTGCAGAGAAAAAGCAGGATATAAACATTTGAGTGACAGCTGCCTGAAGCAGCTACCCTACCCACCAAAGTAAGGAAATTATTCTCTGTGTGTGTTCACAGAGGAAAAGAATGCTCTCTGTTCTCCTTTTGAAAAGATCCAGAACGACGCAGGAACAGTAGCAGCCCAGGTGTGTCCCCACCCAGCCAGTTTCAGGTGTCAATACAACGCAGGCTATAAAAAAAAGTATCAAAGGACATTCCTACCGCACACTCTCATTGTTTAGTTGTTACCCAACACTGCAACTCTCCCACTTCCAGCCTGCCATACTCATTTACAGTAGGGTCTCTTACCCGCTGTCAATGAGACACAGGCATGAATGAAGTGGGCAGGGAGATGTTTTCTTCTTTGGCAATCACTCGTAGCCAAGTAAGATTGTCTTCCATAAACGCGGTTTTAACAATGAGTCTGTAAGTGACTGCGGAGGCCAATTCTGGATCCACACGTCCTTCCACAGCGCGGACATTGGTTTCCAGGCGGGAATTGAGAACGGTGTGGATTTGCCAAGCGTGCCTTCCTCTTAGCACGTTTCTCCCTTGCGTCCTGAGTTCAAATGTCTTCAAAGCCCATGACACTTTGGGTAAAGGCTGTTCTCCAACTGGAGCACTCGCAGGCAAGTGCTTCCCAATGGTTGGTGTTTATACTGCATTTTTAAAAAATTGTCTTTAAACCTATTTTGTTGACCACCAGCATTACGCTTTCCATTTTAAAGTTTGGAATAGAGTAGTTGCTTTGGAAGACAATAATCAGGCATCCGCACATGACCAGTCCAACGAAGTTGGTGTTGAAGAATCATTGCTTCAACACTGGTGATCTTTGCTTCTTCCAGTACACTGGTATTAGTTTGCCTGTCTTCCCAAGTGATGTGTAAAATGTGTCAATGAGACGCAGGCATGAGTGAAGTGGGCAGGGATATGTTTTATACTGTAGGTAACAGAGCAACATCCTTGAGGCTGCCTCAGAACAGGTCACACTCCTTGCCCATCTAGTTCAGTGATGCCTACTCTAACGGGCAGCAGCTATGGGGTGTCTCTCTTTTTTTAAGGGTGATCATTAGTATTGCTTACTCACATCCTGCCCTAACTCCCAAAGGAACAGCAAACAATAAAATAATTGAAACATGGAAAGCTACACACACCCATTCCAGTACGGATGCAGACTGGGAACGATCTCTACTTAAAAGGCTTGTTGGGAGAGAAAGGTTGTGAACAGGAGCTGAGAAAAGAACAGCCAGTCTAATATTTAACAAGAGGGAATCCTAAAAAAGGTTGATGCCACAAATCTAAAAGCCTGGATATCTTCTACCCTTCCTTTCGAAAGGCAGAGACTGAGCCTGGGGCCTTCTGCATCCAAAGCATGCTCTCTGACAAGAAAAATTTCAGTTCCTTCCTCTGACTGACTAGTGCGATGCAGCCACAGTTATTGGGAGACGGGAGCCCTGAGTGTGGGGCAAAGCCCTGGAGTCGAGTAGGCAAGGCTGCAGCAAGGCCTCTCTTGCTAGGTGGGGCTGCAGAGCGAAATCATTTCCTCATAAACCACCAAAACTGGCTGTGTACATTTTAACGCCTCTGGGTTGCTATAGCACAGGAAACACACAAGCGGAACAATAAAGTTCTTTTTTTAAAAAACAAAACACCACCATACATTTTAATGTACTAATGCTGATTAATACCTTAAAAATGCAGCTCCCATGAACCTGACATGCAACTTGTCAGAGTTGCCGGACAGCCAGCTTTCCCACATCATGAAAGCATGCCATAGGGGAGGGGGGTCTTAAAGAGGATCCACCCTGAGACAGGAAGAAACCTAAGCATGCGGAATTTGGGGAGAAAAAAAGGACAACAACCCTATTACTAGAGTTGGGGGTAGCATAAAAAAGAGAGACTCTTCCTCCCCCTTCTGACACCAAGCTGTCAAAAGAATTTAGTGGGAGCTCTTATGTCACAGATCATAAAGGTGATCTAAAACAAATGTATTAGAAAAAAGGTGGAAAACAAATTAGGGCTCCGAGCAAGTTAGCAACCCCCAAACCTCTACCCTGCCTCTAGTCCAGTGGTTCCCAACCTTTTTTTGGCCATGCCCCACCTAAGTACCTCTAAAATCCTGATTGTCTGCCCCCCCGGTGACATATATTTCTTTATTATTCAAAAAGTGAACTCCTATTCATGTGGAGAAAGCCTAAAAGGCCATTTAGGTAAAGGTAAAGGGACCCCTGACCGTTAGGTCCAGTCACGGACGACTCTGGGGTTGTGGTGCTCATCTCGCTCTATAGGCCGAGGGAGCCAGCGTTTGTCCACAGACAGCTTCTGGGTTATGTGGCCAGCATGACTAAGCTGCTTCTGGCGAACCAAAGCAGCACACAGAAACGCCGTTTACCTTCCCGCCGGAGCGGTACCTATTTATCTACTTGCACTTTGACGTGCTTTCGAACTGCTAGGTGGGCAGGAGCTGGGACAGAGCAGCGGGAGCTCACCCTGTCGTGGGGATTCGAGCTGCCAACCTTCTGATTGGCAAGCCCTAGGCTCTGTGGTTTAACCCACAGCGCCACCTGCGTCCCAAAAGGCCATTAGCTTGGTCTTAAACAAGCTTCCAAAGAACATGGCAGCCATGAAAGAGAAGAACAAAAGGACAGTTGAAGTACTGAGGAAGAAACCACAAATAAATTGTTAAGAAGAAATGAAGTGATATGAAAAAATGGCAAATGAAGTTTCAAAACATGTAATAAAGATGTGTATGTCACAATATGTATTTATATACTGCATATGAAGCCCCTAGAACTGTAAGAAATGCAAAAAAAATCACAAGCCCCTTAAAAATAAAACTGCCCCCCTGTGGGGCGTGTGCCTCACGTTGGGAACCATGGCTCTAGTCCTTCGCATCTGAGAAGCCAAGACTATGAGGTGGTGCCAAAGAGGAACGGCTCGGACCAGAGGGAGGAGGCCGCCTTTCCTGCCTAGAGGGATGCCCAGATCCAATGGATCACCCTTACTCGAAGGGTGACACCTTGCCACAGCATCCTTACCATTCCTGAAGGTTAGGTTTGGCCTGGGGAGGAAGGGTGGGTCCGAGACCAGCTCTAATTTTAGCCCAAGGAGGCTTAAGGACAGCCTGAATCACCCAGACGTAAGAACCTAATCTGAAGAGCTACCTTTTGTTTGTCCTGGGGGTGCGGGAGCAAGAGTTACGCAATCTTGTGGCAAAGGTCTTGGCACAGTGAGAAGTGTCGTTTTGGTCTGAGTTTGGCAGAGAGCAATGATCAAAAGCAAGGAGGCCGGATGAGACAAGAGACTTGAGCCCCATCTGTGCAAGAAGCCTGTAATTGGAAAGAACTGTGATTTAGAGGGACAAGGCCAACTGCAAAGGAGGAAACAGGTGTAGCTGAGCAAGCGAGAGCAGACAGGCCCAGCCAACACAAACTGACTCAGGTGCTCTAGGTTATAGCCAGGACACCTGGGTTTTCCAAAGTCGGCAGGCCGTTTCAGCCAGGGTTTTCCAAAAGAGCACACCTGCATGAGCATAAAGTGTTGATTCAGGTACTGGTGCTAATAACTGCTATAAGGTCCTGTATTTATGCCTTCTGATGTGGAGCCCCTTGTATAGCCATGCATTTATCAATAAAAAACAGAGGGATCAGACCTAAGGTCTATCTAGTCCGGCATCCCATTTTGCACAGCAGCCAATCAGATGACTCTGGAAAGCCGAGGCAGGGCACAAGAAACAGCCCTCTGCTACTAGTCAGGGTACAAATAATAAATTATTATTATTACTATTACTGTTGCTCCACAGCAACTGGGATCCAGCAACATCCAGTCTTTTGAATAGAGCTGGCTCTATTTAGCCAACACAGTGAAGAGTCATTGACACATCTATCTGGGTTTGTTGAACCCACAATCCCTGTAAAGTTAACGATCCATTAAAAACAGATTAAACAAGCCCTTTTCTACCAGGTGGGCTATGTGTGGATAGTGACTGCTTGAAGAGTTAGGACTTAAGGAAGAATTAGAACCAAATCCAACACGCATTATCCACTAAAACAGCCTTCCAGAAATTCTGGACTACAATTCCCATTGTGCTGGTTGGGGCTGATGGAATTGTAATCCAAACATTTGAAAAGCAGCAGGTTGAGGAAGGCCGCACTATACCAACCAAAACCACGTACATTGACATGTTAAAAGAAACGAACACATCTAAGGAGCAATCTTTTTTATTTTTAATTATATTCAACACGGTAATTTCAATTCCCTGTTCTTTAAAACATATGCAGCTGAGCTGCTGAATAAACAAGTACAATATAGAGACTTCTTTGGAAAAAAAATACTCATGCGATATTGCACATTTAAGTTTTTCTGCATTTTTTTCTTGTTTTTTTTTCTTGGCGATGCAACCATATAGAAAATACTTCTGTTATGTACAGATATGTTTGGGGAGGGGGAGTTCACAGATCAGGGCAGGTGGAGGGAGAGAGAGAGAAAAAAAAATAAAAATAAAAAGGGGTGGGCGAAGAAAAGAGAAAGGGGTGACATGGTAGAAAAGAAGGGACTTATTTATTTTGGCGGAGGAAATCTTGGCTCATGATAGCGCAGGAAAAAAACAACACACACACACACAGACAGGATTTTCAGGGTAGTACTTTGGACCCGTTTCTCTTGGAATTACTTCTAGCCCTCAGTTTCACTTGGAAGTACTTCTAGCCCTCAGTTTTAACATTGAAAATATTTGATTGTGTGCGTGCAGGAAGAGGGATGGAGGAGAGCCATGTAAATGGACACCCCCCCCCACCCCAATGCATCCTCTAGGAAAGCGGCGGCGGCAGAATCCAACAAACCGGAATACGAGAGGTCAAGGAGGCACAGGTCCTGGAAGAGGAGGAGGAAGAGTGGAGTAGCTGGCAAATGGGACAATGACAAATGTGGACTTGTACGGCCAGTGCTGTCCATTGCACAGCCCAGGGTTATAGACGTCTAGGAGATCCTCACAGCGGGACTGGGCGTTGGCAGAAGGCTGTGGGGACGGGGGCACTGTCCAGACAGCAGGAAGGGGAATGAGACCGTCTCCCTGGGATTCGGCCTCAGATTCAGGCAAGGGAACACTGGAAGCATCTTTCAGAGCCAGGCTGGACGCTATAGGACGCTGGAGTTTCCAAGAAGGGACCAAGCCACACTCGCACCTGAAAAATCGAGATGCTGAGGGAAGTGAAGAACAGGAGCAGAGATCCAGACCCTCCCCATGTAGCCCCACCCCTGCAGCTGTCTCCCCCAACCCCAAGCTATGGCACTTAATAGCCTCATCTTCACAGGCAATACTATCTCGGCTCCTAAATTAAGGCCACTGCAGAACTCTCCTGTCCGTCGGGCTCCAGAGAGTGGCAGCCAACCCCAAAAGACCATTAAAAAAACCCCAATCGTTACCCACAATTCCCCGCTGATTAAACAGTGCTAAGGCGCTTCTCTTTCTCGCTCTCGTACATGCACATACACACACCCACACACCCAGGGCTACCACATCCCATTTTTAAACACGTCTGCTCAAGTTCTCCGACTTCCAGGCCAGCTGCCAGCCTCGGCTCTAAAACCCGTCTGCCACCTTCAACTCTGCTGCCCTCTTGGGAGAACTAACCCAATTGTCAAATGCACTGGTTTGCTTCGGCAGGATGTGAGTGGGTGCTTGGACTGAGTCCTGCCACCCTTTCCCTTACGCAGCCTTGAGATAGCGGTCCTCCTGAGCTGCAGAGCTATGGGGCCAAAGCTGCGAGCAACACCGATGACCCCTAACAGGGAACCCCTGTTAACTCGACTTTGCCCACAGCCTCAAAAAACTTCCCAACCTGTAAAGCAAACGCTTATTCGCCTGGTGTCAGGAGAACGACCTCAAGGCCCCCTCGCTCCTCTTGAGCCCCCAGAAAGACTGGCTCCCGTCATTCCCTCTCCCTTTGTTCGTTAAAGGAAAAGCAACAAGCAACTAGCATCACTTTTAAAAGGAAGCCACAAAATAAATACTGTCTCTGGAGAGGAGGAGGGGGGGGAGAGGGGATGGGGAGGACATTGGATTGGAGACATCACATCTGGTGAGAAAAACTTGGCCCCTCTGTGTAAAACAATGGATGATGGGTGTCTGATTGGCTGAAGCTCAGAATCCCCCATGTTTGGAGTGTTTTGAGTGGTGAAGAGGGAGTTGGCCACCCCTATCCTTGCGTTATGTCTCCTGTTCCGATTGAGGATCTGGTTCACAAGGAGGTGGGGTGCGGAATAAGGCCCCTGCATCCCCCCCCCGGGGGGGGAGGCGTCGGGGGGCGGTGGCAGCAGCGGTCACTTGGAGAGTTTGCTGATCACACGGATTAGAGCGGCGTTTTCGTCTTTGAGACGCTGGTTGTCTGCCTTCAAATCCGAAAGAGCCTGCAAGAGAGAAGACGAGTAAGACAAAACCTGTGCCACCGGTAAAATCCTCCACCCTCCCCGACCAAGCCACAGCTTCTCTCCGTCAAACTCCAGGATGAGACCTGACGGCTGATACAACCCGGTGGGAATTACCTTCAATTCTTCCTCTAGCTCTGCTGCTTTCCTCTCCAAAGCTCGGCGTTCCTGGAGGGAGAAGAGGCAAAGGTGAGGATAATGGGAAAGGGGGCAGGGGAGCTCCAAGAATGTATTTAGGGAAAGCCAGTCCCTTCAGGCCAGAAGTGGGCTGACTTCACTCTTGTGTGTCCTAAAATGCCACCTATGTGTGTGCGTTATTTTTTAATATAAAATTTATTAACATATAAAACACATACATACACATTTACACATACACAACACACTACCTTATTTTCATAACATAAAACATACCTACATTACTCTATATAATACCTACCTATACTGTACATTCCTGCCAACCTAGCAGTTCGAAAGCACATCAAAGTGCAAGTAGATAAATAGGTACCACTCTGGCGGGAAGGTAAACGGCGTTTCCATGCGCTGCTCTGGTTCGCCAGAAGCAGCTTAGTCATGCTGGCCACATGACCCGGAAGCTGTACGCCGGCTCCCTTGGCCAATAAAGCGAGATGAGCGCCGCAACCCCAGAGTCGATCACGACTGGACCTAATGGTTAGGGGTCCCTTTACCTTTATACTGTACATGTCAACATACCTACACACCTACCCCACACGGACACCCACCAAGTGACCTGACTTCCAGCTGTTCTTGTTACGCTACTTTATTTTTCCAACTAGCTTAAACGCATTTCATTATTTCTTTAATCTCTTCTTCTATATTGACTTTACTCTCCTTTCGCTCTAATCATTTTCTGGATTCACTCAATATCTGTTAGAAATTCTGCTTTTTCCACATAAATTTTGATGTATTCCTTAAAGATAGCCCACTCCTTATTCACTTTTTGTACCATATCTCATCTTATCCTCCCTGTTAGTTCGGCAATATGGAAGTATTCCATCATTTTAGATAACCAGTCTGTTTTAGTTGGGACGCTGCTACTTTTCCAATTTTTGGCAATCAATAACCCTGCCGTCGTAGTTGCATACATAAAGATTGGTCTGACCGTTCTTTTTATTTCCTCTGACATGATACCTAGGAGAAAGGATTCTGGTTTTTTTTCAAATGAAAATCAAAACATCTTTTTCAGTTCGTTATATTTTCCCAGAATCCCACTCTCTCTTTGCACTCTCACCACATATGTAGAAAGGTTCCTGCCCCATTGTTGTATCTCCATCAGACATCACTAGTTTTTATACATTTTTGCCAGCCTGACCGGGGTCAGGTACCATCTGTATTGTGTGTGTGTTAGCTTTACGAAGCTCTTTACAGGTTAGCAGTAACTAACCTACTTTTAAGTGATCCTGAACATACACTCTTGCTTAAGATCACAAGAAGCATCTGGCTGGGTAAGCCAAGGTCGACACACCAAAGCATACTTTATAAGAATCTCAGAAACCCCTGGGGTACACCTGCATCTACCCCCCCACTCCGCTAAAGAACGAAAGGATAACCCCTCCGGGCCCACAGGGGGCAGCAGAGGGATTCACGCTAGTATAGTTTCCCTTCCTGTGACTATCAAAGAGCTGGGCTCGTTCCCAGGCTTCTCCAGCGGAAGGCATCAAACATGTCTTGCAATTCAGTTCGTTTGTAGCAGCAGAATCCTTAACACTCGGCAAGGGAAGAAAAAGAGAGGCAAAAATAGGTACTTACAAATCTCTCCAGCTCTAGGAGAGCCGGCCGCTCGGCGAAACGCTCTTGCCTCTGTGGGTGAACAACGAAACAAAACACACAACATAAGGTACCCAACACAATGAAGCTCCCAACCTTTGAGGGGGAGAGGGGGTTTGTTTATCTATTAAATCAGGCACCCCCAAACTTGGCCCTCCAGATTTTTTGGGACTACAATTCCCATCATCCCTGACCACTGGTCCTGTTAGCTAGGGATGATGGGAGTTGTAGTCTCAAAAAACATATGGAGGGCCGAGTTTGGGGATGCCTGTATTAAACAAAAATTCTACCCCCTCCAAAGACTGTGTTAAAAATGGGGGCGGGAGGCAGCACGGGATGAAGGAGCACATAAACTGCTTTCAGGAAACCAAAGGATTTAAATTTTACCTTCTGAAAATGTCAGGTAATGCTACATTAATAAATAATAATAATAATAACAACTTCCAAGTATGTGGCAATCATTTTTAATGATTTATATGGAATTTTACACACATTTTAATTACCAAGCTAAACTAAATTATATTATATTAATTTAACTAAAATGTCTTTTGAATTCCCAGGTCATGTTACAACTTTTTAGCACCCCTCACTGTTGGGATTTGAAAAATTCAACACGCCCCTTATCTCAATAACGCTGTATCTCAATAGGTACGCATGGAAACCAGGTACATATAAAACACACCACATCCATCGCAGAGCTGCCTGTTGCTCTTCATGTCCCCACTGTGTCCCAGCTGCCACCCAGCCGAGAAGCTTCTGCTCTGCCCGGTTCCTTACCTGGGTCACTCTTTCCAGCTCCAGCTTGATCTGCGTCAGCTGTAGCTGTGCTTCTTGTAGCTGCTCCTTCAGTTTTTCATTCTCGATCACGAGATCTTCATACAGCTTAGGGTCACACACACAGACACACATGGTAAAATAAACCGAATAAGGTACTGAGATCCCTATGAATCCCTTTCCCACCCATATCCCTTCAACCCAAGAGCCCCAACTTCCAATCATGTGAGTTGATATAGAACTTGTGCTCCCTCCTCCCTCCCATTCCTTTTTCCTTGTGTGTCATGACGTTTTAAGAAATCTTAGTACTGATTTCTGTAAGTTGCTCCAAGACCCTTTTAGGCCAGAGGGTGGGGTATAAATGCCTGAAATGAAAACATAAACAAAACAACTAACTTTCTTGTAATAGTGATCAGGTTCCTCTTTGCAGCCCAAATTGCTGTTCTGTCTTTGGCAGCTGTAGGGAGCTGTCCGGTTTGACAGGACGCTGTTTAGGTGTTCGCTGAAAAAGAAAAGGGGGACCAATATTATGCGAGATCACCCCTCGGGTGGCTCCTCACACTGCAATCCAGGTGGGCAGTATATAATTTTAAGAATGGTCTGAAAGTTAAGGCACAAGGATTGGGACATTAGCAAAACCTCGTGTCGAAATTTGCATATTAAGACTATTGGATCTTGCACTATTTTGGGTCACCGTTAAAAAACCCCACCATCCTCCTGAGGCCAGCATTAATGTCTTTCTACAATATGAATTGGGACGCAGGTGGCGCTGTGGGTGAAACCACAGAGCCTAGGACTTGCCGATCAGAAGGTCGGCGGTTCGAATCCCTGCGACGGGGTGAGCTCCCGTTGCTCGGTCCCTGCTCCTGCCAACCTAGCAGTTCAAAAGCACATCAAAGTACAAGTAGATAAATAGGTACCGCTCCGGCAGGAAGGCAAACGGCGTTTCCGTGGGCTGCTCTGGTTTGCCAGAAGCGGCTTAGTCATGCTGGCCACATGACCCGGAAGCTGTACGCCGGCTCCCTCGGCCTATAGAGCGAGATGAGCGCTGCAACCCCAGAGTCGGTCACGACTGGACCTAATGGTCAGGGGTCCCTTTACCTTTACCTTACAATATGAATGGCACGAGTACTAAGAAGCATCAGCAGGCAGGCAGGCAGGCAGCAACTTGTGAGTCAACCTACCCCCCTAAGCCCCTTCTCCACACCCCAGTTTGAAGTGCTGGATCCCAAAGAGGAATCTACCTGCCATGTCCTGATGGATCTTCATTGTTGACTTGCTCGCTGTCTTCATCATCCTCACCCTAAAGGGGGAGGGGGAGAGAAGTTGGGGGGGGGGGGTTTAAGGTCTGCCCTAAATTGTCTGTGCAGACAACTTGGGTGCTTGTACAAGGCAGCTGCCGCGTTCTCAACGACAGAATGGCACAAAGCCTCATACAGATGGTCCTGAAACTCTGCCCTCATTTCAGCGCAACAGCCCCGACTAAGTCCACTGCCGCATTCACCTCCGAGTTCTCTCCCAGTCTGGAGACGAGCCGTCGGCCTTTCCTGCGGTCCCTGATGGCGAGTCTGTTCCGTAGATCCGAATCTGCCTCTGAGCTGGTATCCTCGGCTTCTGAGACTGCAGCGCGGACAGAAAAAGACATGCAGCTGAGCTCAGGTCCTTGCATGCCAGTAGACTGAATATGTCACAATATCAGCAATGGAGCTCAGGAGAGATTGTGGAAGGTTTAGAAGAAATTTGCAGTAGTACAGAAATTCCTAGAGGCCCAAAGCTAAACATGCCAAATGAGGGAGTTGAAAAACAGAAAGGGAAAGAGGGCGCAAAAGTTGTTACCTTTTCTGGGCTGCGAATTCACCACTAACGGATTCACAGTATAAACCGAAGAACCTTCTGAACTCGGAAGCCGGAATCTCCTAGAAGAGTCCTGCATGAGGCAGCAGGGTTAGGATCAGGGGAAAAGCAAAAAGGGAGATAGATTACACATAGGCTGCACGCTGGCGCAAGGGAACAGGGCAGCAATTTGCGGAGGGCCAAACGAAAGCAAGGAATGAGTGAAACAGACTGGGTGATGGGCGCCACTGCACCATGCAAAAACACAGCAGGCTCTCACCCAACCCAGTGCAGACAAGGAACCCACACTGTGCAGTCTGATGGATACAAATAGCCCAGCACCTGTCACGAAGGTTGGAAGTGGATACCACACACAATGCCTGCCATGACCTGGCCTGATTTTACCTGTATTGGGAAGATCTGTATCCTGAAAAGGCAGGTAACAATTCTAATCACCCAAGATCAGAGCAATAGCCTCGGAATAGATACACCTATCGTGGTTCCCTCTGAGCAAGCCAGAAGTTCCTCCACTGGCTTGGCTTCCATGCCTTCCACCCCACCAGAGCCCCTATGCCTCCTGCCATCTCTACCGTAGTCTCCTGGGACTGCTGCTCTCCATCTTTGTCATGCTTCTCGTCCTCCTTGTTTCGCTGCTCCGGGGCTGCTCTGGAGTCCCCAGCCCGGCCCATGGTCTTCTCAGCCTCCTTCAGATCCGTGAGGGTGACACCCTTGAAGTGAGAAGAGAAGGAAAGACACATGAAAACCATGCGCCAAACAGAGAACCACCCCGCCACCTAGAGGCTGATGCTGGCACAACACAGCAAGAGTTCCTTGCTAAGTCTCTGAGCTAGGCCAGACAAGTGTGTTCCCTTATTCCCGACCGTCCCCTCTTCCGGTCTGCTTAGTGGTACCTCCACGCTTGAACCACCATGACCTGCACCAACACCTACCTGCGTGGAACGCCTGGACTGCCTCATGAGCCTCGAACGGGCCTTCCTCTGGGACTCTGACTCTTCGTCCCGCACGGGCGTCTGGTACGACCTGGCAGAGGAACGGAGGGTTTGGGCACCATTTACAAGGCTTTCTCTTCGTGCCCCTTCCGTTGCTCCAAGGGGCCTCCCCTTTCTTACTTGCCAACCACCTCAGAGCCTGTGCCCTGGCTGGTTGCTTCAGTAATGGGAAGGAAGCACTATGCAACCAGGCAGAGGGCCTTCTCGGTAGTGGAACCCACCCTGGGGAAAGCCCTCTCATCAGGTGTTAAGGAGATGGGTAAATTATATAACAGGAAACCTCTGAAGGCAGCCCTTTATAGGGAAGCTGTTTAAGGTTTAATGTTTTGCTATGTTTTTATATATGCTGGAAGCCACCCAGAATGGCCGGGGCAACCCAGTCAGATGGGTGGGGTGCAAATGGTATTATTATTATTATTATTATTATTATTATTATTATTATTATTACTACTACTACAGTCGTACTTTGGATCCCAAACGCCTTGGTACCTGGACGTTTTGGCTCCCGAATGCGCAAACCCGGAAGTGAGTGATCCGGTTTGTGAATGTTCTTTGGAACCCAAACGTCCGAAACGGGTCCTGCAGCTTCCGATTGGCTGCAGGACCTTCCTGCAGACAATCAGAAGCCACGCTTTGGTTTCCGAACATTTTGGAAGTCGAACGGATTTCGTTTTGACTTCCAAGGTACGACTGCAATGCTAGGCATGTCCCTTTGCCTACCCTGGTAGTTTCCTCCCAACCTTCTTGACTGTGGAGTGGGAAAATGCAAGCCTGCCCTCCCTCTGATGCCCCTTTCAGCCTGCCCAACTGGGCACAGAATGCTCTGAGACAGGTCAGATGCCTCGTAGATAAGCTCACTCCTAGCTTCTAGGAGCCACACGGTGAGAGCAGAGTGCAGGGTGGGGACCAAAGGGGGACAAACTACCCCTGAAGGAGAATGACGTGTCCCCCACCAGAGATACTACCCCTCCCCTAACACTCCATGCACTGCTAGCACGATTGCAAGAATCAGGGACTGGTATGGTTTCAAATTGTATGGGGGGTATGTGTTGAGATTCCTGTACTGTAGGGGGTTGGACTAGATGACCCTCAGCCCCCTCCCAACTCTACAACATCAGAGGCAGCAAAAGCAGGTGGTGAGCAAGCACTGCTCCCCCCTACCCCGCCCCCCCCCCGGCACCAAGATGTGGCTGCCGTCGTAACAGTGATGAAGAGTCAACAGAAAAGGAAAGATTATATAGAAACAAGAGAAGCAGCAGAGAACCGGCCGGTGCCGCATCAACAAGGAAACCCCGCTCCTTGGATACAGAGACGAGCCCGTCTATCGTGACCCTAATTGCTTTCCGTAGTCTGCCTGCCCCGGGCCCCCCCAACCCTCACCTTCGGCGGTCCCGGGGATCCATGCCAGAGCTGATGGCAGTGGAAGAAGGGGGCTGGTGTGGGGCAAGGGCTGTGTCTATCTTCATCTGAAGGCCACCTTCTAAGTTTCTGCGGGGGGGGGGGGGAGGGAGGAGAGAAAGGAAAGAGGGAGAAAGAGAGACAGCACGCGGAAGAGAGTGTGTTCAGAGGAGGTCCCTGAGAAGGCCTTTCGCTTGCACTCCCAACAACCCCATGGTTACCTAGAACTCCTGCTGTGACCCAGGGGTCTCCCAAACATGTGAGTTAAGCCCCCACCCCTGGTACAGGCTCTTGCTTGTATGAGCCACAAACCACTTAGAATTGACCGCAGAGGCTTTTCCTCACTGGCTGGTCCTCCTTTGAAATGGCTATATACAGCATGCCTGATGCACAAATTATTTTTAATGTTAGTATTTTATTCGCCACCACTGCAGCAAGGCAAATCTTTAATTAATCCTTTCTTATGGGCAAGGGAAGACATAGCTACATTCCCAAAGCAACCTGACTTCTATTTAAAGATACTCAGTCTCAGAACTCCTCCTTCGAAGTCTATGCTGCCCCCTGCCGCCAACCATTTGCGCTCAGTGATAAACTTTAGGAAGAGTGTTCTATGAAATAATTAAATAACCCAAGAACCCTTAAAATCCACTTCAGACCTTTTGTCACTTTGGACACTACTGTCAGCAGCCCCAAATTACAGATGGTGAAAGGGGAATGAAAACAAGATACGGAAAAGGCAAGATAAGAGACGTGCTGAAGACAGACAATAGAGTTCACATCCGCCCAAGAAGCTGAGTACCCAAGGAACGCGGCCCATGCTCCTAACCACCAGTAAGGTGAGTGGGGCTTGCAGGAAGCCCAGGCAGCAGCAATTCCCGGAGGCTCCCCCGCTCCCCCTCCTATCTGTCTTGCTCCATACCACACTTCTCTCTCAGGTGAACCCAACTCCAGGCTCATCCCGGCTGACCTGGCAACGAGGCTTCCATGGTTTAATCTTATGTCTTCCAACCTAGAGCCCATCAGAGGTCGCTGCACTACAACTCCCATCATCCCCTGCTTCTCGCCACGCTGGCTGGGGCTGATGGGAGCAGGAAGCCCAATGACGTCCAAAGGCGACCCGGTTCAGGAAGGGATTACACATTGCTCCTGTCTCCAGAGTGCAGAGAGGAATACAAAAAGGAATGTGGCCTGTATTCCTCTTGCACTCCTCCAGAGTCAAGGGCAGAACGCCTTACTACCAACTCAGCTCGTTCCTTTTCATCACATTTCTTTCTAACGCCCAGGGTGGCATGTGAAGATGAAACAGAAGGGAAGATCCATCCTGTCGTGCAGAGAGCTTCATACTGGAGTGTCTCCCTGACAACAGTATCGATCCCAAGTGCTATAAGTTGGCTCGCCGCTGGTTGATTACTCACGCTCGCCTGGGATCCCGGTGGGGCTCCGTGTCTGGGAGGGCAAATATCCGCCGAGTCGGGGTCGGAGTTACGCGGGCCAGGCGTGGCTCTTTGCTCTGTAAAAAAGGGGGGAAAGAGGGAATGAGGGGGAATCCCTGTGTGCTGTTACTGTTAACACTGTGAATTCACATTCTGCCCAAGAGGGGGAGCAGCTCAGAAGCCAGCTGGAGACCTGGGAAGCTTGGACTGTGCTTTTGGCCAGATACCACAAGCTCTGGCTGTCTAAAGCGATGCTTCATGACTTTCTTGACGGATACCAGAGGCACTGCTCTACCAGAGAGCAGCACTGAGCCCGATGCCTAACACGGCAGCGACGCTTACGAGTAGCTGTGGCCGAGACAAGAGAAAGGTCAAAGAAACAAGGGAGCGAGGGCAGAGTTAAGAGGAAAACCACACCAAAGGACGGAACGGAAAAGGGCATTCCGGATAAGATTTTTATTGTCCCCAATTGACCCCGGTAGGGGGGATCCCTGCCCAAGGGAATTCCATCCCGCACAAACCCATGGCTCTCAAACTAAGCCCCACACGCCTACCCCCCCCCAAATGCAACAAGCTGTCTAGCAAGCAAGCAAGGTAATCAGCCACACCCTCTAATGGGCAGAGGCTCCTACCGCATCACCCGCTGGCTCAGAAGCTGTGCTCCTATTGGCTAACCCTGGGCCAATGGGGTTCTTGTTCCACTTCCGTAAGAGCTCCCGGATGTCTTGCTGCAGGTGTAACAGGCAGTGATGGGTTGGGGTCAGGAGGAGAGGGGAGGAAGGAGGGAGAGAGAAAGAAAGAGAAGAGGGCAAAGAAGAGGCTACACTCGTGGCAGAACCCCACACGCCCTGAAATCCCCCTTTGAGAAGCCACCCAGCTGGAATGAGGGGTCCTGCATAACTGCAGGCTCTCTTCCCATAAGGCGGCTAATTCTTGAGATGGAAACTGGGGAGAAGGTCAGAAAAACGCCTCCCCTCTTCTGGAACTCTCTGGCCTCCTTTCAATTTTGTCCTGGTGTTTAAGTTACAATACAAGGTGTGTTTGTCTCCCCAGCTGAGAAGCCGTATCTGTTTAAGACTCCAGAAATATTTAGGCTGGCTGAAGGAGACTAAAAAGGCATTCTGCACTTGTTCAGAGAAAACAGTCGCTCAGCTTACAGGTGCTCAGCCATTATGTGGGCGATCCCACAGCCAACGCCTCTGAGCATGTGCAGAGGCTATTTCTGAAGCTGCCTGCAAACTTTAAGAGTTAAACCAGAGCACTAGAAGAATCTATCTTTACCCACATCAAGGTTAATTCAAGTGCTATGCCATGATATCCAAAAGAGGCAAAAGGTGAGCCAATGAGGCTGTTTTACAATGAGCCAAGACATTGGTCCTTCTCGTCCGTATCTTCTCCTCTCATTGGCAGAGACTTCCCAAGGCCTCAAGACAGAGGACTTTCCAAGCTCTGCTTCCCAAGATCCATTTATCCAAGCAGAGATGCTAAGAGAGTGAACTCTCCACACGCAAACACATATGCTCTACCACTGGGTTATGGCTTCTACTTATTGGCTTGCTTCCTATAACTTAATACTGCTTCTGTTAGCGGTGTCCTATGCAGAAGACTCTGCCTTCGGATCCCTGGAAGACCCACCTGCCCTCCTCCAGCTGTGGTTTCTCCAAAATGCTTTCAAGAATACCTGTGCAGCCCTAAGGGCTAGCAGCTTACTATTTTTAAACATTAAGAAAATGAACACCAAAAGCTAAATTCCAAGTGAGAGAAAGCAAATGGAATGCACACAAGCCTGCCTGTATCACAAGATGTTGCTAGGGATACGCAATGTACAAACAGAAATTCTCCTGTATGCACCAGTGTGTGCACTGAGGTTGTCGGCAGCTGCCCTGCTCTGGGTGCCCCCACCCCTGTCCTGATGATGAAATGTCCTCCCCAAACATCTGCCTGTTACATATTCTGCCATTTTTAGGCACCCGGGTAAGTCTTGTCGTGCTTCTGCCAGATGAGATACAATCCGAGACTGCTTGGTAATTTTCAGTTGCTGTCTACTGCACTGTTTTGTCTGTTGCTGGTTTCCTTCTTATCTTACTTGACACTGTTTTAAATCTAATCTCACCCTTAAAAGAAAAACAACCCAAACCATAAACTGCTTAGGAGGCCAATTGGTGGAAAGAAACAGAATGAATCTTAATTGCACCTAACAGAGCCTTAAAGTGCTCCATCACTGCCTCATCATAGCGAATGGAAAGATCCTTGCTTCTGCTCCAATCCAATGCTGCCAAGCTGAATTGAAATGCTGCCCCCCCAAAGTTACTCACTCAGGTACTGTAACGGCACAGCTTACCTTTTCCTCCGTATCAAGCCTGGGGCTGGACGCCGACCGCTTGATGCCGCTGCCCTCCTTGGCAGCCGCCTCCTCCTCCAGCTTTGCATCCTGCAGCACCCCAAAGCTGCTGGTCTTCCGTAGGCTCTGCTTCCAGATGGCAGGAGCTGCCGTGTCCTCTGGCTCCATGGTGCGGCTGGAGCCTCCAGAGAACTGTTGGGGTGGGAGTGGGAGGGGAGGAGAAAAGAGACAGAGGAAGTGGGGAGAAGAGGAAGGAAGGGGAGTCAGGATGGATGGAGGGAACTTGAGAAACTCGGGACAATGGAGTTAGGAGCGGACAGGCAGGGAATAACCAGGCAGGGCTATGTGGGGATCCTTTGCACAGAACCTGACGGCTCCTTGGACAGCAAGCAAGCACTGCTAGAGAACGGGGCTCTCAATTATCTAGAACAGGGTTTCCCAGACTTGGGCCTCCAGTTGTATTTGGACTACAATTCCCATCAGGGCGTAGCTAGCTGCTCCGGTACCTAGAGCGGTGGGGGGGAAGGGTGAGCTGCCCAGGGGGGCAGTGTGGCGAGCTGTCCACGGAGTCCGCCTGATGGATGCAAGCCCCACGTTGCCGTTTCGGGCAGTGCGGGGACCCGAGTACCCCTCTTCCTACGCCGATTCCCATAATCCCTGACCACTGGTCCTGCTAGCTAGGGATGAATGGAATTGTAGCCCCCCAAAAAGCTGAAGACCCAAGTTTGGGAAACTCTGATCTAGGAGAAGGACTAGGGTGGAGATGAAGGATGTTATGAGTCCTAAATCAAGAAAAGAGGGCTCAGCAGGGTGCAGACAAGAGCTGGGAGACCAGACCTCCTGATTTCCCTTGGGAAGGAAGCAACACCTATGCAACAGAGGCATGGCCAGAGTTTGGGGGGCTGTGCAGCCAACTAGGGGAGAGCCAGGCCTCCTGGGATTGTCTCTACAGGAAGACAGATTTAAAAGCAAGTGCCCAGCATTGATTTCCCCAAACAAGAGGCACTACAGGGAAGGTCAAAACCGCCAACTCCCTGGAATCCTCCCCTCAAAAAGATTTGCATGCTGCCAAGATTGCTGGGAGAAAGCCACCCTGCACATGCTCAAGAGACGTTTCGTTATTGCTCTGCATGTTCCAGGCCAAAGTCTTGGCATGGAAGTAGGTTAAAGGACTGGATTTTGGCTCCGCTGGGTGGATGCAGCTCTGTAGCTTTCCCACCACATTCACAAGAGAGATCTGGCCAGAACTGTGGAACAGCTTCTATTAAACAGACAAGCTATGGAGGCCTCTCTCCTCTGCATAATGACATTCTTGGGAGTGCTAACAAGCAATGCTTCACTCAAGGTTGCAACAAGGAAGGGTGCATATGCATATTTAGCATCAAAGTCCAACATGGCATGTGGGGCAGGGAGGGGGATGTGCAAGTGTCAGGGCTGCAACAAATGCCATGCCAGGGGCCACCCCCCACCTCCATGCACTTGGGGGGCCTCTCTCAAAATGAGGCTGCCCTGAGCTCCCCCTCTCTCCCTCCCCGCCCCCGGCGGCTCTTGCTGACTGGGCATTCCAAAGCAGAGCAGCCAGCGCTTTTAATGAGGAGGACCGTCAAGAGCCACATCATAATGCATCCGCCCTGGGGAATCTTGGAAAGCTTTCAGAGCAGAGTTCATGGCAGGTGAGCAGGCCTGGAAAGCTGCCTTGGCAGAATGGAGCATTGAAAGCTGGTCAGGAAGTTGCTGAGCTTTGAGAAGTTTGCATCGGCTTCCCTGCTGAGGAAGGCTTGGACCGCAGCCCTTTCAGGAACACATTCCACATCGCCTCCCTTCGCAGGAAGCCTTTGGCTTGGTGGCCAGGCTTCCCCGTCCCACTCAGGCAGGCTCAGGCCGAGCCGTGCTGCTCTCTGTGTCCAGGTTCCCAGCAGCCTCTGCCCCAACCTAGTATTGCCCCCCCCCGAATAGCCCACCGGACTCCTGGCCCTCAAACACCCCATCCCACAGGCCACAAGCAGCTCACTTTCAACCTCTACCTCTTTCTCTCTCTTCCCAAGTATCAGCAATCTTATATCTGCAGGGGGAACCCCCTCCTCCATCAATAAAAATAAAATCCCACACCTGCACTCGCTGGAAACCACAAAGTACCAGCTGCCCCTGCTGCACACATCAGACTGAACACCCACCTAGCCCAGTTCCACTCAGTGGCCAAAAAGACACTTTCAGGTTTTTCGCTGGCATATTTTTAAAGGTCTATGGTCATCCCAAGAACTCCCATTTCTAGCAAATGGATCTGCCTTAGGAAATACAAAAGGGACCTGCAAGAAAACGTTGCATGGTTCGAACCCTCCTGTTCCAGGGTTCCAGCCAGCCTGTCAGGCCCCTTTCAAGGATACCCCAGTTCTTTCCCCCAACTATGCCACCCCATCCCCCCACTGTCAGTCCTCATTTCATGCCCACTGTTGGGGCACTTTTAGCACCCGCCCCGCCACAGTTCCCCTGCATCCCAAGAATTTGGATTTGAAGAAGAGTTTGGATTTGATATCCCACTTTATCACTACCTGAAGGAGTCTCAAAGCGGCTAACATTCTCCTTTCCCTTCCTCCCCCACAACAAACACTCTGTGAGCTGAGTGGGGCTGAGAGACTTCAGAGAAGTGTGACTGGCCCAAGGTCACCCAGCAGCTGCATGTGGAGGAGCGGAGACGCGAACCCGGTTCCCCAGATTACGAGACTACCGCTCTTAACCACTACACCACACTGGCTCTCTAATAATTTCTTGAGGTTTCCCTCCAGTCTCCCAATACCTCTTTCTTGTATACACACTAGTTGGTGCTCCGAGAACGTGTTTGCTGTATGTGGCAGTGGCTTGGACTGGAGGTACTGAAGGCCCCTGCAAAAGCCTCCCAACCAGGAGTGGGGCCTGGTCCGCCACAATAATCTGATTAAAGCAGCTCTCAAAACACACAGCCAGTGGTGACTCACCAGGCAAGAAAATGCCCAGCTTCTTTTAAGGCCTTGGTCTCACAATGCCAGCCTTCTCCAAGCTGGTGCCGTCCAGATTTCAGGTTTCCAACTCCCATGAGCCTCAGCCAACAGCGCCAACAGGAATGATGGGAATTGTGGCCCAACATCTGGAAGGTACCAGCTTAAGAGGCAATTGTGCCAAACCATTAATGGGGGAAACGACACCCACAATGGCACATTCTCTCCACACCCCCTCCTTGCATGGGACACTCACTGCAGCTTTTTGCTCCTTCTGGGGCACCAGAATGATCCCTGTTTTGCGCAAGCTTTGCCGCCACATGGAAGGCCCCAGAGGGCTGGGGATGGGCAGAACAGGGGTGATGAAGGCAAACTGTGGCTGGAGTGGGCAGGCGGAAGGAAGGAAGCAAGAAGCAGGGCGAGGTGCAAGCCAGAAGCGGATGGAAAGCGTACGAGGAAATGTGAAAAGGAAAACAAAGGCAGAAAAAGAAAACACAAAAGTCTGACGTATTTCACACAGTGCAGGCAGAAATGGCATGCGGTGGAAAGGATGGCCGACCGGGCACCAGAATGTCCGTGTGTCCAAGGCCCAACCATCTCGGCCAACTTATTTAGGAGGCTTCTTCTTGGAGAGCCACCTGCCAATCAGATCACCAGACTCGCCTGTGCTGGTGTCCCAAACAGGACGACGGTTATTCTGGCCTCATCCCAGGGTAGGTGCAAGAGAGGTGACAGGTTAATCAAGCATGCAAGATGAAGGTGTTGGTGTGTTAAGACAGGAGACGTTATAAATGGGGACTCAGCAAGTGTTGCGTGCCAGAGGGGAGGGGAGCATTCATGCAAGGACCCATGAAAAGCCGATTGCATAGAAACTCTGAGTCCTTGTTCCCAGGACACAGAAGCCCTAACTACCTTCACTCTTCATTCTCCCTCCTCCCAAGAGAACCCCTTAGTGAAGTGACTACTCAAGACGGGTAAGCTGAGGCCTACAGCCTCAAGTCCAACGCCATGAATGCAAAAGTGTCTGGAAACGTCTCTTTAAGAGGCCCTGCTGCTCGTCACCTCTCAAATCTTAAGAGCTGGATTTCGATAGGAGTCCAGCAGCCCCCAGGCCTACACTGTGAAAGGTGACGGGGGGGGGGGTGAGGCATGGAGATGTGCCAACCCCCCCCCTTTCCACCTAAGGGAGAAGCTAAGGGTTCGTGCAGGTGAGCAAAACCTCACCTTCTGCCCCATGGGACTGGGGGAGACAGGGCTGACAGGGGTCACGGAGACGCCATTCACTGCACTGTTGTCCGTTGGGGGAGCGGCCTTCACCTCTGCCAAAGGAGAGAAAGCAGTTAGCATCTAATTGGCTGTGCCAGACCATTCCGAGATCTGGGCCAATGAGGGCCATTGCCCACCATGTAGCTCCGCCTACCATTGGAATGCGGCGTCTCCTCCCCCTCCGAGGCAGAGCTGGTCTCCTCCTCGCCGACGGCAATGGTCCCCAGGGTCTTGCGCTCCTTTGACTGGTCCTGGACAGAGATCTTCTCCTTGCTGCTCATGCGGCACACAGAGCTCCTAAGAAGCAGAGAGGAGATGCGGGGAGTTAAAGGAAAGTGGATCGTTTTAAAAGAAGCGAAGTTGCTCAGCCCACCACGGTTAATTACATCAATGGCGCGTTTGCCCAGACAGAGCCAATGGGAGCCATTGGAAGGTTGCAAACTTCAGCCACGCTGAAAACTGCTTCGTTCCAACAGCCCTCATTTCCCTATTTATGATCGGGTTCAAGCAGAGATCTCGAGATGAAAGAGGTTACCTGGGCTGGGCTGGCATACTCTGGTGAACTGGTTTAGGCCAGGCGTGGCCTCATGGCAGCTGCCCTGCAGGTGAAGACTGGTTTCTTGCATGAACAGCTGCTCTAGAACTCAGACAACTCAGGCACATGACATGCCATTTCTCCTGAAATTTGGCTTTCATACCATGCAAGATGCTGCCAACCAGCCTAAGCCTAAGGGCTTGCTCCTATGTGCCAATCCTGGAAGTGCTGTACACCTGTATTTCCGTATTAAATCTTTTCCGGCTCTTCAGCCAAAAAAGCTCTCGCAGCGGCTGACAGATAGATCAGTGGAAATCGAGATTGTTCTGATCCTTAGGCCTGCAATGTGACTGAGCAACAACAAGAGTATCTACAACTCAACGGGCAACGTGGAGGCTGCGCCCCCAAACCTTGCACTTCACACGCTTCGTAACTTCACACAGGGGAGAGGTGTCTGAGCTGGCACATGGCCTCCATGTCTGAACATGCGCGAGCTAGCGCATGGCTTGCTTTTAGAAAACAACCACCGAGGTTGCCTTGGTGACGTCTCGTAACGAAATGCCCAACCAACGCAAGTTTGAGGCAAGCGAGCCGATGCTTCCTGCTAACAGGAGAGGCTTTGCTTCCCTGCTAATGTTTGTGGGACGACAGGAGACACTTGCAATTTGTACAGGCTCGACGTCTGTAACCACAAAACAGTTGGATAGCCCAACCTGACGTCTGCAGTCTGTAACAGTAAACACTTCTGCAGCAAACCGGGCTGCCAAACTTGCTGTGCGCCAAATAAAGACTTCTCTCTAAACCCGTTTTGCAACGTGTACTTGGCGTGGGGTTCACATGCGCCTGTTCCCATACCGCTGAGCCATAATAAGCTGCATCCTAGATTAAAGAACCGATAGCCGACAGAGCTGCAAGCCAGGGCCTTTACCAACTCGTGGGAAATGACGGCTGGGTACAAGGGTGGAAGCTGTGGACTTTAGAACCAGAAATGCGGCATTAAAAGGTTGGGAACCTAAGAGACAAATGCCCCCCATGCCCACACCTCACCTCCGGTGCTTGCTCGTGTACGATGGGGGCTGCTCCAAGCTGGTGTCAATCACTGCCTGCTTCAGGTGAGCTTCCTTCTTGCTGCGTAGCTGAAGGTTAGGGAGAGAGATGGGGGGTGAGGGTCAAGCTCTCATTCCCTTTGGCTATGTGACCTTCGTAATAATGAACAGATTTTGCCAGGGGAGCAGAGGGCAATGGCACCTGCCCTTCTGGGCAGACATACCTGGGGCAAGAGCACTGCCCCAAAGCTTCTGCTTTCTTCAAGGGATCCGCCAAATGCAGAAGAGCAGTAATGGCTGAGATCTGCACTGAACAGTCTGTGGGAATCACGCTGAAACGCTGCTGCTGAATTTAAGGGGGAGGGCGATGTGTTTGGGAAAATAAAGCGCTGATGTGCCCACAGTTGGCATTTGCATTGAGTGCAGCCGAGAAGGAGCAGAGTTCTTGCACGGCTTAGGAGCTAAGAAAGGTCCGCCACAGGGATGGTCATGGATACAGGAAGAGCCTTGCTGGATCAGAAGAGTGGACACTGGTGTTCCTTTGGTCTGATCAAGCAGGGCTCTTTTCATGTTCCCGAAGCAACCAGACAGATGCTCCAGGGATGCCTACAAAGAGGAAATGACAGCAACCTTCCCCCCCACCCCCAAGTATTCAGTATTACATTATGTTCTCTGGAAGTGGAGGCAGCATAGACAGCCGTCATGACGTGAAACCAGTGACACAATACTTATGTTCTGCTCTACAACCGCAAAAGGCTCTCAAAGCAGCTTGTGAATCAACCTGGACTCAAATCTGGTACGCTGCCTGGAGATGATAAGAGATGGGAGACCCAACAAACCCAGGAGGGCACCACAGGCTTCTCGCCTTTGCCACACGTGATTTTGGAAACCTCCACCATGTCCCTCTAAATCAAAACGCCCCAAACGCTTTAAGGCCAGGCTTTGCCAATCTGGTGCCTTCCAGGTGCTGTTGGACTACAACTCCCATCATCCCCAGCCAGCGCCCTCCAACAACACCTGGAAGGGGCCAGGTGGGTCAGGGCTGCTCCAGGCCTTTGCCTGTTGGGACGCTGCTCCAGCTCCTTGCTTCTTCACGTGTCCTGTGTGCCAAGGCTTCTTTCCCTCTCTATGGCTTACAACCTGGCTCTCTCAAGATTGGTTCTCACAGGAAAACTCCCAGAGGGAAGGAGGAAAGACCTTAAAAGGTTTCCAAAGGGCCTGGAGGCTGATCTGGTTTCAGTCCACTGGTGGAAAAAGAGCATGCAGCTGACAGGCGGGTGGGAGAAGCCCATGCTGCTTTCCATCCCCTTGGGAACAAGCCTCTCTCGCCGCGGAAGGTTTTTGCCGGGAGCGCTGGAAAAGGGAGGCGTGTGGGCTTCGCCAGCAGCCGCCGCTCCGAGGAGGCCCACCCTGCGGTTTCAGAAACGCTGCCCTGGGCTGGTGAAACTCAAATTAAGCTGACAGGCAGGACTGGCCGCACTCCCTGACCTCCTGCCCTGTGGGGTCGTTGCCGTTCCTCTCTACTTTCTGCTCTTGTGGCTGATGCTGCACAAGGTAGGAAGGCCGTGTAAAATAACATTAACCAAGACTGAGCCTCCCCTGCACCCCTCAAGCATTTTTATTTATTTCAAAAAAGTCAATCGAAAAAAAATTCTGGGAAGGGAACAACAATTTAACCCATGCCCCCATGATGAGAGGAAACAGTTACACAAAGAAAATATAGGCTGCTGCTTCATTTGCATGCCATATACATAGCCAGCACAGAAATCAGCTCCACTTGGTGCTGAATTATGGTCTTTTTAAAATTGCAAAGGTTACACAGGTCTGGATGAGTCTAGTCAACCATTGCAAGAAACTTTTGTCTGTCCTAATGCACCCAATAAAGGGTGATGGGGAGGGCAGGAGAAAAATTACCCCTGAAGTTTACTGAATTAGCACACAACCTCTTAAAATATTGTTTGTGTGTACATGCTTCTATGTAAACACACACATATATATACACACACACACAACAACAGCTGTTAAGATGGGAGTCCTAGATAAATTGCAACTATTCATTAAGCACCTGGGCAAATGAAATGTCTTCAGCTGGCACCTAAAACTCATCAGGTGAGGTGCCAGGTGAGCAGCCCTAAGGGAGCTGATGGAGGAAGAAGCAAATGGCTTCTTCCTCCGTCGCTGCCTGACTAACTGCCGATGGTGGGAGCCACAAGGACCCGCCTGTGAAAAGGGTCAAGAGGCTGGGGTTTTTTGGCTCAGGGACACCTTTTTGTACCTCAGATTTTAGCACGAGACATTTGTGAAGCAGGCACACAGCACAATGCCACCCATACAACCGCCTCTTAATGGGATTGACAGCAGCAATGACGGGGCACAAGCAGCTTCTATTTGGGACTAGGGGTCTTGCAAGCTTCCCCCAAAGCAGCTCCTCCCTCAGCCCAACTCCTCAAATTGGCACCTGCAAGGTTTCCCTCCCATTCCAGAAACAAGGCGTTCAAACGCTGTCTAGCTCCACACAAGAGCGAGGGCTCCATGCGCCACACGCTTTCTGCACAGACCCTAGGCAGCAGTCCTGATTCTGTTGTATCTGCCACACACTGGGGTGGGGGGAGAGAAGGGTAAGAAGAAAAGTCACTCACGTCAATTTGCTTGCGTTGGAGATCCTCGAGCAGAGCCAAAGTATCCTCATCCGCAAGGTCGCAGGGACGCTGGCCCTAGGATGGGGAGGAAACAGCTGGGGCTGAGAAGGGCTCCTTTCGTCACGGTTTGCCATCAGAATAAAACTGGGAAACATGGTGGGTGAAGCAGCTTCCCTCTGGTGTAGATGCGTCTTCTTTCAACTCGCCACCTGTCCTGCCTGCCTCCCTCCTCCAAGCCCATCCACCCACTGAAGAAAGCAACATCCAGGGCTTCTACGAGTTACACTCGATTCCCCACCTGCTTAGAATTACTGGCTGCTGTTTTCAATGAGGGGAGGAAATAAACCCACAAATGGAGAGCTTCTGGTTCTAAGCAAGGGGGTAGCCCTTTCAGAAAATAATCTAGAGGGGAGGGGAATGAGAAATAAGGGGCTACCCTCTCACAGCTTAAGGGGGGGAAAAACCCTCGAAGATGGGAGAAACATCCCCAGCCATTTCAAAACGTTCTCCTCTGTCGTACTCCACAACCAAGTCAAGCCTTTCCAGGTCTCTGTCCTTCCTTCAGCATTTTGCAGGATCCACAAGCTTCTATTTGTGGCTGCAGTCAGCAGATTTAGAATTCCAGCCTCCCACATCTCCTTCCCCCTTTGGGTTTTGGTTTTGTAAACCTTTAACTGAACAACGCAGAATAATAATCTATTTCTTTTTTAAAAAATAAAACAAAAAACTCTGTAACCTTAAGAGGCAACATTTTAATTTATTTTAAACAACCTGCTTAGGACACAATTATAAAAAAAATGCAGATGGCATTTCAGAAAAGGTATTTTCCCTTCACCTCGTGAAAGAGAGCAAGCCTCGTCCACAACGGTATCGGCTGTGACACCATCTAAAACAACGCACCATCTAAAAACAACCTGGTGTTTTCCCCTCCTTCAGAACCATATTTTTATTCAAAAGAAAATGTATACAGATGTAGTCAATTAACTGACCCATCAGAATGCTTTGACACTAGTCCATTAAAATTTCCTTAAAATCTGGTGACGGTCCTCATTTTGCTGTCCTAGAAACCCCTCTGCACCAAGAACAGTTGCAAACATATGAAGTTGCCTGAGACCAGGCTGGAGTGCTGGGCCACTTAGCTCAGCCAACCTACTCGGACTGGCAGGGCCTTTCCAATGCCTTGGGCAACACCAAGTCCTCTCCAGCCCTGCTGTGTGGGCTCTTCTAACTGGAGCCACAAGAAGCCTGGGTTCTGCAACACACACACACACACACACACACACACCCACACACCCACACACCCACACACACAACCAGCCACCTCCTTTGCTCTCACCACGTTGTTGAGGGCCTCCATGTCGCAGAAGTGCTCTGCCAGGAGGCGACAGGCCTCCTCCACTCCCCAGTGGGCTGCCGCATGCAAGGGAGCCCAGCCGTCTTTGTCCTGCACATTGGGGTCATATCCAGCCTGCAAGAGCAGCCTGCAACAGGGCAAGAGAAAGCAGCCGTCAGGGGTTTCCTGGACTGCGGGCAGGGTGCCTTATGGGAAAGCTAGATATTAATAGACAAAAGAGGGGAAAGGCAGACTCTGGATGGGACAGAGCAAAGATGGTGCTGGATACAAGAGCTACAGGGTCTTCTGTGAGGGCTGGGGGTGGGGGTGGGGACAGTGGTCCAAGGGAGATACAGAACTCAAGGGTCCCAAATTATCCAGGGACAAGAATTCTCCTCAATTCTTCTGTGAGGTACATATCTAAGGGCCAGGAATTTGAGGTTCTCGTGGCAGGGAGAACAGGGGGGACAGGAGACTGGGACTTTTGGAAGAGCGAGTAAGTTAGAGAAGCAGCGTGGATGGAACTTGCTGGAAACCTCATGGGGTCCCCACTCTTTTTCTTTTCTTCTTTTTTGAGGGGAGGGGTCCAAATGTTCAAAGAAAGATGGCTGGGAGCAGGATGCCGATATCCTGGATTCTTATCGGCTCCGAGTCACCATCAGGAGGCTGGGGTGGGGACTGGCACTGACTTGGCCTACGCTTTTCCCTAGGCCCCGCCTTTGCTCAGGGGATGTTTGGCAAGGCATGGAGTGGGGGGGGAATCAGAAGAAGTGGCGCAACTAACCACCTGGGCTGGGAGAGTGGGTATGGCAAGTGCCCAAACCTGTTGAGGCAAATAGGAACCTGAGGTGTGATGTTGGCAGCCATTTTGTAAACCTACGTGCTTCTATGACGTTCGACATCTAGCTTAAAACTGTGAGAGGGAGACACGGGATCCCATTTCCTGCTCCAAAAGGGGATTTATCAAAGGGTTTTTGTGCTCAGAATGGACGTCCCTCGGGGCTGGGGGAATCGAGGAGCAGGCTCTCACCTCATGACCTCAATGTAGCCTTTGGCAGCTGCCACGTGGAGGGCCGTGGCCCCTGTTTTGGGGTGCGGCTCGTCAGAGATTTTCCCACCGTTCATCCACTGGCGTGCGTCACGAAGCATCACCTCCTCCTCCTCTCGCTTGGCTACTTCTACATCAATCCCTGAAAAGGAGGAGGAGGCATCACGGGAGAGCCCAGAAGGCGACGACTACGAATCTGAACAGCTGTGGCCGCACTAGAGAGCTGCGAAGAAATATGTCTTCTCCTAACGATGCCGAGGAATCCTAGCAACTGGATACTTTTAAAGTCCTTCCTCTTCCAAAAAAACACGTAGTCATCATTGCTTTGAGGAATTTGTGCATGATGTAATTATGGGTGGAGGGCAAAATTACATCATACACATACGGCTCAGGGATGGGGAACCTGTGGCCCTCCAGATGAGGCTGGACTGCAACTCCCATCAACCCCAGGCAGTATGGGTCAATGGCCAGGTATGATGGGAGTTGCAGTCTGGCAACATCTGGGGAGTCCCAGGTTCCCCATCCTTAACCTTCACTGGGTTTCGATGCAGAATAAATTATGTACAGTAAGCAAATATGTGCAAATATAATCTTAGTAGACACTGTATTTTTAAACTGTTCCAGCCAGAGAACTTAACAGGTTTTGGAAGTCGTCGTTTCGCTCTATCTGCAGTAAATAATCCAAGTTGAAAATATTTTGATGGGCCGTATATTACAACCCTGTGGTGTAAACCAGGATCCATTTAATTAATCCATTTGAGTGTCTGGGTGTGTGTGTGAAAACCTGCAAAGTTGGTTCTATAATCTTTCTGCAGCACCGACCCCTAAGGAAGGGGGGAAACCCAGCAACCTGGAGGGCTGATGGAGAAGCCTGGTGAAGCCCCGAAAGGGTCTACAGAGGGACAGAGCATTAGAGGAAGCAGAGCTACACCATGCGCGGCAGCCTGCTCTCTCCTTACCTCTCTTCCCAATCTCCGAACGCAGTAAGGCCTCCATGTTGTCAGCCTCCGCAATGTCCAATGGCACGTCCCCGTCGCTGTTCACTGCAGCGATGTTGGCACCGTGGTCCAAGAGGTATCTGGGCCAGACAGTGATGCCCAGGGTCAGATCCATGGGCCCATTTAGCTCCCCACCCCTGCAACCCTGGATTAGACCACACAAAAAAAGCCCGTCTCGTGGGGCGACAGTTGCCAAGCGCCGGAATCCTTTGCGCCCTTGCCTCCTGATTGCAGACAGTAAGCCTCCCTCCCTTTCAAATGCCGATGGGGAGAAAGGACCACCAACTCAGAAATGAAGCCTAATGCGGGCTGCCCTAGGCTTCCGCAACCTCCCCCTGCGCCTTAGATAGTTGTGTGCATGATGACTGGCACCTGCTAATCTGGACAGGAGCCCTGTCCCCGTCTGCATCCGGCTACCCTGTGTTGGGAAGGGCGCAGGTTTTGTGACTGCCGTTCAGCCCCAGGTGAGAAGCACTGAAAGACCGGCCTGCGGATTTATTACTGTAATAACTTCAGGCAAAAGGCGTTTATCTACCGCAAGGCCAATAAAGTTATCTGTGAGCTGGCATGGTTTTGGAAGGCCATCTCCCCTGCAGCCCCAAACTCACTGTGCAATCTCAATGTAGCCGCAGGAAGCAGCAACGTGCAGCGGAGTCCAGCCCTCATTGTCAGCCTGGTTCACGTCGGCTCCGTTTGCCACCAGAAATTCCACCACCTCCATGTTCTCATCAATGCAGGCCTGGAAAAGACAGAAGACTTGTCGCAAGGAAGCTCCCAGCTCCCCGTTTCTCTCTCCTCCACAACAGGGCCAAAGCTCAGTGGTACAGCGTGTTCTCTGCACACAGAAGGTCCCAGATTCAATACCTGGCATCTCCATGTTGGGAAAGTCTCCTGCCTGTCTGAAACCATAGAGTGTAGACAATACAGAGCTAGATGGACCAATGGTTTGATGTGGGTGGAACACAGCTTCTCATGTTCCTAAGGAACCTTCGCTCCCCTGAGCAAAAAGAGCACTTCCCTATCGTTCTCCCTTGCCCCACGCAGCACCTTGCCCTCCTTTCCTGGTGCCACAAGGAAATGTCCCATTGCACCACTGTCCCCTAGATATGCAATGCAGATGATGACTGAAGCTGGCAGCCCCTGAGCAGAAGGGCAGTGAATGCCACAAACCCCTTCAGAGCTTTTTATTTGCCACTTGGTAGGCCAAATAACACCCCAGCCGCCTGGGAATTTTATAGTCAATGGTTTGGGCAGATTTTTTTTTTTGAAATTCCTCCCCAAGTGCTTTACTTTTCTGCCAGTAAAAATCCTTCCTTTTCATAGACTCATTAGTAACAGTAAATGGATGACAAGTACAAATACGAGGCAAGCTTGTCAGCTTCAAAGCTGCTTTTAATGTTTTCCAGGTGATTATACCTTGTGAGGATGAAAATGAGCATATCTGGCAAAGTTCTTTCAGCTGCCAAAATTTATTAGTTTTCAGCACTTTTGTTTTCCTATTTAAACAAACAATGTATAGGAAGCACACCCAATTGCCATTGCATTTTTTTTACAAGTACTGTATTGCAATACAAATTGCTACATGATACCACATTCAAACCACAAGAAGTAAGTGTGGTTTAATTTCTCCTCAGATACTCCAGGTCAAATGTTTGTGGTGTATTAGGACAAAAAAGTGACACGCGGATACTTTTTCTAAAGCTTTGTTTACCAGATAGAAGATAAGCACGCTAAATCTAATCTCGGCATCAGAAAAAAATCTGATGCAAACCACACACACACACACACACACACACACACACAAATACTATGCAAACCATCCTAATTTGCATAAGAAAATCTTCCCAGTTCATCTCCCCCCCCCCCCGGCCCAGGAAAATCCCCACCTCTATTGGCAGCCTGATTCACACAACACGCTCCACCAACTTAGCAACTTTGCATGGGCTTCAGAAGAAGAGCTTGCAGCCGCTTTCCCCCTTCCTGGTCTTTTCAACTGCTGTGCTAAGCCGAGCCAAGGTTCGTCTTAGCGCGTCGCCTGAGCTGGAATTCGCGGTTAAGCTCTCTCCTTGCTAACGGTAAGCTGTAGCCAAGGACAAACCATGAAGACAGAGCTTAACCGGTAGTCCCAATTCGGACGGCACGCTAAACTAAGCCTTGGCACTGCAGCGAAAAAGGCAAGGCAAGAGCAAAGCAGCTGTGAGCTCCATTCTGGGAGCCTGCACAGTCTCCAAACCAGCTCAGTGCTCCAAAATGCGATGTCAATTGGTGGTGGGGAGAATTCCTGGTAGGGAGGCAGGTTTTAGGTAAACATCAAGAAAAGCTTCCTAATGCTAAGAGGATTGCAGCTCAGGAACAAGCTGCTCAGGAAAGCCACACAATGAATTCCTGGCCATGTAGGGTTTCAAAGAGAGGCTGGAAAGACAATGCTGTCATTGGGCAGGAGGCCTAACAGGATGGCCCACAAAGTCGCTGGTATTTGCACAAATACAGGTAGTCTCATGTGTTAATAGTTAAGTTGTGTTAGGGGTACAATATGATTTAATTTTATAATGTAGGGCCCACTGCTGACCAGTTAACCCTGTGCATTCTTTTGCAAACATCCCCCCACAAATGGTAGGCAGGAGAATCCAGCTACCGTATTTTTTGCTCTATAAGGCTCACTTTTTTCCTTCTAAAAAGTAAAGGGAAATGTATGTGCGTCTTATGGAGCGAATGCAGGCTGCGCAGCTATCCCAGAAGCCAGAACAGCAAGAGGGATCACTGCTTTCGCTGTGCAGCGATCCCTCTTGTTGTTCTGGCTTCTGAGATTCAGAATATTTTTCTTCTTGGTTTCCTCCTCCAGAAACTAGGTGCGTCTTATGGTGTGGTGCGTCTTATAGAGCGAAAAATACGGTACTTCTTGAGCAAGGAGGGAGAATCCTGCCTTAATGCTTTTCCTTATCCACAGGTGAACACACCCCAAAAAAACTTTCAAGAGAAAAACGGGTGGCGGCAGCTAGTAAGCTGAACATTTGGGGAAGAGAGTAGAATATCCTTTGGTGTCCAGGCCCCACTCCCACCCATTGCCGCGATCCATAAGCGAGTCACATGGCGGCGTTATCACCATCTCTTTAAAAAGGAAGGAAGAGTGCTTCTGTTTGCCCTTTTTCTCTTTTCCCAAGAGGACAGATGGGGGGATGGTGACCAGATGCAAAGGGGGGGCAGACCTTCTGAACCAACAACTGCTTTGCAGAAGGGGGAATTTAACAGATGTTGCTTCTTTTATCTCTGCATGACAAGCTGTACACCCTGCTGAAATTACTCTTCGGGGATGATAGGAGCCATAGCTGGGCAACATCTGGAGAGTCCCAGGAGGCAGGAAGCAGGTCTTTCCAATATTCCAGGAGGCTGGTCATACACGGGTAAAATAACCTTTAAATACTTGGTTGTAAGTTCAACTGGACTTACAACCTGGGTGCAGACATCATTGGGCTTCAACCAGTGGGCCAGGTCTCCTAATGGGATGCAGTCAGATAAGGGGAACTATAGCAGAGCCACTAGCAAGACCTGGTAAGAAATTCTGAAGAGGGTCTCCAAAATGCATGTTTGGCTAAAATGCACATCCCAGGTCTGAAAAGGCCAACGCAGCCCATTCCCAAACTTCACTTGGGAAAGTACAGACACAGCAAGCACCCCCTTCCCTTTCTCAAATGCACAAAAAGTGTGGCTGCTATTTACTGCTCTCTCTGTGCCTTTTACCGTATTTTTCGCTCTATAAGACGCACCAGACCACAAGACGCACCTAGTTTTTGGAGGATGAAAACAAGAAAAAAAATATTCTGAATCTCAGAAGCCAGAACAGCAAGAGGGATCGCTACGCAGTGAAAGCAGCAATCCCTCTTGCTGTTCTGGCTTCTGGGATAGTGGCGCAGCCTGCATTCGCTCCATAAGACGCACACACATTCCCCCTTACTTTTTAGGAGGGAAAAAGTGAGTCTTATAGAGCAAAAAATACAGTAATCTTAAGGGGTTGGGAGAGAAAGCTGCAGGAGGCACCAAAACTTTGGCATTACATCTCCCTGGCTTGGGAAATGTATCGCAGTGCTAGGGCGGCAGTGGATAAGCAGCAGATGCTGTTTGTCACTTGGTTGCTCATTTGAAGGCAACTTCATCTCAGCCCAGCTGAGATGTGGCTTTTCCCAGCCATGCAATAAAAACAACAGGAAACATGGGCATAGCACTTTCAAGAGTTCAAAGCCGTTCGTGTGCATTGCCTATGGCAAGGTAAGTTTATTACAATGCCCCATGTTACAGATGGATGAACTGAGGCTGAGAGAGAGAGGGGCCACCCAGTAAGTTCACTGCAAGATTCGAACCAGGCAGTTCCTGATTCATAGCTTAAGTCTCTTGGTCTCTATGCAACATGAGCTCCGCTTAGAATGTTTTGATGTATTTTATACAAGTTGCACAGGGGAGTGGTTGGTCGTTTGACTTTCAGTTTAGCACAAGTTAGGAGCTGCCAGTTTTTGAAAAATGTGTCTCTGCTCCACTCATTAGGCGGCACAAGTCCCCCGGTGAAGGCAGGGGAAAATGAAATGAGATATATCACATGAGCAGATGGATAAAACCAAAGAAGGACCATAGCTTCCCCACTCACAGCACAGTCCATAACGGCGGTGTGCTCGATCCAGAAGCCAAACCATGTTTTGCTGTTACACCACAACCAGCAAACTGTGGCTTGTACATGCCCTCTAAATTGCAACTGAAAGCCACAGTTTGCTGGTTTGGATGCAACAGTGAACCACAGTTTGTCTTGGATCAGATACAACATCAACTGGGCTGCACTCTAACCGGGGAACCGGAGCGAAATGCCAACTGTGGCTTGGGCCAAAGATGAAATAATTACATTAGAGATGAAACAATGCATCAGGGAGCACACAAACAATGTTTTTTTGTGTAGCGTCAACCATAATTTGGTGGCATTATGTGCAAAGGAGAGCCGCATTACATCCACCTAAAAATGCAAAGGGGTAACCAGCTTTTCTTTTTTCAACAACAACAAAAAGATTAAATTCAGATTCTCACGGATCTGCATTCTATGCCGAACAGCAGATGTGCTGCAGGATTCCACATGCTCAAAAAAAGTGTCACAGAGACCTGCAGCCTCTTTTGAGCAGTAGTTTAAGTATATATATATTTTTTTGGGGGGGGGGGGAGGCGTTGTTAAAGGAAGAGAATTTGGACCAAAGAGCCTTTGATGTCTTTTCGAGTGCCAGGAATATGCAGCTGCGCTACTTTTCTGCTTCCAACACAAAAGACGTCAGAACTGAAGGCAGCAGCTTCTGCTAGATTTCATCTGCCTTTAATAACAGGCTTTGGATTTGCAGTCAAGAGACCACGCAGAATAAAACTGGTTCAGGCAACAAGCGACAGTTATGTGGGTGTATCGTATCAAGCAGCCTTGAAGTAAGAATTTGGGTCATCTTGAGTTATTTTCAAAAAAGAGAAACACCAAGTGAATGAAAGCATGGAGAACTGGGAGATCAGATTCCAGAGTCCTCTCTGAAGAGTATTAAGGAGAAAAGACTCCTAGGTTCTTTGGAGAGAGTTGATTTAACCATCTTAACCTACAACAACTACCCTGATTAACAGCAGCTCTCTAGGATCCTAGTCAGAGTAAGGCTTCTCCCGCCATCTGATCCCTTAACTGAAGACAGGATATGCAGGTAACACATGTGCTCTACCCAATGAGAAATGGTCCCTCCCTGAGGCGGAAGGCACATTGATCCACATGTGGTGGAACTGTAAAAAGATCAGAGTGTTGGAAAATGATCTGGGGTGCCCAAACTTTTTTCAAAGAGGGCCAGATTTGATGAAGTGAACATGCGTCAGGGCCAACATGCGTGTTGAGCTTTTGGGGGGGGTTACCCCAGGAAATAAACTGCCACAGAGGCCAGATTAAGCCCCCAAAACAGACTTTCGACTTGCCTGACCTATAATGAACTTAAGAAAATGTTTAAATGCTCTTTCCCTAAAAAGCACGAAGACTTCCTGCTAGGAATTAAGGGTAACGAAATCTCAAAGAACTTCAGGAGAGTTTTCATGTACGTCACAGCAGCTGCCAGAATTCTAATCGCAAAAGGCTGGAAGGGAGTTCTCCCATCCAAATTAGACTGGCAAAATAAATTGAGAGTGTATGCTGAACTAGTGAGACTATCAGCAAACTACGAGCCGTTACAGATGAAAAATTTACCAGAGAGTGGGATATATAGAGTCTACCTTAAAGAACACTGCCAAGATATCAATCCGTTGGCAGGTCTTGACTAAGTTTCTGTGTGTAATAGGACAACTTTATAAATTTAAAGTAATTAGAATAACGTAGAGAAGATAAAGTTAAGTGTGTAACTAAAGAATGTAATTTGGGAACACAATGGGGAGATCAGAGGTCATGCCGAATCTAATCGCAAATTGATGTACACAACAAGTATCAACTATGGAATGAATGTTTGTTTATTTTTACTTTGTCTTTAACATCTATTGACTATTTGTGTTATACAGTTTTAAAACCAATAAAGCAGTTTAAAAAAAGAAAAGAGAAATGGTCCCTCCCTGACAGTCTGCATTTGCTAGTGTGAGAAAGAAAAGACACTTAAGAGACAAATCACACAATCTAGCTTAAAGTCAACTAACGTAGTGCTCTCCAGAAGTTGTTGGACTCCAACTCCCATCAGTCCCAGCCAGGATGGTCAATGGTCAGGGATGAAGGCAGCTGTAGTCCAGCAAAATTGGACAGATATCAGGTCGACTACCCTTGATCTGGGACGCGGGTGGTGCTGTAGTCTAAACCAGTGTTTCCCAACCTTGGGCTTCCTGCTGATTTTGGACTACAACTCCCATTATCCCTAACTAGCAAGACCAGTGGTCAGGGATGATGGGAACTGTAGTCCAAAATCAGCTGGAGGCCCAAGGTTGGGAAACACTGGTCTAAACCACTGAGTCTCTTGGGCTTGTCAATCAGAAGGTCGGCGGCTCAAATCCCCGCGATGGGATGAGCTCCCGTTGCTCGGTCCCAGCTCCTGCCAACCTAGCAGTTCGAGTTCGAAAGCACACCAAAAATGTGCAAGTAGATAAATAGGTACCGCTCCGGCGGGAAGGTAAACAGCGTTTCCGTGCGCTGCTCTGGTTTTGCCAGAAGTGGCTTAGTCATGCTGGCCACATGACCTGGAAAAACTGTCTGCGGACAAACACTGGCACCCTCGGCCTGTAAAGCGAGATGAGCACCGCAACCCCAGAGTCGTCTGCAACTGGACTTAACTGTCAGGGGTCCTTTTCCTTTACACCTTACCCTTGATCTAGCCTGTTGCTTTTAAAATTCTCAAACCATTTATCCAGGATAATCACTGTGTTCCAATTGGGCTCCAAGGCTGGGTTTGGGTGAACCCTGGTTCAAACTGTACCGACTCTGGACTTATGACTGGATCCCCCTGAAGAGAAAGGGACGCACTGGAATTTCTCCCTGCTCCCACCCTCCATTGCATGGGCTTTGGGACAAAGAGACCCCATGCCGTCATCCTTGCCCGCAGCCTGGGTGCAACTAGGCAAGGAGTTACTAGGCATGGAGAAAGATGTCGGCTGTTTCACCCAACCAGCCGAGCACTGATATTAATAGCCACTGCCTGGAATGCAAAGATTTCATTTTCCACAAACAAGAGAGACCGGCTGGTGTTGGCTGAAGCTCTTCGGAAACATTCCCTGACTGGCTGTGCTGCGAAAGAGCTACATTTCTCCTTGTTAGGCCCTGCTTCTTCGCAATGAGTTCAGGAATCCTCCTTCTCAAGCTCTGCACCTCCACTTTAACCCTAGTGGAACCATGAGAGGCAACATGGAGGTAAACCGTGGCCAAGTCTCTGCCACACCCCAAGTCTCTCCTCTCAGCAGCAGCCCCCACCTGAGAAAAGTCAAGGGAACCATGTATATTTAGAAGGTACATTCTTTGGAATTCAGAGGGGAGCTGACTTTTATTTAAACTTGTTTGTTCCAAAAACTGTACCTTCCAAAAGCCCTTCGTCAGGGAAATATTCATATTTAGAATCTAAATATACGAATAGTCCCCTGATGAAAAGCCCTCTATGGCATAAGATGTATAGGGTCTTCTGAATTTTGATGATATTGTTGGTATATCTGAATGCATTAGCCTCTCTGCCCTTGCACTGAGGATTCTTCTAACACATTAGGAAAACCTAATCTGATACTCTCTCATTTCTAAGTACTTAGAAGACAATTAAGCACTTGTGGCAGAGCTATACCAAATGAGCAAGATTTACATAATTTTGAAAAAAATCAAACAAGAGGCCATAAGGGGTTCTACAGCGGCCATCTGTGCAAAATTCTCCATTTTTGTTCTGGTGAGGTATGAAACAGGATGCAACCCAGGAGATATTGTCTAACCACATGAAGTGTTTGGAGAAATTGTTGTCGTTGTTATGCGACAGTGGCCATCACTCATGTGTGCACATCTATCTATATCTATTTTACATGTAGATTTGTTGTGTTTAGTCATGAACCACCTTTTGTATCAATTTTTTTGGAGTTCCTGCGACCCATTTTGAGATTTATTCCTTGACATCTACTAGCCTGAGCGAAAGCCAGTTATCTAACCCACGGCAGTTCTGCAACGAAGGAGAGTCTCCTGCCCTTGTTCTCTTCTCCTTTCCCATTCCCTCTTCTGAGCAGAACATAAGATAAATAAACAAAACAAAAAACTTAAGAGTCCCATGCCTGCCCGTCGTGCTGCCTATTTATGGCTACACCTTGGAAACTGGTCCCGCATCCAACTCCCAGGCTTATTTTTTCCTTTCCAAAATCCAGGGAAAACACGTTGCAGAAACAGGCTTCAAAACCCACCATACTCCCTGCCGTTCTCAGAACATGGTAGAGTAAGTTTGGGCCGTTCCAAATTCTGCCCTGGCCAGAAGCCAGAGGAGCATCAGAGGCACAACCCGGCAGTGAGGACAGGCACAAGGATAACTCTGGGAACATAAGGCGAGCGGAGGACTCACGGGTTTGCAAAGAAACAAGAGGACTGAAGCCAAGTGGGAGGCAGCTAGAAGACAAGGCTCTCGGTTCAGCTTAGAAAACGAGAAGACAGCAGCAGTTCAGTGGGGCCATGGGTGCCCCATTCTCCAGCCAGGCATTATGAAACAAATAGATAAACCCTACCTATGTCTTTTATTTGTTTGTTTGATAGTCGGTTGGTTTTATGCTCCACCTCCGGCTAACAACCTAAACCTGTTCAGTTTATGGACCGCTACATTGGTTCATGCACACAGTAAGAATACAATGTTAAAGCCATTAATTAAAAACCAAAGGATTGCAGCAACTTTGACTAAGCTTAGCATTGACAATTATCTGTAATGCCATCATACTGAAACCACTGCCACCTTACTAAAATCACTGCCACCTATGACCCCAACGCCTGGACAAATAAAACATGTGTTTTGCTTTCATGCAAATGTTTCCTGTTGTGGGGGCCAACCGGATGACAGCTGACCATAAATACGGATGGCCATATGTAGCTGTTAGAAGAAGGATGGGGAACCTGTGGCCCTCTAGATGTTCTTGGACTCCAGTTCCCATCATGCTCAACCACTGTCCACACTAGCTGAGACTGATGAGAGTTGGAGTCCAATGACACTGGAGGGACTGCACATTCCCCAGCCCTGCACTAAAGATACCTGGGAACTGAATGGTTAATGAAGAGAGCGCCCATAGGTATAAGATGAATGTTGTTCTCCCTTCATCCTTTACCACTGGGAGAGAATGACAGGCCTAAGGTCACCCAGTGAGCTTCATGACAAAGTGGGGATTTGGACTCAGAGCTTCCAGGTCCTAGTCAGACACTCTAACCACTAGACTACAATACACAGGCTCTTTTTTATATAAAAGATTCCACACAGTGATTACTCAAGAGTTTGCTTTTAAGAAAAAGTTTCAATGCAAAGTTAAATCGAGTCCTGCTCCTAGGAAAATGTGGATTCCTCAAACTGTATAAATGAAATTGGTGGAAAATAAACAGGTTTGAACGTAGTACATCACTTATCTTGCTTCAAGCTGGTCACAGGGAGAAGCGAAGAGCTATAAAAAAAGAATACTGAAGAACTACTCCAACACCACAGGAAACCCTCCTGAACCTTCCCACTGGTTTCTGAAATTTCACAATGTTAAAGACTAGAAAGTTTCATTTGTGTGTGTGTTTTTAAAGGAAGCCAGTTCCAGCCCCCGCAATTCCATAACTGTGGGATGCACAAACTTTCAATCTTCAAAGTGCTTCAGTACCCTCACATCTCAACTCACTTCTATCACATCTCCATAATTCTATTTTGAAGCAGGATTAAGTGAGGCCAATCTCTGCAAAGCCACCTGCGGAAATCTTGGTATGTTAAGTGCCTCCATCATGCTCTGTGGCTTGGAGACCTGCTCCAAATCAAAACCATTTCTGAAAGGCTTAGCAACCCATTTGCAGGCGGCTTCCCCCATTAGGGACCCGGGTGGCGCTGTGGTATAAACCACTGAGCCTAGGACTTACTGATCGGAAGGTCGGAAGTTCGAATCCCCGCAACAGGGTGAGCTCCGTTGCTCGGTCCCAGCTCCTGCCAACCTAGCAGTTCGAAAGCATGTCAAAGTGCAAGTACAGTGGTACCTTGGGTTAAGAACTTAATTCGTTCTGGAGGTGCGTTCTTAACCCGAGGTACCACTTTAGCTAATGGGGCTTCCTGCTTCCGCATGATTTCTGTTCTCATCCTGAAGCAAAGTTCTTAACCTGAGGTACTATTTCTGGGTTAGCGCAGTCTGTAACCTGAAGAGCTGTAACCCGGGGTACCACTGTAGATAAATAGGTACCGCTTGCAAAAATTTACCATTTGCCCGAAAATAAATGTTGGAAATGTAACGAGACTGAAGGCACATTCTTTCACCTTTGATGGACATGCCCAAGGATTAAGACATTCTGGGAGATGATTTATAACGAAATGAAAAAGGTATTTAAATATACCTTTTTGAAGAAACCAGAGGCTTTTCTCCTGGGCATGGTCGGCCAATTGGTGTCAAAGAAGGATAGAACTTTCTTTATGTATGCAACAACAGCAGCAAGGATACTCATTGCAAAATATTGGAAGACACAAGATTTACCCACCCGGGAAGAATGGCAGATGAAGTTGATGGACTATATGGAACTGGCGGAAATGACTGGCAGAATCCGAGACCAGGGAGAAGAGTCGGTGGAAGAAGATTGGAAAAAATTAAAGACTATCTACAAAAATATTGTAAAATTAATGAATGTCAGAAAAATGTTGGAATGAAGTTATATGGCTTTAGCAGAAATGTTATAAGGAATTAAGTACAGATAGATTAATAGAGCATTAAAGGAAAAAATAAGGTTAGAATGAGTTAAGATAATTATAGGATAGAAAACAGAGGAAGATGGAAAGGAATTGCTGAAATAATTAACAGAAGTGGAATACAAAAAGGAAGGTGTGAGGAGGTCGTGGAAATAAGTGAATGAAAGATGGGATAATGAAATTGTTTGATTTATTTTATTGTTTTTGTTTTGTTTTGTTAATTTAATGTATTGTATTGTATTGCCTTTTTACTGTTTAAGTTTTTGGAAAAATAATAAATATTATTTAAAAATAATAATAAATAAATAAATAGGTACCGCTCCGGTGGGAAGGTAAAAGGCGTTTTCGTGTGCTGCTCTGGTTTCACCAGAAGCGACTTAGTCATGCTGGCCACATGACCCAGAAAAACTGTCTGCGGACAAACGCCAGCTCCCTCAGCCTGTAAAGCGAGATGAGCGCCGCAACCCCAGAGTCGTCTGCTACTGGACTTAACTGTCAGAGGTCCTTTACCTTTACCTCCCCGCCCCCCGATTAGTTCTAAATCCTAGGGTAGAACCCCTCACATGGGCAGAAGCTGCATCTTCTCCCTAGACCAAGACTCATTCCTTTCACCACCACCCACTCTGCCAGAGTTTGACAGACTGGTGTTTGGAGATGGCGGGAGGATGGGGACCAGGGCAAAGAGCCAAGCAGCATCAAGAGAATGAAGTAATGGAAAATTATCCAGGAGTGTGTATGTGGGGCGGGAGAAGAGCATGGAAGGGGACAGCAGTCCCAGAGCCTCCTAATGAGAAACCCAGGAAAGGGAAATGTGTTTCAGGCATAACTGATCTTCCACACACAGCTATACTGTGCACACTTTGTGGATGATAAATCCGGTGGGAACTGCAAAGAAGTGGGGCATAATGCATCCACGCAGCCAACAGAATAACATCAAGACTAAGGCTGCAATCTTGAAACATGCTTACTAGGGAGTAAGTCCCAATGAGCACAGTGGGATTTACTTCTGAGCATACGCAAGGCTCAGTTAACACCCTGGAACTGTGCCTTGGACTCGCACTGCCTCCCCGCAGTTAAAATTCCCTCCCTCACTTCCTAGTTCAGGCACAGCATGGCTTGCCATTTCATCTGAAAACGGCAAATACATTTTGGCTGGACCAAGTAGCGATGGAGAGAACTACAAGGGGAAGGAGGGAAGGCATGACACCAAAGCAACATCTGGATGGCCGTGGTTTGGTCGTTGGGTGTGACCAAACCATTCATAAATCACGAAGCGTTCATACAGGATATTCTGCTAACCTCAACCTAATATGAACCTGGTGGATCAGGCCAATGCTTCTAGTCCAGCAACATGTTCTCACAGTGGCCAACCATATGCCCCCATGGGAAGCCTGCAAGCTGGACATGGAGCACAACAGCACTCAGTCCAGCGCCAATTCCCAGCAATTGGTATTCAGAGGCATAACCTGGTGCCTTCCAAAAACATATATAGGGCACAACATTTGGCAAAGGCTGATTTACAGTGTCAAGCACAGGAGACAGGCTTGCACGCAGTCATTCCCCTGGATACGTGTAATTATTTATTCTGCCATTACCAGGTTGGGCACTGCTTTATTTTTGGGTGAAGACAAAGAATAGTAGGTGCTGAGCAGTTCCTTCCTCTCTTTGCCACTCAACAGCATTTCTCATGCAAAGGACCTACCACTTGCTTGTTTTCCTCTTGTTTTGAACTTAGCTGAAGAAACATTTTTATTATTATTTTCAATCTCTCATGAAAGCCGGAGCTCATTCTGAGCTTGGGCTCACCTGACATTCACCCTGCAACCGTTGGATACTCGTGTATACTCCTCCATTGCAACTTCTCCTTCCTTCCATTTCTTAGACACGCCCTTCTTAAATCTCAGCTCATCAGTAAACTCCTTATGCAGTCACATCCATTTCTTTAGTTACATTTCTTTCTTGTTGGAATTGTCTGCACATGTGCCTTCAATATTTCACCCCCATCCACCTTGGACTCACTTTCTTTTGAGAATTTCTGATCGTAGTATGTCACCCAGCAGTTCCTTAAACTTTCTGAAATCCGATTATTGAAGTCCCAAATGCATGTCTGACTACACTCAGCTTTTCCTTGCCTCTGTATCATGAAACCCAAGAGGCCACAATCTCTTCCTCCCTAGGTTTCCTGTATTTCCACTTCATTGATCAGTTCCCCACTGTTGGTGAGGAAAAGGTCCAAAATAGATAACCCCCTTGTTGCTTCTTCTACCTACTGGGAAATGAAATTGTCAATGAGGCAACACAGGAATTTGTTGGACCTTACATTATTGGCAGAGTTTGAGTTCCAATAGATATTGGGGTAGTTGAAGTCTCCTATGACTACTATATCTCCCCTTTTTGAATGTTTGGTAATCTGCTGTAGGAAGGCATCATCCAAGTCTTCAGTCTGGCTTGGAGGTTTACAGCATACAACTACAGTAAGCTCACTGTTGCTTCCCTCTCCTACAATTTTTACCCATATACTCTACAGTATCTATTCACACCGGATATACCATTCTCAGAACAACAGCCTGCAGTTAGGTGTTTCCAAAGTCCTACGAGCAGACTGGTAGCTGTTAAAGTGCAGTAGAAAATAGGTTTTTTCCACCCTTTCTATTTATGCTTACAAACATAGCAAGGTTTCTGAGCTGTGTTATCATTTATCCAGTAAAAGAATAAGAGATGGTGGCATTTGATCTCTCTATGATGGTGATGGAACTAGCAGCTCAACTTTGCACAGTGGAAGTGACTTACATCACTAGGTGAAAGGTGGAATTATATTAAGAAGGAACATAGGAAGCTGCCTAATATCTATTCAAACAATTGGTCCATCCTGCTCAGTAATGTCTAAACTGGAAGCTGCTCTTCAAGGTTTCAAACAGCAGTCTTTCCCAATTCCACCTGAAATTGCTGAAGTTTGAACCAGGGATGTTTTTCAGGGAAAGCACTACAGCATCTGTATCATCAGCACAATCTTACTGATACATGGAATTTGGCACAGAATTTTTGACATCTGCTGTGAGAATAGAGCTTAATAAACTGGACCCGAGAACCCTGGGAGAATGGCTGCCAGCCAAGACAGGCACTTTCGTGACAGAGAGAATGGTTACTGTTGCGACTTGGCATAAAAGCAGAATGTATGTGTGTACCATATAATTAATCAATTAATCTAGTGACCGAGAGCAATCTCAGGCCAGAAGTGATTGAGATGTGCTTTACAAACCTCCTAGAGGATGTTTCCACAGGCAGTGCAAATGCCATTTACTGGGTAGCTGCTACATTAACATTTATCATGCAAATCGTTCCTTAGCCAAACTGGGGGATCATCAAACCTTCATTTTAATGTCACAACTGCTAGCCTCATATAATGCAATTTTTGAGCATGGACCTGGAGCAGCATTCATCTTACAGAGAGCTGTTGGGGTTCAAACCTACCCAACCATTAGCTGATAAAAGGGAACAGATCCTTCTAATTTCACATGAGCCTGTGTGTATGCGTAGAGAGAGATAGGGTGGAGCTGGCTGCAGCTGCTTAATGGCAGAGAATACATACTCTGCAGATGCTCAGAGGCCATCCCTATACACTTCACAGCCAGGCCTTGGCAACAGAAAAAAATAAGGGCTGGGGAGCATTTCTTAGATGTTCAAAACTACTCTCATCATATAACCCTAAGCCAAGCCTTGACATTCGTTATACCAAAGCCGGGGCTGCAGGCAAGGGACTTTCTACACCAGCCTCCCCCAAACTTTGGCCCTATAGTTGTTGGGACTGCAGTTCCCATCACCCCTGATCATTAACCATGCCAGCCAGGGCTGATGCTCGTTGCAGTCTAAGACGCCTGATGTGCACCAAGTTGGGGGAAGCCTGCTTCACACGTCTCAACCGGGGTGGGGTGGGGGGAGACGCTCTGCGCACGTTCAGAGGCACCCTTTTCCGCTAAGGGGTTACGTTTCCAGATTTGAAATCCTGTCGCTTATTTTGGCCAGGGGAAAGGAGAGGAAAAAGCTTAATGGGAAGGCGGCAAAAGCAGGAAGAGGGAGGCGGGGAGCTGCCATCGGGGCGCCGCGTACCTGGTGGAGGGCGCTGATGCCGTCCGCGTTGGTCCCGTTCACGGCGCCCGGGTCGGCGCTGAGCATCTCCCGCGCCGCTTCCAGCTCGGCCCCGGCGCAGCAGGCCAGGAACTCGGCGGCCGCCTCGAAGCGGACGGCGCGGGGCCGAAGCCCTCTGCCGCCGCCGGAGCCCATCCCCGCCGCGGGCACAGCCTCGCTCTCGGCCGCCACCGGCAGCCCCGGAGGAGGCGGGGCCGGGCACAGAGAAGCAGCAGCCGCTGCTGCTGCTGCCGCCGCCGCCGCCTCGGCCTCCGCCCAGGCTCGGAGCTGCTCCCGCCGCCGCGCCCGGGCTCCTTCCCCCTCGGAGAGGGACAGCAGCGGCGCCGCCATTTTCCCCCTCCTGCCGCTGCTGCTGCCGCCGCCAGCCCGGCTGGGCGGCCCTCCCGGCCCAGCTCTAGCTCTGGGCTGAAAAGCAGCAGCAGCGGCGGCGGCGTCGACGCCTCTCGGCTTCCGTATCGGAAGCGAGAGGGGAGGGGGCGGCGGCGGCAGCAGCAACACGGCGGAGGATGTGGGAAAGTGAACGGCTGCCGCGCGGCATGACGGGAAGTGCAGTCCTCCAGACGTCGGGCGCTTCCAGACATTCCGTCGGACTGCAATTCCCATCAGCCCCGCACGGCACGGCCAACGGCACGGAATTGTGGGAGTTGTAGTTTCAACGACTGGGAGGTCATTTCCACACACGCACCCCAAATCTCTAGGGGAAAATGCGAAAAGCACAACCTAAGAAGTGCGGGTGGGGATGGAAAGCGGGGGCACTTGTTTATGCCGTTAAAACCACGAGGAGAAGAAAGCAGACCCTGGTCGTGATTGCAGGCGGAGAGCAGCAACTGTGCGGCGAAAAGCCCTGGCTGCTTTGTCTCGGAGGTTGCAGAACAAATCATTAGCCCTACGTTGCCAATTACGGATGTAATAGTGCGCAACTCTCAAACTTTTCATCTCTTTGGGGGAAACGAAACAGATGTGTGTGGCATGGTGGGAGATGAGCCTGAAGTCCCCCCCCCACAAGTGCTCCTGGGAGATGGAGTTTAAAAGAAGCAGCATATTTGTGTGGGATTACCATGGAAATATAGTAATTAGAATAATAATAATAATAATAAAAAAAAAAAAAAAACCCTGACTGCAGGTCTTCTATCAAGGGTGTTGCTGGACTCCAGCTACTATTACTATTAATGTTTAGTTTATTTTACATTCTACCCTTCCTCCCAGGGCAGCATACAAGCAATAAACAAGTAAGCATCTAGAAACATCTAAAAACAATTCCTATACAGATCCACACTGGGGAAAATCTCTACTCAAAAGGCTTGCCGGAAGAGGAAAGTCTTCAGTAGCTGCTGAAAAGACAGTAGACTACACTTGTCCAATGTTTGGCAGGTGGGACCAAAAGTCAGGGAGGATGGGAGTAGCAATCAAACAACACCTGAAGGCTCACAGGTTTCCTGTCCTTGTAATGTAATATGTAGCATAATATATATGAAGATGTGGAGTACTGTGTAGCTCACCAACATCTCCATAGTGAAAGCCCTACATGTGTTGCCTTGGAAATGAGAGTGGAAACAGATTCACTTTCAAATGCTGACAGGAACTGGTAGGCTGTGTGTGTATTTCTCAACCTATTTCCTGTCTCTGAGCCCTCTTTATAGACTTTATGGAACCCTAAGAAAGAGGAAAGAATCAGCAAGTGCCCACAGAAATATGAAAAGAATGGGGTCACACTATGTCAGCCCTAAGCTTGAGCTGGCTTTCAACTTCCACAAGATATATAAAAATAATAACAGAAATGTCACCAGATACAGCACCGCCACATCCCTAGAGAATCACAGCCAATGCCAGTTTTAATTTTTACCTGAATTTCAGAGTGAGGCTGTATATACGCCATACACGCATAAAGCCCATGACTTCCCCCAAAGAATCCTGGGAACTGTAGTTTGTTAAGGGGACTGGGAATTGCACCTCTGTGAGAGGCAAGCTACACTTCCCAGGATTCTTTGGGGAAGCAATCTGATTTAAATGTATGGCGTATACACAACCTGTGGGCCACTCTGGTCTTTTTCTAACTTTATGCAAAAAGACCCTGATTCGACACCCGGCATCTCCTGGTAGGGCTGGCAAAAACCTGTACTCATGCCTTTGACCACTGTCAGAACAGAATGCTGGACTCTACCTTTGCTCTGAACCAGCAGAAAAGGGAATGAAGATTAGCTTGTACTTTTCCCAAGCACCTCCTCCAAATTCCAGACTCTTTCTGCTTCTTGAAGCTCAGTCTCATTGGCCTTCTGGTTGTGGTCTGCTGCTGGCCTTCTCCAACACTCAGGAAAGATTTCTCTCTTAAGGCCTGGTCTCACACTACTAATGCCCCCTTTTGCTGTATTAACTGCCACAGAAAATTACTTTTCAGTGGAACATTTGCCAGGAAATCTCAAGTCATCCTTCAAGCAACCATTGGTGGCCAACGGCACCCAGAGGAACCGAGGCAGGGAATCCCTGGTTTTGTGTAGGCCTGGGTCTATTTGTCCCAGTTGCCCCATACCTCCCCTCCACCCGCCGCCAGCAGCCCTGCAATGTTGCCAAGCGGTACGGCTTGTGCAGGATTGCAAAGCATAGAAGTGCAACAGGCCTGCTCCTATCAGGCTTTCCCCCAGCAACATCTATGAAAAGGGCCCAGACTGAGCTACCTCTTACGTGCTGCTCTGCTTTCAGCGCACTCCTGCTCCTCAGTTCTAGTATCCCAATGAAGCCTCTTCTGAAATGGGATGCGGGTGGCTCTATCTTGGAGTTGCAGGCCTATGTTCAACACACACACAAAATGGCTCCTGCTGCAAACTCTCTCCTCCCTGAGCTCCAGCGCTCCCTCCTTAGCTGCAATAAGTAGGCCCTCTGTTGGAGTGGTACAGCTAGTCTTAAAGGGAGAGTATCGCCACGCACCAAAGTCTCCCAGGTATTCATCCCGTGCTGCTTTTTTTAAACTCTGAGAATTTCCATCACTCCAAAGTAGTATAGCAACCATGTGACCAAGCCTAGCAACTGCCTTGTTTTGCTTTCAATGTTTTTTTGTTTCGTAACAGTTCCTATCTTTATTTTAGATTATCTATTTTTACCTTCTTTAAAAAAAATCAAGGAAAGTTATAAATTAAAAGGCATCCAGTTGACCTCTTACAGCTTTGTTGCCAGTACCGCATGGCCTTGAGTATCCCCAGAAAAAAAGCACTGATTATTATTATTATTTACCAGCCTTTCACTCTAATGTCCCAGTGTGAGTTACGGCATTAAAAGACAACATTAAAAACAGTTTAAAGCAACATTACAAGATAGGTCCTCAAAAATATAGATCTCAAGTGTCAAAAGAGGTGTGGAAGCTGTATAATGAGGGTGCCAGACACACCTCTCTGGGGAGGGAGGGTCACAATTTAGGGGCTGCCACAAAACATGTAATATACAGTTACTGACTCACACTGGCGTACATGAAAATGTTAACCTGCACTCTGAGTTCAAGTTACCAGTGTGGGTATGGCTTAGTAGGCTCTCAGCGCCCTTCTCAGCACCCCCTTCTCAGTTTTTCCTCTCTTCACGCTTCCTGGAACAAGCAAGAAGCCACGTGGCTATCTATGGCTCCCTGCAAATGAAAAGAACCTCTCCAAAAGGGAGATTTTATAGCTTGCTTATTATAGCTAACACAAAGATTGCCTGCTTCACTTTGTATGGAAGCCAAGTACTTTTCTTTTCAAGTTGCTTGGAACCTTTTTTTCTTCATTTTATTTCCAGTGGATGGAGACTTGTTTGCTGTAAGGTCTGGAAACTATTCACTTATTTGCAAAGCCAAGGGTCTGCAATTTATTGTAGCCTAAGCATTTTTGTGGGGAACATTTGCTTAAAGGTGGATGAGGGCAAATGCAAATTAACCAAGTTTTAACGTGCTTGGAGCAATCGTCATTGTGCTGCCAGTCAGTGTAGACAATAAGGAGCTTGATGGACCAGAAGTGTGACCCAGTATAAAGCAGCTTCTCTGGAAAGCGAGGAGAAAGATAGAAAGAGAGATTCTACATTCTTTCCACCAATAAAACACAGGGAGGCTGTACTCACTGGGGAGGTACCACAGAGGGGAGAGTTTGGTTTATTGGGTTTGGCTTGTGGCAAAGAGCTTGTTACAGGCACACATGACAGGGGTGAAGAAGAATGGACAAAGGGCAGGCTGGTCAGCTTTCAACATAAAACAGGGCAGGGGAAGCAATGGGATGCTGCAATCAACAGTAGCTCCCAGATCTCTGCATGAACTGTAGGCGGGTGGGTGTCGTCTTTTTTACTTCCAGCGGCCACCAAGTCTGGCTTTTCCAGCACCTTTCTTGCTGCAAGGAAGAAATGTACAAGTTGTAAAATATCCACATTCACCATCTATCTATCTATCTATCTATCTATCTATCTATCTATCTATCTATCATCTATCTATCTATCTATCTATCTATCCATCCAAGAAGACTCACACCCAGCTCTGTGTACTGCTTGCATATATACAGTATGTATCTGAAATATATTTTGTGAGGGAAACTAAAGCTAAGCAGTCACAAGACCAAAATATGACACAGCAAATTTCCAAATATGAAATGTTAAAGTTTGAGAGAATGCTACAGCTGAATTTCAGCTTCCAATTGGTGCAGATCTTGAGATTTTGGTGACCTGGATTCCAGCTCTCCAAAATAGTATTTTATCTATTTATTCAGAAAATTTATATACCGCTTGATTGTAAAAACAACAACAACCCCCAAAGCAGTTTACATAAAGATATAACAATAAAATCAAGAAAAAAATTGCAGCTGTACTTTAAAACATGCAAAAGTTAAAATACTAAAATGCTGAAACAGATTAAAATGACCCCAAATTCCTAAGCATTTGGGTAAGCTTGTCTGAACAAAAATGTCCTTAGCAGGTGCCAAAAAGAGGATTTTTAAAATACATTTTATAAACCTGGCAGTTGTGGACTTTATGAATTCATGAACAGTTCCACATGAACACTAGAACCTGTTCCTCAAGCCGTTTCCACACTGTGGATTCTAGTTGTGAAAATGCACAAGTTTTGTGGCTATAAAACATGTGGTGGGTGGGTGGGGGGGGGGTAATGGGATTTGAGGTCAGAGTAATTTGTGTGTGTGTGTTGCTGCCGGAACCACAAGGTCACTCACAATTTCTGGGCGTGGCTGATGCGGTTGTAAAGAACATTGATCTGGAAAGGAAGGGAAAACACACAACACAGAGAGGGAAATTGATGTTAGTATCATTTTGGCAGCAGGGAAAGTTCCGTATCCAAAAGTATATTTCTTTTTCTCCCTCCTTACCTCATACTTCTGACATTTGTATTTTTCCATCAGGTCAAATTTCTCTGATTCTAGTTGATGGATCCAGTCATGCAGCTCCTTGGCTGTGTCCCTGGACAGAGAGAGGCAAATTGTATTGGGGTTTGGGGGACTTCTCTGATTAACCCCCCCCCCCCAACATCCCTCATGCCCCTCCCTGGCCAGGCAGTCAACAGTGCCAAGAACTGCTGGTGGCTATGGTGGGGGCTTTGGCCAAGCCACCTTCCCTGGTCCCCTCCCTCCTCTCTGCCATTGCTGTCAACTGATGGTGCTCCTCTGCCTCATCTTGGCTGCCAGACAGAGCCAAGGGGCAACCAGGCAGCAGTATCTCCTTCCCCGCCACTGCTGTGTCTGCTTGCTTCTGCCCTTTGGGCTGTTATAAGACTTTTAAGGTCTCAAATATAGAATAAATGTTCATAAATGCACACATATCGAAATATATGAACCATGTGTCTGGAATAGTATGGGAGAGCAATCCTGAAGCCATTTTGACTCACCCATTGACCTCAAGTATTCCTCTGCAGTAAGGGAGGCAAATGGGGAAAGCCTTCCCATTGTCTTTTTGCTTGCAAATCCTGTCTTAAGGCCGCATTTGTGTATGAATAGGGTGAGCCTGTGACCTGGACTCAGGAACTAAAGTATTAACCATCACAAAAGAACGGCCAGGCTGCCCAGGTAATGCAATCAGTGACCATTATCAGGTATCCAGGCAGGCAAGATTTCTGCTGGAGACCGCCTCCTTCTGTGATGTATGTATGATGTTTCAGGGGGGTGGTCTTGGACTACAGGGTGGGCAATTTCAAAAGTCTATATAAGGGCTTGTGCACCAATGTTCTGGGTTCTCCTCCCTCCTGCGTGTGGTGAGTGTGGAACCCTGTTGCAACTGTTCCCTGAATAAAGATCAGGCTTACTAGCCACTTTGCTTTTCAATTTACAGTCGCACCTCAGAAGTCTAACGTCTTGTGAGATGAACGTTTTGACTCCCAAACGCCAAAAATCCAGAAGTGATTGTTCCGGTTTGTGAATGTTCTTTGGAACCCGAACATCCGTTGCGGCTTCTGTGGCTTCCCGAACGTTTTGGAAGTTGAACGGACTTCCGGAACGGATTCCGTTCGACTTCCAAGGTATGGCTGTACTCTGGTTGGCTTCTGTTATTTCTCCTGCCGATAAGGAACCCACTTAAGGACTCTATACGGGCTCTGGAATACCCCGTAAGGGAAAAGGAGCAGTTTCCCCCCCTTATAACAGGGCCAAAGTGTGAGGTACATGAATGAGCCAGCTGCAATGGTGAGGAGGGGCAGGGTCAAGGGGACTTTTCTATGGTTGAACCCTGCAGGGGACCCTTGGTGCCAGTCTTGCAGCTCCACTCTGTTATCAACCTCAGCTGTTGTTCGCTTAAGTTGTCTACATTGAGCGGCTTCCTTCGCTCCGATAAGATCCGGATCTTCATTTCACGGCCTGTCTGCCTCTTGCCACGTTTCTGCTCGGCCTAAGAGAGAGAAACCAGGTGGGAAGTGTGTACAAAAGGGAGTCACCTAGGGAAAACTTTTTAAACCAGGATTTTGACCTTGAATTTGAAGGCTTTTAAAGTATTTGCGGCCTCTTTTGGTGTTAGAAGGATCTGTGAGAGCTTTTATTTTTTGTTTTGTTTTTTGTTTTTTTAGGTTTTTATTGTGTTTACTGTAACTGGGATTTTTGTTGTATTTTTACTGTGTTTGCAAGCTGCTTACAAACTTGCCAGAGCAATCCGTGAACCAAAACACAGCTACCCTTCAAAAATTGGCATCTGAATTTTGCAGTTCTCCAGCCAAACATTGTTTACAAAAATGCATGTATTTGGAAATTGTGCACATCGATGAATATATTGGTGAAAATAACATAAAATTCATTAGGAGAAATTTGTAGTAAAATGCTGGAGAATTTTCATTGGGAACCCCCTCCCCCCGCCTCATATGTACAAAAATAATTTGCAAATTGCTGCAGTGTGAAGAACCAAAATGAAGAATGGATAAATGGGGAAAAGGAGAGAAGCAAGATGGACAGATTCTTCCAGCCCTAGTTGGGAGTCCAGAAACATCTGGATTGGCTACAGGTATCTCTCTACCCCCGTCAGACTGAATCGCAGGAAAGGGATGGTGGCTGCAATTGTGAAAAGAACCACCTGATGGCATCGCGGTGCTATTATATATTCAGTCCCTTCCTGAAGATCACGTGGGAAGCAGATTCTCAAAGGCTTGAGAATCGTTGCAGAGGATGAACCTGATTAGATAAGGTGGACATCAGGTTTTATTTGGGGTTAGGGTGAATTTGGTGTCTCCAGACTGTTCAGCCCACATCTCCTTTTCCCTGTTAGAAACACCAAGTATCCCCCAAACTTTAATAAAGAATGGGAAAAAATTATAATTTATCTGGGAGACCACTGTAAGCAGATGAAAACATTAGCAGGATTGCAATAACACTGGTAATGTAGCAGATACTACAAAATGGAGTGACATAAAATATGGATTATGGGATAATATGCAGTCGAAAAGGTTGACAATTGGACCCACGGAATGGAAGGTGGGAAGTCCAGAGATTCGGAGAAATATCTAAGTGTGGATATGTATTATGTATTGTTATAATTCTACACTTGAAAAATCAAATAAAAATTGGTTCAAAAAAAAAAAGGCGAAAAATCAAAAAAGAGGGGAAAAATAAGCACCAAAAATCCTATAGCAACACTCCTCGCCCCGTGCAAAGCACGTCCTCTACTATGAATCTATGGTTTTGCAGTGAGAAATTAGCTAGCACTGTACACCTCTAGAACAGGTCCAATTGGATGGCATGCAAGTGGTTGAAATATTAGGAAGCAAAGCAAAGCAAAGACTGTGATTATCCAAAAGAGTAAATCCCTCCTTACTGTTACCCAGCAACTTACCTTTACCAGGTACCCGCCAAAATGAGCCCCCATATTGGACAGCACTTTCTTCTTCTTGGCATCATCTTCTGCCCGTTTCTTGGCCTCCTCCTCCTCCTTCCTCATCTTCTCTTCCTGCACAGGGCGACCGTGTGGAATCCATTATCCAATGACAGAACAGGGAGGGGCAGGGAACCTTTTTTCAGATTAAGGGTAACATTCCCAACTGGGCCACCACCCAGCAGTCACACGACAGTGGTGTGTGTGTGGGGGGGGGGAATGTGGGCGAAGCAACCAATGTAAATCTCACCTTTTCTAGAGCGGGCTCATTTCATACTCTCCAATTTGTCGCCAAGTCAAATCAGCGTGTGCATTTTTCAGGGCCGCACTCCCGTGGGAGCCACGTGACTCGCACAAGATCATGACCCCCCAAAAACATGCATCTTTCGGGGCCCTTCTCTCGTGGGAGCCAAAAGGGGACATCCTGGGAGCTAGTAAATCTAGGATGTCCCACTTAAAGTGGGACAGTTAATGTAAGGTTACCAGATTTTTTTCAATGAATCCGGGGACACTTTTGAACTTCAATGGATTTTGTATGGGGTAAAGGTAAAGGTAAAGGGACCCCTGACCATTAGGTCCAGTCATGGCCGACTCTGGGGTTGTGGCGCTCATCTCGCTTTATTGGCCGAGGGAGCCGGCGTACAGCTTCCGGGTCATGTGGCCAGCATGACTAAGCCGCTTCCGGCGAACCAGAGCAACACATGGAAACGCTGTTTACCTTCCCGCCAGAGTGCTACCTATTTATCTACTTGCACTTTGACGTGCTTTCGAACTGTTAGGTTGGCAGGAGCAGGGACCGAGCAATGGGAGCTCACCCCATTGCGGGGATTCGAACCACCGACATTCAGATTGGCAAGTCCTAGGCTCTGTGGTTTAACCCACAGCGGGACTGATTTGTAAATCTGGGGGCTGTCCCCAGGATATGAGCATATGAAGTGAAGTGTGGCTTGGGGAGAGTCCCCAGGGCCGAGCCAAGAATGCTGGAGGGCCGCATTTGGCTCCTGGCCTGAGGTCCCCCACCCATGAGCTGGAATGGGAAGCTGTCAGGCAATGGCAATACTCACGGCCAGTTTGTTCTGCCGCTCCCGTTCCTTCTCAGTGCGGACTCGCTGCTGCTCAGCACGTTCCGCCCGCCGATGTTCCTGCCGAAGGACACGAGAAACGGCTCAGAACTTTGCGGTGCTCAAGGAGAAACGTGAAAGCGACTTTGCAAACAACACCGACTACTAGGCAGGAGAAGCTTCTGAAAAGTAAGAGCTGTTCAACAACAGAACTTGGGAAATGGGAGGTCTTCCTTCGCCGGATGGAGACCAGACACGGAACCTATCTGGGATGTTGCAGTCCAAGGGTTGCCAAACCAGAGAGCGTGAATGCCATGGTACCCATGAAGTCTTTCTTCCCTTCCTTTCCTGAATGGTTCCGTGGAACACCCTTGTCACTTGGGATAACCATGTATATGGCTATTTCTCTTTTTCCAGTGCTGGTGGACCAGCACCCTTTTTGTCACACAACCTGCGGCATCTGAATGTTCTTCAGTAGATTCTGCAAGAGAGCAACCCCGTTGCTGTTTCGGATTCAGCATTTAAGATCTTATGCCTACACAGCTAACCAACCACTAGGTGGGAGCAAAGAACAACCATTCCCTGCATCACGGTCTGTCTTTGTGTTTTTGCCATGCTGGCTAAGGCTCATGGGAGCTGTAGTCCAAAAACATCTGGAGAGTGCAAGGTGGAGCAAAGCTGCCCTAGAGAAAGAGAGATAGATCCTAGATCTCCAAAGTGCATTCACCCCAAACATAGACTTCATTTTTCTTCTCTCTCCCCCCTCCTTCCCCTTCTTTCCAGCTGCCAACATCTGTCTCAGACTCCACCTGTTTGTAAAAGTTTGAACCTATAGATTATTTTTTTAAACGAGCCTTTTGCAGATCTGAGCACTGTTCATATTTCCATGAACCCAACAAAGAGGTGGCCAAATAGCTAAGCCTGGAAGAGGGGAAAATAAAATAAAAGGGTGGGGGGAGGTCAAAAAGGTAATGAAAGGAGTGAAAGCAAAAGAGGAGAGAAGGTGGTGGTTTAAGAGAGAGAGAAGCCTTTTCATACTGCACAGATCTGCACACTTGTTGTTGTTGGTTAGTCGGTTAGTCGTGTCCGACTCTTTGTGACCCATGGACCAGAGCACGCCAGGCACTCCTGTCTTCCACTGCCTCCTGCAGTTTGGTCCAAGTCATGCTGGTAGCTTCGAGAACACTGTCCAACCATCTCGTCCTCTGTCGTCCCCTTCTCCTTGTGCCCTCCATCTTTCCCAACATCAGGGTCTTTTCCAGGGAGTCTTCTCTTCTCAGGAGGTGGCCAAAGTACTGGAGCCTCAGCTTCAGGATCTGTCCTTCCAGTGAGCACTCAGGGCTGATTTCCTTAAGAATGGAGAGGTTTGATCTTCTTGCAGTCCATGGGACTCTCAAGAGTCTCCTCCAGCACCATAATCTGCACACTATTCCCCTGCATATCTTGAGAGCAGGGTGGGCTCCCCAGATAGAGGTGCACCTAAGCTCCCTTGCGCACTTGGAAGAGGAACCTGCACACATTGGCTGGCTACCCAGAGCAGTGAAGGGGTGGCCTGGGCAGTGTGCGGATGGGCAGACAGGCTCCTAGTCATTCCAAGGCAGAGCAGAGAGGTGAGATTTTCGTGTCCCCCTGTGCTTGCGGGGGCCAACACGACCGACCCCTAGGTACACCGCTGCACCCGGATCTCATCAGACTGTAGCTCTCATCACCCCTAAGCGTTGGCCTCGCTCTCTGTCGTGGTGGGAGCTGGAAGACTCCAAGAGCATTTGGGGGGCCACAGGCTCCCCCACCCATCCTTTAGACCCAGACCTTGATTCTTCCATGCTGTGACTTTCTTGGCTGCATCTGTGTCAGGCTTCAGGGAATCTGATCCCACCCCCACAGTAGGCTACCAGGAATAGACCAACAGGGAGAGTTCTTACCAAAGTCTTTTATTCAAAAATCACAGAGAGAGGCTTAGAAATGCTTAGTAAACTCTACTCCCCTTCTCTCCTCAATCGTCAACAGCACCACCCACCTTACGGTGGCTGCTTAGGGCCATTTGTCTCTGAGCCCTTTGCTCTTCTACTTTCAATGCTCGCCAGGTTCTGGGAGAAGGGGGGTCTGGAATGCTTTCTAGTGATAATGTGTCAGCCAGCTGCTCCAGCTCTGCTTCCCGCTCCTCCTCCTCCTCTTCCATTATTGCCCAACTCTGCTCTTCATCTGCCTCTGAGCCGTGACCTTCCTCAAACCACTGTTATAAATCTATACTGTCTTCCTCTTCTCTGGAAGGTTGGGGGGGGGGAGGCGGTCTCCACCAATCCTTCTCTGTACAGTCCCTGGCAGTCTGGCCCTCTATGTATGGTTTTGTATTTCCTGCTTTTTGGCAGCCAGAATGGCTCGTCTAAGCCAACCCAATGGGTTTGGTTAACAACAACAACAACAACAACAATTTATTATTTCTGCCCCACCCATCTGGCTGGGTTTCCCCAGCCACTCTGGGCGGCTCCCAACTGAATATTAAAAACACAATATAGTACAGCATTAAACATTAAAAACTTCCCTAAACAGGACTGCCTTCAGATGTCTTTTAAAAGTACGGTAGTTACTTATTTCCTTGACACCTGATGGGAGGGTGTTCCACCCGGTGGGTGCGACTACCGAGAAGGCCCTCTGCCTGGTTCCCTGTGCTTCATGTCTTGCAGTGAGGGAACCGCCAGAAAGCCCTCGGAGCTGGACCTCAGTGTCCGGGAAGAACGATGGGGGTGGAGATGCTCCTTCAGGTATACAGGACCGAGGCCGTTTAGGGCTTTAAAGGTTAGCACCAACACTTTGAATTGTGCTCGGAAACGTTGAAACATTGAAATAATAGGCTTGCAAGGGAACCTTGGAGGTTATTTCGCTCAACATCCAGCTCGCTACATGATTTGCAACACAGGATGCAGCTACAAGATTCAAATATTGCTGGGGAAAGTGTGCCAATTTATATTTCGAAAGGCCATTTCCCATATGTCTCTGGAACTGGACGAATACATTTTACCCACATTTTGAAATGTCTCTTAAAAATACCTCTCAGATCCTTATCTACACCACTGCTGGGTGAATCAACAGATCAGACCATTTGATGTAATCTTGAAGAACAGGTTGCGTCTCTCTCTCTCTCTCTCTCTCTCTCTCTCTCTCTCTCTCTCTCGTATAAAAATTTGCCTTTCTGTGTAACCTTAAAAAAATTCTTTTCCCTCTGGGCAGCTTCTTAGCCGCCAGCATTTCTTATCACCCCCCCCCATACCCCTTGCCAACCCAGTATTTGTCTTTTAGGGCCAAACTGGGCATAGCAATGAAGATCCCTGAACCGCCAGCCTTTTTAAATTTCTGAAAAAAAGCAGCTATCTGTACCGATATGTTTTCTCCAATGGAACAAATAGCAGTGGGTGGTGGCACAGGTATCAGAAAAGTAACACAGAGAAAGGGTTAAAGAACACCGGTGGAATTGTTTTTCCTAAGTGCAAGATGGGTGGTGCTGGTTTCATTTCAGGGGTGTGTGTGTGTGTGTGTGTGTGTGAGAGAGAGAGAGAGAGAGAGAGAGAGAGAATTAAAGCTCTCATGGGCTACATTCCCAAGTCACATCCAAGCTATACATTCAAAGCCCATCTGTGCCACTTAACAGTCATGTCTTCCCCAAAGAATCCTGGGAAAATTTATTTACCCTTCATAGAGCTACAGTTCCCAGCATCCTTAAACAAACAACAGGGTCCAGGATTCAAGTGGGGGAAGCCATGACTGTCAAAGGGGTGGAAGAGTGCCTTAAATGAATGACAGTGGATATTGCCTCCCACGCCTATAATTAAACAAAGGAAAAACCACTACAGTCATTCCTTGGGTTACAGTCGCTTTGGGTTGCGTGATTTCAGGTCGCGCACTGCGCCGAATCCAGAAGTACTGGAACAGGTTACCTCTGGGTTTCGGCGCTTGTGCATGCGCAGAAGTGCTAAATTGTGCTTTGCGCATGCACAGAAGACGCAGCACTGCGGGTTGCGGACGCTGCAGGTTGCGAACGTGCTTCCCGCATGGATCACATTTGCAACCCGAGCGTCCACTGTATGTGATTGCCACGACGCCCTTAGAAGTAGGTGGTGTGAGCAGGTAAACTGTTGGACCACTGACCAATTTCAAATGAGCCACTCAATGCAGGGATGGGGACACCTGTGGCCCTCCAGATGTTCTGGGACTCCCAACGTCCATCAGTCGCAACAGCATGGCCAACAGTCAGGGATAATGGGAGATGTGGTCCAAAAACATATGGAGGGTATCAGATTGGGGAAGACTAGAGATGAAACTGGTGGGGGATTTATTCAGGTGTGGACAGCCTTGTGAAATGAATGGGGGCCAGTCTACACACAATACACAGGGGTGTGTGTGTGTGTCCACACTGACCAGACGCCCCTCTGTTCCCAGCTACACACAATCCTTTGCTGCCCAGAACTCACAATCCTTTAATAACATTTTGACAGATAAGGAATAGCAGATTGTATCGTTTAATGTAACAAACCAGAGGGGAAACTGAAGGAAGTCAACGGGAAGGGGAAGAATGTATGTTTGGAAATGGTTTTGATATTTGTTGTTAGAAAAGAAAACTAATTAAAATTATATACAAAAAAAAGAAGAACTCACAATCCTTGACATGAGACCAACGAGCTCCTCCTCTTCTTTCTTCCTCTGCTCAAAGTGCACGTCAATGAGGGTCTGCAGCTCCAAGAGGTCCTTCTCCATACGCTTGCGGTGGATGTCCTGTCCATCAGGCAGAGGGAGAGGTTAGCTTGAAGGAGATGAAAGTCAACCAGATAGTCCTGTGCCTGTCTCTGTGGGCTGGCCTAGGGCGGACCCTTGAAAGGTATTACAGTGGTACCTCAGGTTACATACGCTTCAGGTTACAGACTCTGCTAACCCAGAAATAGTGCTTCAGGTTAAGAACTTTGCTTCAGGATGAGAACAGAAATCGGGCTCCGGCGGCGCGGTGGCAGCAGGAGGCCCCATTAGCTAAAGTAGTGCTTCAGGTTAAGAACAGTTTCAGGTTAAGTACGGACCTCCGGAACGAATTAAGTACTTAACCCGAGGTACCACTGTATATGGCCGAAGAAAATTCCACTTGTTGCTGCAGGACTTCTAACAGTACAGGAGGACATTTGGTCTTGCACAGAGACAGACCACAAGTCTCCTAGTGCGTGCTTGCCCACTATCTCTAATAAGTTAAGGCCAAAGTACATGTTATACACACTGCGGGCATTGTCTTTAGAAATTAAAAGCAAATATAAATGGAAGAAAGGACTGTTTAATGGTTACATTTTCATTTCCAGCTATTTTTCCACTTAAGAACCACCTTGTTTTTCACCCATGGGGAAAAAAAGATCTGTATTATCACCAGCTAGTGTCTGTAGATGTAGCTGCTGTTGCCACCATGTGTGTATAGTTGCTAGCAGAGCATCAGGCAACCCCAGGAACCAGGTCCCCAATTTGTCTTCTGAGAACCAATTTAATTACTAAGGTTGACTGAGGATGGCATCTGTGCTAGTTGGCTAAATGTCTGGTCTATTGGCAGAGGCTGTTTGTTTGAAAGGCTTGGGGCTGTCTGGGAAGTGATGCAAAAAAGAAAAAAAAAAGCGGGGATTAGGACAGTTTAATAAAACAGAATACTCACATCGAAATCTACTCTCTCCCCCTCAGGGATTTTTGGAGGAGCCAACTGTGGAACCACCGGCCTTTGTGTGCAAATACAGACAAGGAAATAAAAATATAGTTAATATATGAAAATGCTACTGACCTTCTCCCCACCCCCCAAAAAAACACTGCCAAAAATTAAAACAAATCTCTGCTACCACTTCCCTTGAATTAGACATGTCAGAGCTAAAATGAATTGCTGTGAGTGTGTTTTGTTTTGGGGGAGGGGGAGAGAGAATTTTTAAACTTGTGTATCAAAAAGCGGAATCTTCAAGTGCCAATTTTGTGTTGGGTTGTCCTTTTTTTTTCTTCTTATAGAAGGATCAATATTTACTGAACTTATTCATCACCTTAACTCACTCTTTGCACCGTACAGTAAAAAAGAAATGCATATCAAATAGACAAACAACTGCACATAAAATTTAGAATTTAATTGTAAAAAACATCAGTGCAGTCACAACAAGCTGCTCTAGTGATCACACAAAAAGTCATAGCATATTTATTTTTTGTAAAAACCGTCTCCTCCCAACTACATAACACGATCACTATGAGATTAATCAGCTAATCTAATCAGGCCTCCACAGAATCAACAGTTTAAAAATAAAAATCAAAGCCCATCAACACTCAGAAGGTTTTGTAGAAATTCCCAGGTGTCAAAAAAGGATATTTATGTATGCCACTACTGCAGTTTGTGTTTTTCATTAGTCCAAAAATGGAAAACGAGCAAGGTCCCAGCTAAAGAAGAATGGCAACTTAAACTGATGGAATATGCACAGCTTGTGGACCTAACATATAGAATAAGAGAACAAGAGGAATATATGTTTAAAGAAGATTGGAAAATGTTTATTGAATATATGGGGGGAAATTGTGTACATTTGAAAACGTGGGCGGCATTAAGATAAATTCAGCAGTGGAAATAAGATTTGATGGATGTAATAATGGAGTACTGAATGGTTTAGTTTATATAAAATGTGCAGGGATTTATGTTAAGCAAAATGAACCATGGAAAGAGAAGAAGGGATGTCATTGGGTTGTTTAAATGAATATTCTAAAATGTAAAACAGAAAATTTAATAATTATAGGGGGTGGTGGTGGTGGTGGGAAACACTCAAAAGGTTTCAGGGCCTTTTAAAAACTAGACATTCTAGGCAGTGATTCAATAATTACTGCCTTCCCTCACTGTGATGATACCACCCTGGGCAGAAAACCCTCTTGACTTTCAGCCTGTCAGGCCACTTACAAAGACGCAGGAGACTCTGAGGGGGGAGGGGGGGAGGGAGGGAATGGCAGCAACTCTGCCTTTGTGTACACACCGCTCCTTCCACCCTCTAGTGAGAACGTCAGCATCCAATGCTCCTGTGGTCAATGAACTTCTGTGGAAGAAGCACCTTATACCTGTTGCTTACCTGGGCCTGGGGCGTTCTTCCTCTGCGAGAAACAGAAGGCAAAGAATGGTCATTAATAGATGCAGAACAAATCGTCAACAGGCTGTTACAAAGACAGCCAGCTCCAAAAACTCTGGAGGGCAGGAGGAGGGTTGGGGAGCTGGTGTCCGTAGGTAGAGCTGAGAAAGGCTTCTGCATGAGACCCTGCAGAGATGCTGCCTGTCAACAAGTGTACACAGTACAGAGCTAGAGAGACCAATAGGCTGACTTGGTATAAGGGAGCTTCTTACATCCCTGTGGCTGTCAGCAAGGCACTGTCTCTGGGACCCTCCTAGCTTCCAAGAATTAGATGCCCGCATTGAGAATTCTCTCGTTCTGCCTCCAGCTGTCCTGCATTCCCCCTCTGCAAAGTGAGAACAGCTCCCCTGCAGGGCTGGTGGGCTCTTGGCCAGGATTAGCAAATGGCTGTCTTTGCTGCCCTCCGGAGCTAGCTGCGGAAGTGGGGTTTCAGCTACCATTGGTGAAGCACAAACCGTTGCGTTCTCACAGAGATATACTGTACTTTTCCATGTATAAGACAAGGTTTATTTTTAATTTAAAAATTGTGTAAAAAATCAGGGGCTGTCTTAAACACGGATAGTGCATGGGGGGGGACGTGGGATTGGTTGCTGCCGCGAGCCGGAGATTGTCAGTGGCTAATGGGCATGTTATTGGTGGCCGCGGCAAGGGCTGGTGTTGATTGGCTGTCGCTGCGGCAATTGGGCGGGTGATTGGCGGCTTCTGCCGGCGAGGGGACAGACGATAGGTGGATTTTGCAATGCGTGCGAGTGGCAGCGTAGGTCAGGCGGGTGAGCGATTTTTGCCGATCCCCCCTAAAAAAAGCTGAACAACTCTGGGCCACCCCCTGAAAAAAGCTCAAGAAGTCTGGACAATCTCCCCCCATTTTCTTAATTTGGAGTCCCCCCCCAAAAAAACATGGGGGCGTGTTATACACGGAAAAATACGGTATACCGGTATCTGACTGCAGGTCAATTTGAAAGGTATAGATTGTTGAACTGGAGGAAATGAAGAATGTAATACCGAAATTGTGTCGTGACGAAAGAGTTGATGCATGGCAGTGGGGTTACTGGGTCTCTCTGCCTATCGATCCATCTGCAACTCTGAGGATGACACTTGATGTAGCTGGTGGACTATAGTCCACAGAGGCTCATGTCAACCTTCCCCATCTTGGTGCCCTCCCAACATTTTGCACTAGGACTCTCATCAGCCCCACCCAGCAAGAGACTGGTCTAAAACAGCCTCCTCAAATGATTCATGATGTTTGGTGGGGGTGAAATGGAGGTGGGGTCAATGGTTGTGGGGGGTTTTTTTGGGAGGGAGGAGTAAGGTGAAATTCTCCAACAGTTCTCAGAAAACTCTCTTCTGAGACATGTCCATCTCATTTAATTTTGAATGAAACTCTGCTGTTAGTTCATATGGTTGGTTGGGTGGAGGGAGCAAGGGGCTAAGAGAGTGGTCCATTGTTTTCTTCAAAGACATTAAAATGATATCAAACCATAATACAACTAGATTAGGGTTGCCGTACATGTGGACATACCCAGAATACTGCAGTCGGAATCAGGAAAATCCGGACATATATGCAACCCATGTTGGCATACACATCTGGCTAATAATAATAATAATAATAATAATAATTCTCAACAACTTTTGTGTCTGGATTTTCACTTTTTGAAATATGCAACCCTAAACTAGATCCAAAGTTGCACCCAAAATTCAGGAATGGTGAAATTTTTCACAGAACCCAAAATTGGGGAGTATTCTCATTCAGGGGATGTTTATTTATTTATTTATTTATTTATTTATCTATCTATTCATTTATGAATCCTTTCATTTACTCATGATGTTCTCCAGTGGTTCAGGAGGAGCTAAAAAAAGAAAGTCAACTGCCACAAACTTTTTCTTTTGAGAAATTTTGGCTCAACCCTAGCTGAAAGCAGAACGCTTGGCTGTACAGCAGGTAAATATTCCAGGGTCGGCCTAGAGGAATCCAACCGAAATTTCAGGGCTGTTGGCAGGTGAGTCCAGACAGACACCAGACAGAAGACGGTTTTCATGATCATGGTCACAGGCATGTCCATAGGTACTGGAAAATATCTTTTACCCACATCTGGGCTTAGATATGTTGCTTCCCTTATAGACATGATGGGGGTGCACATGTTCTCAACACAGATACATAGAGAAAACACATGACATGCATGTATCCAGAACATGTGTGGCACACGGACAACACCAGAGGCCTGTAGATATATCTCCACAAAATATATCAACAAGGCATATTCTGTTAGGAACCTGTGCACATCCTCCTGCTTTGAGGGGTGTGGATGGCTGGGAAGATAACTTCTTGGAAGTCAGAAATACCTCACGGGAGCTGCCGGAGGTGTGTGCGTATGTAAATAAAGTAAGCCGTTAAATTTAACTCAGAAAGGTGGTGCACTCGGTACCACACTCAAGCCAAGCCTACTATGCATCAGAATGAGGCAGAGCTTTTGGCCTAGTATTTCATGTGAGAAGGGCAAAAAGAAAACCCCCTCAAAGACTGAGGGCAGAAGGTTGGCTAGCCTTAATTTAGACATAGCGGCCAAGGTCTTTTCCATTCTCTTTTGTAAAACCTTGTGGCAACTTGTAAAAGCACCAGAGCTCCCCACGTTCTCCTGACAGTGTTTCCTGGACCAGAACACCCATAAGAATAATGTCCTCGGATATTCTTGGGTAAAAAAAAACCATAGCTGCCTCTGTGGGTGTCATATGGCAGAGAGCAGTTCTCATTTATGAATGCTCCCCTACATTAACAACTCTTTACAAGTAAGACAGTCAGACAGACTGACTCACTGACTGACTAACTAACTACCTACCTAGCTAAATAACTACCTAACTAACTAACTAACTAACTAACTAACTAACAGCTAGTGCAACTGGACCTCTTCAGGCCTGGTGTCTTAGCTGCATAATGGCAGATAAGTGTTTCTGTAGGGGAGCACTCAAAAGCAACCCTTCACCCAAATCAGGAATGAGGAATCTATGTTGTTGGACTGCAACATCCATCAGCCCCAGCCAGCACAGTCAATAGCCAGGGATGATGGGGGTTGTACTCCAACATCATCAGGAGAGTCACAGGTTTCCTAGTCTCTAAGATATAGCCTGTTCTATCACCTCATCATGTGTAGAGCAGGGCATCAGAGACCATGTGTTTATGCTCTCTTTCCAGCCATTTGCCTGAGGTTGTGCGGCCTAGCTCTGCCCATCACCAGGCTGTGACATGCCAGATTTTGCTGGAGAGGAGGGGAAGTAACGTTTTGACTTGCCCCCTCCTGGTTACGTGTCCCCACCCCCACCCCAAAAAGGAAGCATGGAGTGAAGAAGAAAGATACCTTGTTCAGCAGCCTGCTCAGGTTCGTCAGCCACTGCAAACAACATATATCACAGGGGTCAAGAGGACGGGGAACACAGATGGAGCAAGGATGAGGTGGAGCAAGGAGAGAGAGGGAAGTTGTAGGGTAGAGACCCAATTAATGAGAGAAATGAAAAGGCAGATCAATCCATCTACAGCAGAGGTGAGGAAGCTCTAGTCTTCCAGACATTGTTGGACTCCAATTCCCATCATCCTTGGCCATGCTGACTATGGCTGATAGGCTTTGAAGTCCATCAATTTCTGGCAGGCCAAAGGTTCCCAACCCCTGATCTACAGGTTGTGGATAAAAATGAGAGGGAAATGTCATTAAAATAAAAAAGACATTCGCCAAGGGGGAAAGCGGAGATATGTAGCATAGCTGTCAACGTTTCCCATTTTTTAAGGGAAATTCCCTTATTCCGAATAGGATTCCTCACAAGAAAAGGGAAAAGTTGACAGCTATGATATGTAGGCCACTTCTCTCCATTCAAATTGAGAGTAATACTGTTTGTTTGGCCTTAGCGATGTCCCCATGTAGCAAAATCTGAATGGCTACACGGTGCCACCTTCACATTTTGTACTTTATGTGATCCCTGATTGGTACTGTGATGCCATCATTCTTTCTCTGCTTCTTCCCCACAATGGATGCCTTCTACTAACAAAAAATGGCAAGAAGAAGAATAGGAACCATTTCCCAAGAGGCACAAAAATATTGAAAAGAACCATTTACACTTCATGGCTCAGCTTCCATTTAGAATAATACACGATCCTCAGAACTGTTTCCAGATGCACAGGGATTGGTACCAGAGGACAAAAATTTGAAGGGGAAAAATAACGCTTGGTTATAACTGGAAGGCAAAAGTAGCCGCCGCCATCAAGCATTGTCGCCTGGTTAAGCAAACGGGTTGAAAAGGAAAGAAAGAGGTTATGAGCATAAATAAAGGGACCGGCTTCAAGCATCTAGGAGGTGGAATGCAGATTGTGAAAAAAGAAAAAGAAAACAGCATTGGATCCAGTTATGAGACAGAGTTATTGCACATATGTCAGGGACTGGGAAGAGGAGGAAGAATGGTGGAGACTGCCTTCCCATCCTAACTCTTCCAGGTAGAAGGAGGAAGAGGAAGACAGTCTAGATTTACAACAGGGGTTTGTGGGAGGTCACAGCTCAGAGGCAGATGAGGAGAAAAGTTGGGAAATAATGGCAGAGGAGGAGGAGCTGGCTGACACATTGTCACTAGAAAGCATTCCAGACCCACCACCTCCCAGAACCCGGCGAGCCTTAAAAGTAGGAGAGCAAAGAGCTCAAAGACAGAGGGCACTTAGCGGCACCCATAGAGGAGGTGATGATGGTGACAAATAAGGAAGTGGGAGAGAAGGGAGGGTGTAGATTCAATCGTGACTATGCCATTATCCAAGAGGCTGAGTTCTATAGCCTCTCTCTGTAAAGCTTGAAATAAAAAAGGGCTGTAATAAACTTTCCTTGTCTTTATACTTTCCTGGGCAACCAGCCGGGAGCTGCTGACAGCATCCTGACAACATGTGACGCTCAAAAAAGTGGCCTGTGAATTTCATAACAACAAAGGGAGGCTGAGTCATCCCAGGCTGAAAACCAGAAGGGAGAAAAATTGTGAATAACAGCAGGCAAACCTTTCAGGCATGGGGGGGAGAGAAACTGGACATCCTGTGTTTACACAGGCCCCCTTTCCCAATTGAAACAACCCCATTCTCCTCCCAGAGAAATGGAGCCCTGACCCCAACTTTTCTGAATCTTAGTCACTAAGATTTGGAGCCACCGTGGGAGTCAGGAGCATTCTTGGTTCTCCACTAAGTAACTCTGTGAGAGTGCCTTAGGCCTGAAACAAAACAAAACAAAACAAAGGATGCTCAGCAGGAAGAGTAGGGAGGGAATAGACGTGTGGTATCACCTCACCTTCTTCTTCAGCTTGTTCCTCTTCTTCAAGAAAAAGAGAGAGAGAAAGAGAGAGGGGGAGAGAGAGAGAGAGAGAGAGAGAGAGATACCAAAGAAAAAGAGAATGAGACAGAGGGAGGTTATCAGTTCGGCAAGGGTGGTGTCAACAGATATGGGATATTGGTTGCTGATTACCGCAAGTTAGGGGAATGCTTTGGGAACAAGCTCTGAGTGGGAGAATGGCCTGCCCTGTAAGACATTCTGCTGGAGGAAAAAGGTCTTACAAACAAGTAAACACACACACACACACACACACACACACACACGAGAGTTCAGGACTGGAAAGAATGAGGGTTTCACTTCTTGCTCTGCAAGAAAAAATATCAGTCTAAGGGCACTTCCAGACAACCTGTTTACCCAGCATTCATCATAATTTGTTTGGAGGGAGATTAGATGAAGTTGACTGTTTCATTCATTCTGATTTTTTTTTTTGTGGGAAGCTTAGATGACATTGCACCTCAGCTGGTGTGGGTTTCAATTTTGGTTGCTGGTCATGGCAGAGGCAGGCAGAGAGGAACCTGGAGGAGCTGAGATAAAACTTTGTCATTTGTTTATTTTTTTAAAAAAAGAATGAATAGGGAAAAGGGGGGGGGAGAGATGCTACCCAGATGAATTATACCCTCCCCGTCCCCACCCACATAGCTGTGGAAGGCCAGGTGTGGCTTACAAGGGAAGAACAATGAATGGAGAGCATTAAGAGCTGCCTGCCTGGATGCACCCTAGGAATGCCATCAGGAAAGACAAACAAATCTGTTGATAAGCAGATGCCAGTATATAAAAAATATGTAGTGCCTTTTTAAAAAACACAAAAGCAAAACATCCACAGCCAGAAAAGATTGTGGAAAAGATCACAACTGATCACGAGTATTAATGGATGACTTAGGAATCTCTTACCTTCCTGCTGCTCCCTGGTGAGTGGGAAACGGGGTGTCAGGGAAAGAGAAGGAGAGAAAGCAATGGAGACATGTATTAATGCGTCCTTGATGTTGAACTGTGGGCACATCTCAACACCATACAGTTAAATAGTCTTGAAACAATTTTGAAATGTACTTTTGGATGTTATTCAGACATCCAACCGTGTCCCGTTGTGCCAGAAGCGGCTTAGTCATGCTGGCCACATGACCTGGAAAACTGTCTGTGGACAAACACCGGCTCCCTCGGCCTGAAAGTGAGATGAGCAGAGCACCACAACCCCATAGTCGCCTTTGACTGGACTTAACTGTCCAGGGGTCCTTTACCTTTACCTACCTTGTTTTGGAAAGTGTGAATTCACCAGGTTCGCTTTTAAATGAGAGCTGAATCAGATTTCTCCCCCATCCCTAGTGATTTGGGTATCAACGCAGGACTTTCACTCCATGGGCAGCCCAGCTGGGCACAAATGGGAAATGCCAACCCCTATGTGTGGTGCTTGGGAGTGCCCAGAGGCACTTAGCAGGCAGCCATTGAAAGCAGAACTCTGGATTAGACTGGCCTTGGCATCATCCAATGAGACAAATTTTTTTTTGTGTGTTTTTATGTGCCAAGGAATAGCTGGTCCATGTGGGTATCTTAGGTATGCATGCCCCATGCCTTCCCAAAGTCTCAGTTCTCGGGTTTCTTTTCACAGAAGGCATGGCAATTAAACTACTTCATGTTTACAGGCCACACCACGAGCTCCTTTGTGCAGCACTTTTGGTCTGTTAAATGTGGACATCCTCTCGTCCGCCCCTGAAGTCAAGCTGGATGTTGTGAGGTGTGATCAAGATCTCTGCTGAAGTCTTCTGACACAGTTTGAAAATGTGTGTCCACTTCACCTTGTAATTGCATGTGAAGCTTCTTCTCTTACTCATGAAGAATTTCTTAATAGATCTTTAGGGCAAATGGGGCACGGACCCACCAACCCCGGCCTGACCTCACCCAGCTTCTGCTTGCTTGCTTTCCTACCTACAATCAGTCCAGGGAGTGGCACTGCTGTCAACCTCGTCCTCCTCCTCCTCCTCCTCTGTTTCAGTGCTGCCTTGAAGAACTCAGCAGGGAGGGAGATGGGGCAAAACTAGAATTGGTTTCTTTGCCTGTCATTCAGCCTGGATTCAGACATGGCATAGCCCTGGGAAGTACAGCAATAGCAGGACTGCAGGAGGAGCAAAGCAGCTGTGATAATTGCTCCAGGAACTCACAGGTTTGGTTGTTCAAACTAAGACATGGTGTGGCTTAGTGTGATCTCTGATCTGATTTTAATCCTAAAATACACTTGGGGGGGGGGTAAAGTCTAAAATACACATTTTGGTACTTTATTTGAGCCAAGAACTATATCACAGAACTTGGAGAACTGAAAAATCTGAAGGATAATTCTGTTCCAATCTGTGTATTAGTCCAGGATGTACAAATCATCTTGTTTCTCTTAACAATTATTATTATTATTATTATTATTATTATTATTATTATTATGTATTGAATTTATATACTGCCCTATACCTGGAGGTCTCAGGGTGGTTCACAGAACAAAATCAAAATATAAAACCACAAAATATATAATCAAAACAAAAACAACAGCAAACCAGTAACCCCCCCCCCAAAAAACCCCACATTTTAAAAGGGCATAAGATGTCAATCAAATCAGCCAAAGGCCTGGTTAAAAAGGAACGTTTTTGCCTGGTGCCTAAAGGTGTATAATGAAAGGCGCCAGGTGAACTTCCCTGGGGAGAGCATTCCACAAACAGGGAGCCACTGCAGAGAAGGCCCCTTCTCGTGTTGCCACCCTCCAGACCTCTTGGGCACATGAAAGAGGGCCTCAGAAGATGATCTCAGGGTCCGGGTAGGTTCATATGAAAAGAGGCGGTCCTTGAGGTATTGCGGTCCTGGGCCATTAAAGGCTTTATAAATCAAAATCAACTCTTTGAATTGGGTCTGGAAACTAATTGGTAGCCAGTGCAGTCAGACCAGTCTTCCTCCGGTGAGCAACTTGGCTGCTGAATTCTGCACTAGCTGAAGTTTCCAAACCATCGATGAATTAACAAGGAAGTCCAAATGAAATTCTTACCCACCCCTAACCCCAACTTGTGTGCATTCTTAATTACACATGGGTAACCACAGTACTTTGGCCACCTCATGAGAAGAGAAGACTCCCTGGAAAAGACCCTGATGTTGGGAAAGATGGAGGGCGCAAGGAGAAGGGGACGACAGAGGATGAGATGGTTGGACAGTGTTCTCGAAGCTACCAGCATGAGTTTGACCAAACTGCGGGAGGCAGTGGAAGACAGGAGTGCCTGGCGTGCTCTGGTCCATGGGGTCACGAAGAGTCGGACACGACTAAACGACTAAACAACAACAACAACCACAGTCTGGATATTACTTACTCCTCGTACTCAGCTTCCTCATCAGACATGGTGGCGGTTATTGAGTTTCACCTGGAAGAGAAGAAAGACTCTCAAGGTTTGGCCAGGGCGGGGGATGCATTGTGGAGTTATGGTAAATTTCAGAAACGCTTCAGCAATAACAGCAGGGGGACTTGTGAATAAAGAGCTAAATATGGCTATCTTTGACTGGGTCAGCTGGAGGTTCCGTCCCCCTTCTCAACACACTGGCTTGTCTTCAGGGGTACCCAATCAGGGCAAAAATTAAATAGGAGATGATGGCACAGAGCAAAGGTCATCACCATTCATCCCAGCCCCTTCCCCGGCAGTTCTCCTGAGAGCCCATCCTAATTCCATCTGGAATCCCTTTCCCTTTTATGGTACGAACTGCAGGCAGGGGCAGTGGACAGACAAAGAAGGATTGTGATCAAAGGCTGGAGCAGGCGGGGTATGTGGGGGCAAGGTTAGGGGCGAGAATAGTTCCAAGCCTTCCATCACTATCTATTTATAACCATTGCCATTGCACGGCTCAGTGTGGAAGGGAACAGAAGGTATTCCCCTTATAGGAAGCAGTGGCTCCCATCAGGGATCCTGGTGGGGGTAGATTTAGGGCTGTGCAAGTGGGTTCTGAGCTGAGGGGGCACCGTCTTAGAGCAAGGTGCTGGGTTTTGGGAAGGAGGCGTGAGGCCCTGATGTGATATCCTCCTCCCTCTTTCCCAAAGATTAGTTACCGCCTTTCCAGCTGCAAAGCCACCACAAGCATTGATGTGAGTACAGTGCTATAATCTCGTTTTCTAGCCAATGCTGAAACATTGTACCAGCAGGAAGTGATCTGATGCAAAGATATCACCGCACACATCCATGCCTAAAGGTACGTAATTGTTTAACCCCAATGGCTTCACTCCAAAGTAAACCCGTTGGTGCGATAAGGGACTTTTGCGCCACATATTCAAAACCAAACAATTAAACCCATGTTGCAAACAATTATCAGTAATATCAAAGGCAACATGATGACCAAGTACAACAATGCGATATCAATATACACTCTTTATATAATCTATACGGAACATTGAACAATATGAAATATGCATATGATTTGCAGAGAGTGCATATTTCATATTGTTCAATGTTCCGTATAGATTATATAAAGAGTGTATATTGATATCACATTGTTGTACTTGGTCATCGTGTTGCCTTTGATATTACTGACATATTCAAAACCAGGCTGGCGTGAGGTGTCTGAAGCTCAAGCAACTACGTAGTTCAGGGGTGGGGGGATTTTGTGGTCCTACAGATGCTGCTGAACTGCTCTTCCCCTTATCCCAGGCCACTGGCCATGCTAGCAGAGGCTGATGGGCACTGGAGGACAACAATATCTGGAAGGCCAGCAGCTCCCCATCCTTGGCCTAGTTCCAAACGTATAATGGTTGGTGAAGACTGCCATCCTTCGGTTGACTGGTAATGAGGCTTCTAGACTTTGGATTCCCCTACGACTGTCATGGGAAACCAGCAAGTGAAACAGGAAACACCTTGTAAAAAGAGGATCCTCTTCTTGTTGGGTTTGTGTAGTGGATGCTAATTCCCCTGCTGTATGTTTAAGATCAGTAGTGCCTTGCCTGTCTCCCTGGTTTTTGCAACACAAAATGAATGTGCCAATTACCCAGCAGAGCATTACAACCTCCCTGTAACATTCCAGTATTTGATGCTGTAAAACCGGCAGACGGTGAGACCCGATGAACTTTGAAACACCCTCATCTGTGATTCTGTGCAGTGTTCTTGTTGGACTACAACTCCCATCATCCCTGGCCATGCTGGCTGCAGCTGCTGGAAGTTGGGGATGTTGGGGAAGGCAATATAGCCTTGGATCACTCTTAAACCAGGTATGTATGCCCCATGCCTTCCCAAAGTGTCAGTTCTCGGGTTTCTTTTCACAGAAGGCATGGCAATTAAACTACTTCATGTTTACAGGCCACACCACGAGCTCCTTTGTGCAAATTGGCTCAAGTCACCACCTCTCAACCTCAAGTTCCCTTACTTGTAAAATGTATGTCAACAGTGACATATTTCACAGGATTGTTGTGAGAGCAAACACGTGTAAGGTTGGAAAAGCTATTTACTACTTCTGACGGGGGCAGGTGGGTGACAGACAACCTGAACCCAAGACATTTTGGCACCTGAGGGAGAAAAATCCACATGGTGCTTTGAATCGTGTGTGTGTGTTGAATTAATTTTATATGACCAACAAAACAAAAATACAACATTTAAAAATACAAAAGCACAAGTATTTAGAAATTAGTGGCCCTTCAAAAGTACCTCACATATTCCCCCCCCCCCCCCCGAGACAGCTACATGGCAGGGCAGGCCCCAATATGAGTGTCAACAGGAGATGGTGCTGAGAGGATTACTTAAGATCGGTTGGTGATCAATTTGGAATGCAAACAAGTTGCTTTTCTAGTGGGTTGGTTGGTTGGTTGGTTTATAGCATGGCATTTTATTCTGCCCCATCTACAAGGAGCCCTGTTTGGCACAGCAACTTAAGAAGAGTCTCATTGTATCAGGCCAGTGGCCCAACTAATCCAACATCCTCTTCTTACAGTGGCCAGTGTGCCAAAACATCTTGGCCAGCACTGGATACCAAGCACTTGACTCAGTGGCTACTGATTCATGATGGCTATTGGGACACTGCCCCACCAACTTCACTCTGCCCTCAGCTAGTCCTCACCTGGCAGCTCTGCCTCTCATTGGCTCTGACGCCACCTGCTGTTGGCCTCCTTACCTTTTTGCCCCACTAGTCCCAATGGGCACCAGCTACCACTGCCTTGACCTGTTGGGTCTTGTTTTCTGCTCTCCCTGAGGTGGCAAAATGTCCTGGGCCAGTCCCGTGATAAACCTACAGGGTTTGGGCTTGCGCAGAGGGGCATTCTGGGGCACAATTTCCCTGCCCTTCCTGTGCCCGCTGGGGCTTTGTTTGACACAGTTGAGGTGATGGCAGTGGGAGCGTTTGTCCTGAGCAGCTGTTGTGAAAGGTCACAGATATTTTGGAAGTCTCCTTCCATTGTTTCTCAGTGTCCCATTTGAGTCCCTTCCTACTATATCTTTAAATAACCTTGACCAGCTTGGGCTGGCATCCCTGTATCCTGCCAACCCAAAGCCACCACCTTCCCTCACCTTCCCTCACAGGATTCACTGCTGTGCCAAGCAAGTTCATCTACCTAATGGAAAGCTTCAAGAACAAACAAACCGGAAAAAAAACGCTTTACAGTCATGCCACCTTTTTAAAAGCCCTGATATAGTTTTGAATGATATCTTTCTTTCCGCATCCGGGAAGCAAATCTAACTTACCATATGCTTGCTGCGCAAAAGTATATGAATTGTTTTATAATTTGTTTGCTTACATCTCTAAAGGCAAACATATCAAACTACACCTCTGGCAAGCTTCCCTGTGTGCAAAAGACACAAGATAACTGAACCAGACCCTAAGCCTCTGACTGGACTGGAGCTGCCAAAATGCAGCGGTTAGAATGTATCTAGAGGACATCCAGCTCAACCCCATAGATAACAGGCAGCCCTGCTTAGAGAAGCTTTTAATGTTTAATAGGTTACTGTATTTTAATATTCTGTTGGAAGCCGCCCAGAATGGCTGGGGAAACCCAGCCAGATGGGCGGGGTATAAATAATATAATATTATTATTATTATTACATGCATAAATTGGAACAGTAAAGAGGGGGAAAGGCGATCTGCAGCAAAATGTTGCGGTGTATCTTCACCTCCTTATCACAGTGCTCCTGTTCAGGGTTCTAGCCAGCAAACTCTACTTTCCTTTTGGATACTATGAGCCAAGGGGTATCCAACATGGCCGTCCAGATATTGTTAGACTCCAGTTTCCCTCACTCCAGCCAACATGGCCAGAGTCAGGGTCAGGCATGCTGGGAGCTGTAGGTCAACAACACCTGGGGGCACCATGTTGGCTAACCCTGCTGTAAGCTGCAAGGAGCTCAAATTGGGAACTCCACTCGTTCCCCGACTGAACAAGGTGTCAAACTAAAAGAGGGATTTCAGAATTCAAGACTTGTAAGTGATGAAATCAGGAATGGGAGAAATGTTTGCCCAGGGCTCCCCCAGATGACATATTTACTGAGCACTCATCCTGATTTGTTTGCATGAAGCTTAATGCTGATTATACCTGGTCTTTATTAAGTATTTGGTTTGATTTATTTGCAGGGAGATGATACTACAATGAGCACTCACTCTCCGTTCATCCTGATCTGCTTGTAGTGTGTTTACATTTCAACTTCTCCTAGTTTCTCATTTTTCTACTCTTAATTTCTGTTATCCACATTACCACAGCATTTTGTGATTTTTGTGTGATGATAAATTCACCAGAATTTTAGTGTGAATTTCTCTTAATATTCACATTTGTATGCAATTTTGCCTAATTATATACATTTTCCGCAAGCGATTTCCCCTAACAGAATGTGTCTTTCTTTGTTAATTTCACTTATAAGCATTTTAATGCACACTTTACTCTGGTATTTGCATTTTCGTATATGTTACTTGGCTGGAGAACTGCATTGCAAAATTTGGAGGAGGGCGAATTTCATGATGTGGCTGCGTTTTGATTCACGTATTGTTTTTGAAAATGAAAATCAGGTAGCTTCACCTTTAATCCACATATAATCCAATATCTCCCCCATCCCAAACCATTACTCATTCCGACAACCTATACTTTTCCGTGCATTTCCCATCACTTTTCTAACCACAAAAATCATACTCTTTTTTTAATTGCACAAATCGAAAGTTCTGCTTAAATCTCTCCCACTGAATAATAGCAGAATATTAGCAAACATGTTGCCTTTTCCCACTGATGCAGTTCCATGCGCTCTGCTATCCTTCTATGAAATGGGCTGGTTGCTTGTTGGCTTGAGGAAGAAGGTTCAATTGTTTGTGGCTGAAAGTATTTGAGGCTGAGCTTACGAACTCAGTAACTGCTTAGGCTGCATTTAATTACACAGAAGAGGTTTGTGTGGGGCTCATGCTTTGCCCAGAAACCACTTTCTGTGAACCGGAAGCCCTGCCTCCTACTCCTAGTGGCACGTGGACTTTGTGGTTATGGAGCACTGTGAAAAAAGGCACTCTGCACATGTTCAGCAGTGTTCTAATCTTTTATGATTGGTTGGACTGTCCTGTTGATAGCAGGTCCCACGGGCAAAGGACTGGGAAATGATTCCCAATGAGCTTTGAGGGAAAGAGTTAGATTATCGGGAAAAAGAGGGACATAGTTTGGAAAGAAACAGATTAAGATATGAATTGTAAGGAGCGGGGGCTTGAGGCCATTTCCTCAGTGGAAGACCACATGTTTTGCATGGGAAAGGTTCTGGGTTCAGTCCCTGGCATTCTGTATCTGGAAGGAATCTTGGCTAGCAGGGCTTTTTCTACCAGAGAACCTGGAGCACCAATACCAGTCAGAGTAGACTAGATGGTTGATATGTGCCATCTGGTCAGCCTCTTATGTTCCTCTACATGTGTGCATGAGTCTTCCAAGCACAGACTTGCTACTGAAAAACCTCACCAACAATCACATTTGTTAGTTTCTCACAAAGGAGTCGGATAAGAACACAGACCATCTCAGCAGCCCTTCCTGCACCCCAGTTATACAGATCAAGCATCAAACCTAGCAAACATGGCTGCTATACACACACACACACACACACACACACACACACACACACTGACCTCACCTGGAGATGGGCAGTCCAGAGATCTCTCTTCCCCTCCACAGGCACTGGCTACTGCAGGAGCCGAAGTGTATGTGTGTGTGAGGCCTTATAATGAGGTAACCAGACACCACCACCCCACCTCTCACATTTGGAGGATGCAGTTTGCTGAGAGGAAAATGACACCGGCGTTGAGTGTGAGTTCATCTCTGCATTCCTGGGGCAGAACGTTCACGGTCACAAATGAGCAGAGGAATCTTGTGTGAGCAACATTTTCTTTTGTTGCAAGCTGGAAACCCTTTTCAGACGTTCATGTGGGGGCAAAAGTAACGTGTGTGAGAAACAGAGGATGTCACCAAAGCAGAACGTCACCCTGCTGCTGAACGTCACGCTTTCTGCAGGACACCTGTAAGGAGCACCCGCATGTCCTTGGAAGGTCCCTTTGTTCTAAGGACCATGAAGAAGTTGGAGGCAGATCATGTCCCTCACCCCTACATGAAAACATAAAAAGGGCAAGTCAAGCTGGCGATGGATGGTCAATTCTGCTTTCTTTCCATTTCTCATCTTTCAGATATTAAGTTCAACAGGCTCTGTTTCCACAACATTCCACAAATTCTATTTTAAACAACCGCACAGAAATGTGTATGCATTTGCGTGTGTGCTTCTCCTGACATTCTGCATACAATTTTGCCTATTACGCACAATTTTTGAAAAGCAATGTTCCTCAGGGCAACTTTTTTTGGGTACACTGTTTTTCAGTTTTCAGGTAGAGAACTAACCAAATGAGAGCCAGTTTGGTGTCGTGCAGGGGTCAGCAAACTTTTTCAGCAGGGGGCTGGTTCACTGTCCCTCAGACCTTGTGGGGGGGGGCTGACTATATTTTGGAAAAGAAAAAAAAGAACGAATTCCTGTGCCCCACAAATAACCCAGAGATGCATTTTAAATAAAAAGACACATTCTACTCATGTAAAAACGTGCTGATTCCCAGACTGTCCATAGGCTGGATTTAGAAGGTGATTGGGCCAGATCTGCTCCCTGGGCCTTAGTTTGCCTACCCATGGTGTAGTGGTTTAGAGTGTTGGATCAGGACCTGGGAATTTCCGAGCTCAAATCCTCACTTGGCCATGAAGCTCACCAAATGACCTTGGGCCAGTTGTTACCTCTCAGCCTAGCCCACCTCACAGGGCTGAGATCCAGAGGATCTCCTGCTGAGCTGGGAGGTTCTGGGCACAGCTGGGCTACCCCAGCATAATTCCCCGTCCTCAGTTCAGCCAGAAATATGCTAGAGTATCTCTCCCAGCCTGCTGGCTGAACCCATCCCAGTTGTGCTTAAGCCAGCATAAGCCCTGAAAAGGGGACATTTTTGGGGGGATCATTTTCTCTAAAGCAATGCATTTCTGTATATTATTTTCACTAATGCATACATTTTTATGCACATTTCATCCTAGAGCATCCATTTTTGCACACATTACTTCGCTGGAGAACTACATTGCAAAATTCAGAGAAGCACAAATTTGGGAGGATGGCTGTGCTTTGGTTGATGTATTGTTTTGGAAACGATATGAATGATGAATGTTTGCCTTTAGATGCAAATTGGATTGGATTTCTCACTCCTCCCTCACGGTACTACCGCTGACATTATGCACTTTTCAGTGCCAGCAGTTGACATAGCTCTCTGTTTGGGCCTTTTCAGTGGATGGATCCCAGGAGGCCAACTGCAAATCAATGGAGTTCCTATCTGTGATGTTACTAAGACTGTTTTAATGTTTACTTGCTATTTTAATGTTTCGCTCTTAGCTTCCTGCAATTTTATTATTGTTATTTATTTCAAATTATTTATTGACCTCTCTTCATTGTTCACACCATCACCGAGCGAGGGAGAACATTAAAACAAAACAAAATGAAGCAAAACAATATTTCATTTAAATGCAACCTTAAAAAGACAAGACACTCACCATATACTTTTGCTGGCTGTTATGCTGTAACCTGCCCAGAGTGGTTTGACAGTCGCTACCTCTTCCCAGGGAATTCTGGGAATTGTAGCCCTGGGAGGGAAATAGGGTTTCTCCTAACAACTTCCAGCACCCTAAACAACTAAGGTAAAGGTAAAGGGACCCCTGACCATTAGGTCCAGTCGTGACCGACTCTGGGGTTGCGGCACTCATCTCGCTTTACTGGCCAAGGGAGCCGGCGTACAGCTTCCGGGTCATGTGGCCAGCATAACTAAGCCGCTTCTGGTGAACCAGAGCAGCGCACGGAAACGTCGTTTACCTTCCTGCTGGAGTGGTACCTATTTCTCTTCTTGCACTTTGATGTGCTTTCAAATTGCTAGGTTGGCAGGAGCAGGGACTGAGCGACGGGAGCTCACCCCATCGTGGGGATTCGAACCGCCGACCTTCTGATAGGCAAGCCCTAGGCTCTGTGGTTTAATCCACAGCGCCACCCGCGTCCCCTAAACAAACTACAGCTCCCATAACTCTTGGGGGAAAGCCATGAGTATTTAAAGTGGCCAACTTTTTTAGCCAGTTTGTGCAGCTGTGACTTTAGCAGCAGTGTGATATGCAAATTTTAACTGGGGATTCTGTTTATTGCTATGCTTTGAAAAGCTTCCCCTGTGTCCTTCGGTGCTCAAGCAGATTTTTTTGTCCTGGCACTATCCTCGGGAAAACTCATGTTTTACCACTGAATTGGAGGGAATGATAATCCATGGAAAATCTGATTGCCATTTGCTCCAATTCGGTGGTAAAACATGGGTTTTCCTGGGGAAAGTACTGGGACAAAAAGAAAAACACACAGACCAGAAAGCCCAGACCTGAGTTTAGAAATGGGGAGCAAAGGTTAAGTGCGGATGAGCCCTAAAGTGGGTAGTCTTCTGGATACTTGGCAACATTAAAGTAAAATAATTTAATAACAAAACAAACGCACAAGAGGTTTTTACATGGATCTTTTGGAATTCATTCTAGATAAATAAGCCCATTTACTTGTTTCTGTCTGACTGTCATTCAGATAATCCCTCCAACACTTTGCAGATGAAAAGAGACTCAGTCTTGTGTACTTTCCATACCTCTGTAAGCCAACCAACACTTCCGCTGTTACAAAGTCCAGAGAGTTCATGAACAGGGTTGCCAGCTGTTAAATCAGCCTGTGTGCTTTATAGCTGCGGCTTGAGCACATTCCCGGAATGTAGCTGAACATTTTCATATAAAGATTGAATATTTATTAAAGGCACATCTATTGTTGCCAGTTGGTAAACTTGGCAACCTGAGTTGTTGAAAGTACTCATTTTCTCTGCAGTAGTTTGTCTTGCTTTCAGCTTCTGAAGTAGCTTGTGCTAAGTAAGTTAACTGACTCTGAAGTTTTTTTCTTGTTTATAGTCAGTTTACTAATGCAGCGAAAGGGAAGCATCCAATCTATTTTTAAGGCCTTACCCCAAAGCAAATTAGAAACAACATATTGGAAGTCATAGGGGATCCAAGTAAGTGGTAGGTGGTAACCATTGGGACTTGTAAGGTGGGCGCCGAAGAGCTCTCATTGCGAATAAAGAGGAAGGCAAGTATGAGGGGACAGAGATCACTGGGGCCCATTGGCCCAGTTCCAAAACGGGACAGGGCTCGTACACCTTTAATAGTTACGTGGAAAAGAGAATATTAGCAAAGGTAGCTTTTCAGGCAAGCCACACCTGCAGATTTTCCTTGTTCTACACTGTGATATTTTTCTGGAAAAAGAGGTGCTGGAACTCACAATGAACACCTCCCTTGTTCTCTTCTAATGACCCACCTGAGAGGTTATGGAACTGAGTTCTGGTGAGTTCCAGCTGGGGAAAAGAGCCCTGGTATTGGGTTGCTGTCTTATTTTTATTAGGTATTTTGTGGTTTTATATCTTGATTTTATTCTGTGAACTGCCCTAAGACCCCGGGGTATAGGGCATTATATAAATTCTAGCAACAACAACAACACAACAACTGTTAAAGGTGCAAGAGTCCTGCCCTCTTTCGCATCTGGCTGCACACAGATTCACTAGCAGAGGTAAAGGTAAAGGGGTAAAGGGACCCCTGACCATTAGGTCCAGTCGTGACCGACTCTGGGGTTGCGGTGCTCATCTCACTTTATTGGCCGAGGGAGCCGGCGTACAGCTTCCGAGTCATGTGGCCAGCATGACTAAGCCGCTTCTGGCGAACCAGAGCAGCGCACAGAAATGCCGATTACCTTCCCGCCAGAGTGGTACCTATTTATCTACTTGCACTTTGACGTGCTTTTGAACTGCTAGGTGGGCAGGAGCAGGGACCGAGCAACAGGAGCTCACCCCATCGGGGGATTCGAACCGCCGACCTTCTGATCGGCAAGTCCTAGGCTGTGTGGTTTAACCCACAGCGCCACCCACGTCACTAGCAGAAGGAACCACAAAATCCGGACTGTATCTGGTTAATAGCGGGAGAGCACAACAGGGAGCTGGCTGGTGCTACAGGAATGTCTGAAGAACAATCTCATATGATCTGACATCGGTGTGGGTGGGAGAGCGAGTGGGGTGGGAGAAGACAAACGCTGCCCTCTCCCTAACCTTCCATATATGGTCCCTGCCCCTGCTGGTGGGGCCTTTAGTTATGGATACCGGCAAAACAAGCTTGCCCATTGCAGTGTCCTTGTGTGACAATGCCCTGCTGTGTACCAAGAGAGCTTTCTATTTGGAGGCCCTTAAAAGAATGAGAGGAGCTGGCAGCATCATCCAAGCAGAGAATAGAAACAGCCAAGTGCAGACCCCATTCCCCACCCCTCCATTGTTCCCAGGCTGGAATGTCAGTGTAACAAGAGCCCTCCCAGCTGTTAGGAGGAAGATAAACTTAGCCTGGGGGTTTGAGATGGAAAGGCAAAAGGCAGTATGGGTATGTAATCTTGCTGGGTGGGGGGCAGGCTGCTGGTGAGGACTGAGATCTCAGAGGAACAATCAACACGTTGAGAAAGTGTGGCGAGACTTGGCTTTCTTCTGGATGAGTGTAGATGGGCCTATTGCACTAGGATTTTGCTTGACTGGTGGGTGTTGGTGGTCAGGGGCTGAACAAAAGAGACAGTGATCCTCAATGTCTCTCTGTTGCAGGGGTTGGGAGTCTTTTTTTTCAGTTTGAGGGCCACATTTCCTTCTGGGCAACTTTCTGGGGCCACATGCTGCTGGTGGTGGAGCAACCAACGCCAATTTCGCTTGTATTTAGGTGGCTGGTGTCTTCACACATACTTCTCTGTCTCCACCCAGGCAAGCAAAATGCACCAGAAGAGTTCAAGGACACATTCCAGCCAGGCCAAAACATTTGGGGAGGGTGCGAAGCACGTATGGCAAAGTAGGAGGGGGTGTGGCATTGGGAGAGTTTTGAAGGCAGGACTGAAAGGCTTGGAGGGCCACGTTTGCCCTGCTGGCCTGAGGCTCCCCATCCCTGATTCATAGCCTTTGGAGTGAGATGCTCAGCAGAAACTGGTGATGAAATGGAAAGGCAGTGAGAAGGCACGTGGGCACTTTGAATTTGGAAAGACAGAGTGCACGGGCGCAGCCCTAACTTGGTTGAAAGAGAGCTACCAAAGAGAGCTGCCCGATGATATCTGCTTTAGGAGACTGAGGGACAGACCCCGCCTTACATTATCCGTGCTTAAAAAGAAAATGCATAAACTAGGCATTTTTATTCTAAAGAAAAAACAGCCATGGGGCCACAATCTAGAACATGCTTCTGATCTGGATCTTGCACCAATTTTCTGCCAAAAGGTCTATGGCTCATATTGCTTTTTGTATCCTTTAGGTACAAAAAGGATTTCGTTGTCAAGGGTAAAGAGCAGTGTGACCATGCAGGAGCAGTGCCCTGATCCAAATGGGGAGTGCGTTCCAGATTGGGAGCATCATTCGGCAGCTTTTCCTTCTGAATAAAAGTAGCCTGCTTAAGCACACTTCTCTAAAACTGTGAATAATATAGGTAAGGGTAAAGGGACCCCTGACCATCAGGTCCAGTCGCGGATGCCTCTGGGGTTGCAGCGCTCATCTTGCTTTATTGGCTGAGGGAGCTGGCGTACAGCTTCCGGGTCATGTGGCCAGCATGACTAAGCTGTTTCTGGCGAACCAGAGCAGTGCACGGAAACGCTGTTTATCTTCAGACAAATTTTGGAGGAAAGCTTGGATGCTATCCAGTGGTTCTCAAAAACCTTGAAATAGATCACACACCTTTAATAAACAAAACCCTCCTCCAGACAGCTTGTTCCTGCAAGCTTATTGCTGCTACTGGATGTAACAACCGCACTGTTCCCGAGCAGTCATTTTAAAAGCAAATAGTTTAATGAGTTTCTGACTTCCATAAAGGTATGGGACAGTCAACATCACCCTGGAGTCATCCAGATGTTTTGGACTGAAACTCCCTTCAGCCCTGGCTAATGCATTGTAGTCCAAAACATCTGGCGAACTCTAGATTGGTATAGGAGATATACGCAACTGTACCCCCTCTGGTTCCTATCCTTGCAGATGTGGGGTGCTTGTGTGCTAATAATTATACCCATGTGGGGAGGAAGTGAACAGAAAACGTGCCTTTGAACCATCAGACATTCCTGTGAAGGCCACCTTTGCTTTCTGAGACTTTTCCTTTCCGAAGACAACTTTGTAAGCCTGGAACCTCAGCTCCTTATTTAGACAGGCATAGTTCCAGGTAATTTAGAGTGGCTTACATATGTTTGGAAAGCACAGGTGATAACCCCACATTTGTGCATTCATAACCTCCTTTCCATTCTTTCCTTCCAAGTTAGAACGTGAGTCACTTGGTCAATGCGATTGCGTTATCGTTTACTTTGGTAGCTGTCTTGCTTTGCAGTATGGAAAGGAAATGTGCACTGTGGTAAACTGCAGATTAGTTAGCACTGATAGAAGGGGCAAGAGTGAAGCAAGACCTGCACACATGTGTCACTTCAAGTGGCAAGCTGGCAGCCCTTTTATATAAATCTTTGCTATTAGCAAACCAATATACAGGATATACAGGTACTGAGGGAGGATTGGAATACAGCATGGCTTCATTATTATCAGATAATGGAGGCATATAATTCGGACAAGAAAATTGGCTTCCAGGTGGAAAAATCAAAATTAGAAACAGAACTGTTAGAACCTAAAACTAAGACTTTATCAAAGATGTATAACTTGCTGTTGAAATGGAATACTCAGGATGAAACGGTGAAATCTGCTATGATTAAATGGGCACAAGACGTTGGACATAACATAATGATGGCTGACTGGGAACAGTTATGGACCACAGGTATGAAGTTTACGGCATGTAATGCCTTAAGAGAGAATATTATGAAAATGATATACAGGTGGTACATGACACCAGTCAAGCTTGCAAAAATCTATCATTTGCCCGATAATAAATGTTGGAAATGTAAAGAAACTGAAGGTACATTCTTTCACCTTTGGTGGACGTGCCCAAGGATTAAGGCTTTCTGGGAGATGATCTATAATGAATTGAAAAAGGTATTTAAATATACCTTCCTGAAGAAACCAGAGGCCTTTCTCCTGGGCATAGTCGGCCAATTGGTGTCAAAGAAGGATAGAACTTTCTTTATGTATGCCACAACAGCAGCAAGAATACTTATTGCAAAGTACTGGAAGACACAAGATCTACCCACCCTGGAAGAATGGCAGATGAAGGTGATGGACTATATGGAATTGGCGGAAATGACTGGCAGAATCTGAGACCAGGGAGAAGAGTCGGTGGAAGAAGATTGGAAAAAGTTTAAAGACTATCTACAGAAATATTGCAAAATTAATGAATGTTAGAATGATGTTGGATAGAAATCAAGTGGTTTTTAGCTGTAATATTATAAGGGAATATGAAAATGGATTATTAATAGGTTAAAATTCAATGTCACAATATTTTAAGATTAAAGATTAGGATAAACAAAGAGGGGAAGGATTTGCTGAACTAACAAACTGAATTGGAATACAAAAAAGGGAGGCGCGAGGAGGTCCGGGAAACAAGCCAATGAAAGATAAGTAATGGAAAGATTGAGTTGTTTTTAACTACTTTTATTTTGTATTTTGTATTTTTTCTTTTTTCATTTTGTAATATTTTGAAAATTTTAATAAATATCTTTTTTTTTTAAAAAAAAGAATACAGCGGTACCTCTGGTTACGAATGCTTCTGGTTACGAATGCTTCAGGTTATGAGCTCTGCTAACCCGGAAGTAGTGCTCCTGGTTGTGAACTTTGGCCCTGGATGCAAACGGAAATCGCATGCCAGAGGTGCGCGTGCAGCGGGAGGCCCCATTAGTGAAAGTGCACCTCAGGATAAGAACGGTTTCAGCTTAAGAATGGACCTCCGGAACGAATTAAGTTTGTAACCAGAGGTACCACTGTAAAGAATTAGAGATCTCCGTTTTGACCACACAGCGGGAAACTGTTTTAACTGCTATAACGAGGGTGTCTCTGGATCTTAAATTAAGGCCCACACAACCAAAAATAATATTTAGAATATAATGGATCCCATTACGTTTGTTTAAAAAAGGGCTATCTAGAATCATAGAATCATAGAATTGGAAGAGACCACAAGGGCCATCGAGTCCAACCCCCTGCCAAGCAGGAACACCATCAGAGCACTCCTGACATATGGTTGTAAAGCCTCTGCTTAAAGACCTCCAAAGAAGGAGACTCCACCACACTCCTTGCCAGCAAATTCCACTGTCGAACAGCTCTTACTGTCAGGAAGTTCTTCCTAATGCTTAGGTGGAATCTTCTTTCTTGTAGTTTGGATCCATTGCTCTGTGTCCGCTTCTCTGGAGCAGCAGAAAACAACCTTTCTCCCTCCTCTATGTGACATCCTTTTATATATTTGAACATGGCTATCATATCACCCCTTAACCTCCTCTTCTCCTGGCTAAACATGCCCAGCTCCCTTAGCCGTTCCTCATAAGGCATCGTTTCCAGGCCTTTGACCATTTTGGTTGCCCTCCTCTGGACACGTTCCAGTTTGTCAGTGTCCTTCTTGAACTGTGGTGCCCAGAACTGGACACAGTACTCCAGGTGAGGTCTGACCAGAGCAGAATACAGTGGCACTATTACTTCCCTTGATCTAGATGCTATACTCCTATTGATGCAGCCCAGAATTGCATTGGCTTTTTAGCTGCCGCGTCACACTGTTGGCTCATGTCAAGTTTGTGGTCAACCAAGACTCCTAGATCCTTTTCACATGTACTGCTCTCAAGCCAGGTGTCACCCATCTTGTATTTGTGCCTCTCATTTTTTTGCCCAAGTGCAATACTTTACATTTCTCCCTGTTAAAGTTCATCTTGTTTGTTTTGGCCCAGTTCTCTAATCTGTCAAGGTCATTTTGAAGTGTGATCCTGTCCTCTGGGGTGTTAGCCACCCCTCCCAGTTTGGTGTCATCTGCAAATTTGATCAGGATGCCCTTGAGTCCATCATCCAAGTCATTGATAAAGATGTTGAATAAGACCGGGCCCAAGACAGAACCCTGTGGCACCCCACTAGTCACTCTTCTCCAGGATGAAGAGGAACCATTGATGAGCACCCTTTGGGTTCGGTCAGTCAGCCAGTTACAAATCCACTGAGTGGTAGCATAGTCAAGACCGCATTTTACCAGCTTCTTTAGAAGAATATCATGGGGCACCTTGTCAAATGCCTTGCTGAAATCAAGGTAGGCTACATCCACTGCGTTCCCTTCATCTACCAGGCTTGTAATTCTGTCAAAAACAAGATCAGGTTAGTCTGACATGACTTATTTTTCAGAAATCCATGCTGACTATTGGTGATCACAGCATTCCTTTCTAGGTGCTCACAGACTGTTTGCTTAATGATCTGCTCCAGAATCTTCCCTGGTATTGATGTCAGACTGACTGGGCGGTAATTATTTGGGTCCTCTCTTTCCCCCTTTTTGAAAATAGGGACAACATTTGCCCTCCTCCAGTCTGCCGGGACTTCGCCTGTTCTCCAAGAATTCTCAAAGATGACTGCCAGTGGTTCTGAGATCACATCTGCCAGTTCTTTTAATACTCTTGGATGCAGTTCATCTGGCCCTGGAGACTTGAATACATCTAAACTAGCCAAGTATTCTTGTACTATCTCCTTAGTTATTCTGGGCTGTGTTTCCTCTGCTGAATCATTTGCTCCAAATTCTTCAGGTCGGGCATTCTTTTCTTTATCGGAGAAGACTGAGGCAAAGAAGGCATTGAGGAGTTCAGCCCTTTCTGTGTCCCCTGTTTGCATTTCACCATCTTCTCCTCTGAGTGACCCCACTGTTTCTTTGTTCTTCCTTTTGCTACGAACATACCCATAAAAGCCTTTTTGTTGCTTTTAACCTCTCTAGCAAGCCTGAGTTCATTCTGTGCTTTAGCTTTTCTGATTTTGTGTCTACACGTGCTGGCTATTTGTTTGAATTCCTCTTTGGTGGTTTCCCCCCTTTTCCATTTTTTGTACACATCCTTTTTTAATCTTAACTCAGTTAAAAGTTCTTTAGATAGCCACCCTGGCTTCTTTAGGCACCTTCCATGTTTCCGTCTCATTGGTATTGCCTGAAGTTGTGCTTTTACTATCTCCCTCTTAACATACTCCCAGCCATCATGAACTCCCTTTCCTTTTAGTATTACTGTCCATGGGATCTCACCCAGCACTTCCCTAAGTTTTATGAAGTTTTATGAAGTTCTTCCTATCTAACTTGCAGAGACGTGATGCCTCCGCAAAGAGCTGAGGTCACATGACAGCAGGGGTGCCAACTTGAATAAAATATTGGGGGGACCCAGATAAGCCCGCACCACATAACTGATCACATGACATGGTGCATGCTCACCATTTGAGTGGCAATGTCCATTAACTTTGGGAGGCCCCTAGGATATTTTATTGGGGCCCCCGAAGACTCATCGCCCCCTAAGAGTTGACTCCTATGCATGATAGGATATAGACTGGCAAGGTCTGTGCTGTAATTGCCCCCCACCCCACCCCTTGAAGAAGCTGACTGTGCTGAGTCTGAGGAAGGTGGGAAAGGTCATATTCTTACGCTGGGAGTGCCCAGGAAGAGCTGGTTAGGATTCCCCTATGAATACGGCAGCGTGTATTTTTTCCCCATCTCTATGTTCCTCAGGATAATATGACTGGGTAGCTTTGGGTGTAATGACACTGGGTGTATGGACCCAACCCTCTTAGTTTCCACTTCTTCCTTTCTATTTCATTATGTTGAATCACTCACTCACGCTCCTCATTTTTTTTCTCTGCCTTTAAGAAGAACTGATTTGCACGCAGAAGGTCTTTCAGTCCCTGGTATCTCCAGGAAGAGCTGTGTACCACTGCCACTGTACCACTGTGTACCACTGAAAGTCACTGCCAGCCAGTGCAAACAACAGAGGAATGAGTCAGTATGTGGCAGATTCCTATTTTCCTAGAATGGACCTTTTCTGTGGTGGCTCCCCAGTTGTGGGATGCTCTCCCCAGGGAGCCTCACCTGTCACCTTCATTACATATCTTTAGGCACCAGGCAAAACGTTTCTCTATAAGCAGGCCTTTGGCTGATTAAACACTCTATGGCCTATTTAACGTGTTTGTGGAGGGCTACTAGACATCTTAACAAACAATCCTAAGCAATTATATAACTCCTGTGTTCAGATTGTAAGATACACTGTTTGAACAAGAGGACTTCTTGTTTTTGCTCCAAGTGCAGCCAGAAAACAAGTGGCCAAAGGGCCTTGGGCAGTTCTGAGGTTGGATGCATGTATCTGGTGTGCAAAATGGCCATTTATGATTGCTAAATTATGATCTGCAAGGGTTTCTGCACAAGTTTTATGACAGGTCTGTAGAAAAGCAGTAACTTCCTTGTAAAAATCTTGTTAACATGTCAGCATTTTACCTGTGGCTTTTCCTTATTCTTACTCAGGCGGGGCAAGTCCCACAGGAGGGGTGCAACGCTGCAGGGAGGCAGATAAAACCAGATTCACTTTTTTCTGGAGTCCTGCCCACATTTCTCAGAACACCCCTGGAGACTGGTTGCAACTTAGAGCTCCAGGTCAATTCTTCCCTGAGACCAGGTAAGAAGCAATGCTGGGGTATCTCTTTGCTCTTTCTCTCTCTCTCTTTCTCACGGTGTGGGTGTTTGCATGGTGGGGGGCGCACCAAAACACATGCAAGAAGCAAGACTAGGTGGTGGAGAGATGGAACAGTGGATGGAATGGAGAAGCAAAGGTCACTAACCTCTCCCCACCACGAGCAACAGAACATGGGAAAGCTGGATTCTTTGCTGGGAACTGGATGGACAGATATCAAGGTACTATGAAGCAAACAAACATTTGTGGATTAGGCAGCAGTTCCTACAGAAACAGAGAGGATCTCTTCATTTATTTCCAGGAACTGCCAACATCACAAAAGTGGAAATGACTATTATGGAGAAAGAAAAAGAAATGGGAAATGATTTCTAACAGAATAATGGCAGTGTAACATCCTGGGATAATCATAAAGGGTATCTGGCTCCTTATAATTCTTCCGTTGCTTCAGTGACCAAAGAAGAGGACTTTAACGTAAAAGGACATCTAGGATATTGTGACTCCTGGGAATTGAACCGTGTTGCAATATACCCGAATGTCATCAAAAGTGGCAGAATACTATCTTAAGAACAAGGAATTGAGAAGGGGGAGGCCTCCCTTTTTGGCATTTACAGTTAAGAATATCTTTGGTTATGCAAATACATTGAAAAAAATTAGACAGAAAGACTAATTTCAAGTAATTAGCAACAATTAATTTAGAGATAAAGTTGATGTAAAAATGCACAAATTTCCGAAAACAAGGTTAGACTACATATGTGAGGAAATGGGAGAAGGATTTGCGAAGTGCAAAGGGTGGGTTTACTTTAAGTATTCTTCTAGGAATTTGTGTAGCGGCTTTCAGGCTAATTAATTCAATCTGGAACTTGATACACATTTACCTGGGAGTAAGTTCCATTGAAGTTATGGACATGTATAGCATAAAGGGTCACAGTGCCATCTAAGTCACTGCTGATGTACAACAGTGGTTGTGTTCTGCATGTTGATCTTACCTGTCTTTTCATCTTACTTTGCTCTGCCTTTAGGTGTTCCTATTGTGCAGCTATGGATCTCCCCCAAAGATGTTCCTTCAGCCAACCTGCCCTCTTATTCTTCCTGTACTTCTTTGGCCTCCTGTCCCTCTCTACAATCTTGCACCTGTATGACAAGATGCCATATCAGAGGTGGAGGATCAACTTCAAGAATTCATCTAATTTCCCAGGGATGGGAGCTCCTTCTTCCTTCACCACCACTTCTTCTCGGTCATACTATAACACAACCACCACTTCTTCCAGATCACCCTCTAAGATCATGGATAGTGGTATATGGACAGTGAACTCCATTGGCCGTTTGGGAAACCAGATGGGGGAATATGCCACCCTCTATGCCTTAGCCAAGATGAATGGACATCAAGCCTACATCTGTCCCGCCATGCACCAGTACCTGTCACCAATATTCCGGATCACTTTGCCTGTGCTCCATGCTGAAGTGGCTAAAAAGATCCGCTGGAGGAACTTTGGTCTGCATGACTGGATGTCAGAGAATTATAAACACATCAAAGGCAAGTACGTCCGGCTGACGGGCTACCCATGTTCTTACACCTTTTATCACCATATCCGCCAAGAGATACTTCAGCAGTTCTCCTTCCATGACCACATCAAGGAAGAAGCCAATCATTATCTTCAGCAGCTACGGGGGCAGCGCCAGGAGGTGACATATGTTGGCGTGCATGTCCGTAGAGGGGATTATGTCTATGTGATGCCCAAGATCTGGAAAGGTGTGGTGGCTGACAGAGGCTATTTGGAGAAAGCCATGAACTATTTCAGAGAGAAGTACCCCAATCCCATCTTTGTGGTGACCAGCAATGGGATGGAGTGGTGCAAGAAAAACATCAATGCCTCCAGGGGGGATGTTTATTTTTCTGGGGATGGGCGAGAATCCTCTCCAGGGGGGGATTTGGCTCTCCTTGCTCATTGCAACCACACAATAATGACAATTGGCACTTTTGGCGTCTGGGCCGGCTACCTGGCTGGTGGGGAGACCGTCTACTTGGCCAACTACACCCTCCCAGACTCTCCCTTCCTTAAGGTCTTCAAGCCCTCAGCAGCGTTTTTGCCTGAATGGATTGGGATTCCAGCAGACCTTTCCCCTCTGCTGCCCAAGAATTCTTCCCAAGTCCAGAATCCAGAAGCTTGACCAAATAGTAGCTGATTCAGGTCAAATTAGATAATGTTGGAAGGACTTGTTTGGCACTGATTCCACGAAGCATGTATGTGAGAGTGGTCACCAGCACTCCTGACAGGGGGCTCAAAGACCTAGCTTCGTCAAACACATTGATTCCACCTCTTTTAGACCTTACTTTGCAACATAGTGAAGAGGTTGGAACATAATGATATCCTAAGCCCTTCCACCACCAGGCACTTAGGAACAATATGCACACATGCACCATGGACATAACTGCACTTTGAAGAGGCTTCCTTTCGTACTAAAAACATTGGGAACTTTAGCTCTGTAAGTGGGCATATTGAGCCCGGGAGCATCTACTCTGACTGCCAGTGGGTCTGCAACATTTCAGGTCAGAGAAAAGTCTGCCTTAGCCCTAATCCCAGATATGTTTCAACTGGGAATGCAATGGATTGAATGTTAGAATTTCTTCCTGCAAAATATTTGCTCTAGTATTGAGAATGATGGACAGGGATGGGACTCTGTGGAAAAGGCAGAGTGGGAAATACAAGTGAAGCCTTTCCTCACCATGATACCCCAAGGTCCAGAACAGGGCTAGCCAATATGTTGGCTTCCAGATGTTCTCGGACTGCATGTCCCATCATCCTTGGCCTTTGGCTAGGCTGGTCAGAGCTGATGGGAGTTGGAATGTTGGCAACACCTGCTCTAGACATTCCTGCATCCCACCTTCAACTGCTTTCACTATCTTCAACTCACTGCCACTTGGTCCCTTAAAAAGCAGCATGTCCTTAGTTGTTAAAGACACAGAATCACTATCCCATTTATTTATTTTTAAAGGATGTATTGTCATTCCGCACCACTCACTCTTAATCCAAATATATCACTATGGGCAGGTGTGTGCCCCCATCTCTCTCCTGGCAAAAATATCATATGATACGTATATTTGTATTTTCCTGGAGCTGCTGCCCAGCTGACTTGGTTATGCAGGTTTCTCCTCCCCACTGTTGTTTTGAATGCAATTGAGCCATAGTATATATCAATGGTTCCCAAATATTTCAGGCCACACATGCCCCATCACCCACCCCCCGGTTCCAGAAATTCATCCACAGTGCCCCCTATCCTGTCCTTTAAAAAGCATAATTCAGAATAGTGGTTTGCACAACCTGCAAAGGAATAATAATAATAATAATAATAATAATAATAATATATTATTTATACCCCCCTCATCTGGCTGGGTTTCCCCAGGAAAATAACAACACAATAAAACTATAAAAAGCAGTTAATTGCACATTTAATCACAATCCAATGGAAACTATTTAGTTTAATAAATTCAACAAAACTGGTGGATTTCATCCACTGAAACCAGATATTGCATGAAAAGTACTTTTATGCATTTGTATTAATGAAGCAATAAGGGTGAAGGAAATTCATAGAACGATATATTTCTATATATCTACTTACGAAACATGCCCACAGAGATGAACCACCCATGAGGCAAGGAGAGGCGGCCATCTTGTGTGGCAGTATGCACAGGGGGCAGCAGATCCGGCCTACAAGAAACGCATCACCACCTGCTGCCACCATCAAAGAGACAGGAACGGCTTCAGCACTCTCCTTGGAGGCCGGATTTGTAGCCTCCTCAGCCGCCGACCCCCATGGTGACTGTATTGTGGCCTCTCAGCAAATAGGATGTACTGCTAGTCTCCTCCCATCCCTAGAGAGGAAACAGTTGGAGCTGTTCTCTAGGGTCTTCTGGAGTCTGCACCTCCCTGACATGATTCAGAGTAGCCCATTCCAAACCCTCCAAGTGTCCCTATTTTCCAGGGACATCCCTAATTTAGAGAAGCCGTTCCTGTTTCTGATTTGATCCCGGAATGTCCCACTTTTCCTTAGGATGTCCCTGTTGTCATTGGATAAATGTTGGAGGGTATGGAGTTATCTGACCCCCCTGAGCCGTCTGAAGGTAATCCTGTATAGAGAAGGGGTTTTTATGTTTAATGTTTTATTATGTTTTTACATATGTTGGAAGCTGCCCAATAAGATGTATGGGGTATAAATAGTACCATTATCATTGTAGAATGGGACAACCCTGTTTTCCTCAGAGAAATGTTGGAGGGTATGCCATCCCCCCACTTTGATTTTGATTTCCAATTCAACCACTGCATAAAGTTGATTCGATCCATCGCCTTGTTTCTGAAAATAGATATTCACTCCTCTCTTGTTCCCAATGTAGATCTTTGGTCATTCTTTTCCCCCCTGGCAGGGGAGATGCCGTTTTGTGGTTTGCCTGAAGTGCGAAAATGTCTTTGGTTGGTCTGGTAATACTGATAAAGAATGTTAATAACAAAAGCCTATCTCAGATAGCCTGAACCTGATTTTAAATTTCAGAAAGTATGTGTTTGGAATCGTGGAGGGAAGGGAGCCTGGTCTAAAAACCAAAGAAGAAAGAATCTGGGGCACCACCAGGCTATCCAGATCATTGGACTTTACGTGCAGGTCATCATCAAATCCCATGTGTGGCTGTCTCCTGGGACAAACTTGCTGGAACAGGGTTTGCCGGCAGAGGGCGATCTATGCACCTGTATGACACATAGTCTCTATACACTGAGTTCTATCAAAACTATCTGTTGCACCATCCTACTTTGTGTAATAACATTTCAGATTTGTCAAAGTGTTTTATACTATTTCATATTTATAGGCACCCTGATGTGAAGGGAACGCCCTCCCATCAGATGTCAAGGAAATAAACACCTATCTGACTTTTAGAAGACATCTGAAGGCAGCCTTGTTTAGGGAAGTTTTTAACATTTGATGTTTTATTGTATTTTTAATATTCTGTTGTGAGCCGCCCAGAGTGGCTGGGGAAACCCAGCCAGATTTGCGAGGTATAAATAATAAATTATTTTTATTATTATGTCAAGATGGATATCATTTCAATGAAAATGTAACAAAGATATGTACCTGTCAGGGAACTGCCATCGGAAGGAAGGGAGGTGAAAGGACTCAGACAGGTTGGAAGAGACTCAGCAGCTGAAGAGGGAACCAGCAAGGGGAGAGAAGCTGAACTGAGGGAGGTGAAAGGGCTCAGACAGGTTGGAAGAGACTCAGCAGCTGAAGAGGAAACCAGCAGGGGAGAGAAGCTGAACTGAGGGAAAGGGAGCTGGGGGATGGCTCAGAGATACTTCCAGCGAAAACAGTGGTGAGGTTTCCGGACCTCCTGTAGGGACACCCACTCCTCGCCGGAAACTGTCACGCAGAGAGTCCAGAAGACGTGTTTCCGTTAAGGAGCTTTTATGTTGGAAGCGATCACGAAAGCAACCACTGTCGGAATCTTCTAGTGACTAGAGGAGCCATGTCAGAGGGGCTCAGTCACAGACAGAGGTTTGTGGACTTGAACAAACTCTGAGGGAATACGATTTTACGCACAAGCAGCTCATCTTCCCATCACAGCATTCCGACAGTCTTTGAACGCAGCTTGTGCAGGAGAAGGCATAATGAGCAACCCAGCAGGAACCGGAGAAGCAGGGGCTGGAGCGGGTCCAAGCCTGGAAGAAAGGTACCGGGTGTTGGAGGTCCAGCTGGCGCTGCAGACGGCGAGGCTGGAGGAGAGGAGGGCTCAAGATGCAGACAAAGGGAGAAAGCCACCCAGCTCGCCGGAAAGGTACCAGGATTGGTGCAGAAATTTGGGGGAGCCCAAAGACTATCATAGCTTTGGACAGAAATGCAATATGCCCTCAATCTGCAGTTTGATGATTTCCTGATGAGGAATCACGAGTGGCTTTTGTGATTGGGCATCTTGAAAAGGGGGCGAGAGACTGGGTTAGACCCCTGATGGCAGCGCATAGTGACGTCCTAAAGGACACGATGAAGTTCTTTCGCGCCATGGATCTGATGTTTTCCAGCGATATTGAAAAGGGAGTGGTGCGCAGACAGTTAATGGCTTGCAAACAGGGGAGCCGATCTGTACGTGAGTACTGGACTGAGTTCACCATGCTGATACACAGATTGGGGTGGGACTTATCGGCGGAACCCATTCAAATGCTCTTTGAAGAAGGGCTTTCTTCGGCTGTGAAAGATGAACTTTCCCGGGCGCCCAGGGCGGAGTCTATGGACCAGCTGACCAAATCAGCGCTGGCCATAGGAGCGCGCCAGGAGGCGAGAGCATTGGAGAGGCGGGAAGGGAAAGGGGAACGTTGGAAGGAGTTCCGCATTCCAGACATTCCAGAGCCAACTTTCCCGCCGGCAGAGCCGATGGAAATCGGAACAGCACGCGCGCGCGCAGTTTCAAAGCCCAGTGAGGGGGGGAAAAAGGAAGGAAAAGGCGCCCGGAAATGCTATCTCTGCCAACAGCCAGGGCACTTTGCCAGAGTCTGCCCCCAGAGGAAGGAATGGCAAGGGATGGTGGGAGCTGTGGAGGGAAGAGAGGAAAAAATACCGGAGCAACTAAAAGCCAACGCCTGGCTGCCATTGTCGGGGCACAGCAGCCAGGCCAAAGAGCAGTGAAAGTGCCCACGCCAGAACCTCCTAAACCCGCCCTAGTGATAGAAGTGACACTAGAGCTGCCAAACGGACACCCTCTAAAGATAAAGGCGCTGTTGGACTCAGGCAGCTCCTGCAATTTCATGAGCAAAGAGTTTGCAGCTGAACACCAGATACAGACGCTCCCTTTAAGCAACCCCTGCAGGTAACCACGATCGATGGCAGGGAGCTGTTGGGAGGAGAAGTCAGCTTGCAGACCGTCCCAATGATAATGAAGGTGGCAAGGCACACCGAACTAATAGCTTTTAATGTGGCCACCTTGGGAGGAGCTCCCATTATATTGGGGATGAGCTGGCTAGCGTTACATGATCCGCTGGTGGGCTGGCATCAAAGAGTGGTTTCTTTTGGGTCAGCACATTGCTTAGAACACTGCAAAGAGGGAAAGGTTTTGGCAGGGGCCCAAGCCACCCTAGCAGGGACTGAAGTAACGGAGAACGTGAAGGTACCACGACAATACGCAGATCTCCGCGACGTCTTCAGCGAAAGGGAAGCTGACCAACTACCACCGCATAGAGCCTTTGACTGTCAAATCAATTTGCTCCCTGGGGCACAGCTCCCTGTGGGCAAGCTGTACGCCATGTCAGACAGAGAGATGCAGGAGCTAAGAGAGTTCATTGACAAGAACCTGAAGAGAGGGTTCATCAGAGAGTCCAGGGCGGTGGGGGCAGCCCAGTGTTTTTGTGGACAAAAAACACGAACAAGCCGAGACTGGTGTGTGACTTCAGGGCCTTAAATGCAGTGTCAGAACCAGTGGCCTTCCCGATGCCCAGGATTGACGACATTTTGACAAGGGTGCGGAAGGGAAAGATTTTCACCAAGCTGGATCTAAGGGGGGCGTACAACCTGATACGAATAAGGAAGGGGGATGAATGGAAAACCACCTTGTTCTCCCCTTTAGGGCATTTGAATACTTAGTTATGCCCTTCGGTCTACAAGCAGGCTCCGCAACATTTCAATCGTTTATGAACCACGTCCTGGGGCCGTTGCTTTACAAGAATTGTGTGGCCTTCTTAGACGACGTGTTGGTGTATTCTGAGAATGAGGAGCAGCATGTGAGAGACGTCAGAGAAGTGTTGAGCAGGCTGCAAGCCAACCAGCTGTGGGTGAAACTGGAGAAGTGTCAGTTTCATACCAAGGAGGTGGAATTCCTGGGGTATCGCCTGTCTGACAAGGGGTTGGCCATGGATCCCGGCAAGGTCCAGGCGGTACTGGAATGGAAAACACCCAAAACAAGGAAGGATGTGCAGAGGTTTTTAGGATTTGGGAACTTCTATCGTAAGTTCATCCCAAACTTTGCCCACCTGACGGCGCCCATTACGGACTGTCTCAGCAGTAAGAAGAAGTTCGTTTGGACGGAGGAGGCGGAGCAAGCATTTGAGGAACTAAAAGGGCCTTCGCCTCGGAACAACAGCTCCTGCATGTGGATTTACAAAAACCGATGAGAGTGGAAACTGACGCATCAGACAGAGCGGTTGGGGCGGTGCTTCTCCAGCCAGGGAAGGAGGAGTCAGAGTGGAGACCGTGTGCTTTTTTTCGCGAAAGCTGAACAAATCCGAGAGGAACTACACGGTGTATGACCGAGAACTACTAGCCATTCATGAGGCGTTCCGGAGATGGAGGCACCTGCTAATTGGCGCACAACATAAGGTGCAAGTGTGCACTGACCACAAGAACCTAGAGTATTGGAGGACGGCACGAGTGCTCAACCAACGGCAAGTGAGGTGGGCCCAGGAATTCTCCAAATTTAACTTTGAGATTTGTTACGTGCCAGGCCCAGAGAACATTAGGGCGGACGCTCTCTCACGCAAACCTGAATATTTGGAGGGGAGGGAGCACCCGAAGAGAGACATGTCATTCCAGAGGACCGCTGGGTGTGTGGGGCGGCATTGGTGGGACAAAGAGAACTGGTAGAAGAAACAGAGAATGATGAATACGCCCAGAATAAGCTCAGAGGTCTTAGGGATGAGGGAGAGGAATCAAGGGGTTTCGAGGAAAGAAATGGAGCTTTGTATTACAAAGGGGCACTGTATATCCCTGAAGGAGACTTAAGGGGGAGGGTACTCAAGCAGTTGCATGACAGCCCCACGGCAGGGCATTTTGGGCAACACAAAACCATGTGGTTGGTCACCAGGGAATTTTGGTGGCCTAAGGTGAGGGAGGATGTACGTGAGTATGTAAGAGGGTGCGAGCAGTGCCAGCGAGCCAAAGGGGAAAGGCGGGCGCCGGCGGGGCTATTAGAACCCTTACCAACACCAGAACGACCTTGGGAGGCAGTGTCGATAGATTTTATGACTGATCTGCCGAAGTCCAAAGGGAAAACAGCCATCATGGTGGTGGTAGACCTACTAACAAAGATGTGCCACTTTGTAGCTTGCTCGCATGCAGTCACGGCGGAAGAGACAGCGAAGTTATTTGTAGAACACATTTTTAGGTTGCACGGGGTGCCATTGAGGGTGGTCTCAGACCGAGGAAAACAATTTACTTCCAGGTTCTGGAGGAAGCTCATGAGCTTACTGCAGGTGGAGGTCAACTTTTCGACTGCCCGGCACCCTGAAACCAACGGGCAGGCGGAAAGAGCAAACGGTGTCCTCCAGCAATACCTGAGGTGTTATGTCAATGACAGAGAGAATGACTGGGTAGAAAAGTTGGCGCTGGCGGAATTTGCCTACAACAATGCCGAGAATGTGTCCACAGGGATGAGCCCCTTCTTGGCTAATTATGGGTGTCATCCCAGGGCTTTCCCAGGGGAGAAGGGGAGAGATGGAGCGCACCGGCAGCCGAGCATTTTGTAGAAGAAATGGAAGCAATCCACCGTCAGCTCCAACTCAACTTAGAAAGGGCGAAGGAAGAATACAAGAGGCAGGCAGACAAGAACCGAAGGGAAGGTGAAACCATAAGGGTTGGAGATAGGGTGTGGCTGTCAACCCGAGGGCTGCCGCTCAAAGGAGGTTGTAAGAAATTAAGACCCAGGAGGTTGGGTCCCTTTGAGGTCATTCAACAGGTCAACCCAGTGGCTTTCAGGCTCCGGTTACCCAACCACATGAAACTGCACCCAGTATTTCACAGGTCGTTACTGTCACCGTACGAGGGGGGA